ACTTTTGTTTTTTCATAAAGCCTTGTTATGTGTATCTTCGGCTATAGATATTACATTACACATAATTTGCAAATCACTTGAGTGTATGAATGTACAGGCAACAGCACATCAGGCTATACATTTTTGTTGCAAAATCGCATCTATTACGACTAAATAAGACGTCACAGTGTTTACGTTGACGTGCCGCGTCTGTTCATTAATATAGAGATAAGAGATCTTCTTGTGTGGGTGGTCCAAATACGAATAAGTATCATGACGTCAATCAATAAATTAATTCACATCCAAATAATGTCTTTGTGACACGTTACATTCACAATCGGAGTTAGGAGTAAGATTCTTTACTCAAAAATAAGATAGTTATTATATTAACTACTTATTACCAATTGCCTGGCGTCATACAGTGAGAGTAAATTAGAATGTTGTAAAGCTTCAACAGAAGTTTGATTATAGAAAGCCCAAATGAGACTTAATTTAAGTAATGCTTGCACAAATTCTGCTAAAGTTAATTCAATTGTCCGCTCAGTGCGCTTCGAGATAAACACATCTCGCGAAGGAAAGCAATGGTCATTAGGAAGACGCCGGGGGCGCGACTAACTGGTGAAGAAAGTTCGCTCAGGGCTCCACATTATAATGAATTCTATTCATCATTCAAAGGCCCATTATGCGATGGGCGGCGCGATTTGAATTACGCGCATAAAAAGCAGTAGAATGTCTCGGAGATGATGTTGCAGTTACAAGGCGTAATGGTAAGATCGTTTCGTCAGATGTGTGATAGCAGTGCTATTCACATGTAAATTAGTGACGGTATACCTGCATACAAAGTTGAGGAAGCCTAATTAGTAAAATCAATTTAAAGTTGTTCATAGGAATTATTTAGAAGACAAATGCATAGTTTGTAAGACGTTGTCTTCATAAACTCTATCATATAAAGGCTTTCAAGCTTACAGAGTCGTATACCTATGTACTTAATACCTTGGTAGAGTCTAAATTACCTGAATAAGCTAGCAGACTCAGAAACAATGTAATAAACGCACGCAAAGCTCATTGCAGCTCTATGTGAGTAGTGTAATTCAAATGAAAATAAAATAAAATATTTTCCAATAATAATACTCTTAACTATGTACCTATCTCGAAACATTGAAAGCTTTAAAGTAAAAGAAGCGGTTGTTAGCCGTAAAACAACTTCGCGAAAGTCTCATGATTTCTATACTTAAGTTTTTCGCGGTTTTTGCTGGAAACTTTGCAAGGCGTTAAGTGATAATCTTAATTAGTTAATGTCTTAATTAAGTGTTAATCAATGTATTTAACGTTAATTTAATGGCCATTAAACGTTTTAACGGGCAATGAGGCTAATTAGTAAAGGGGACTTCAAATAAAATACTCATAATAAAATCCAGTTAGGTGAAATTTGAACAAACAAAAATCTTCATTCAGTAAATGGGGTTTTGTTGACATAATCAAGATGGCTCGCCCATATGCCCAGGCGCATGACGGCGCGGAATCGGTGGAATGCCGGAGAAACGACGACGAAAGTAAAACCAGCGGGGCTCTTCGCAAAACCAATTCGATTTATCGGCTCTATGTGTCTCGTACAGTCTCAGAGCGCTAAGAGAGATCGACATTCGTATTTGTAAGAGTAGGGTAAGGTGAACAACTTTTTCATGATCATTGCTTAGTAAATAGCCAGAAGCTGTAGTCATTTATCACCACAAATGTAATTTTATTCGCATCTTGAGAATGTAGAAGCTACTCGTACTTACAAGCTGAATTTTATGATCTACGAATAAGCATTTAAATAAATCTTATAGCGCACAATATAGCTAATATAAGTTTTTCTTATTCTTATTCTAGAAGCTTTTTAGGTAAGCTTTCTATACCTACCTAAACGAAACCAGTAGGATAGGTACACAATGTTAAGAATATTTCAAAGAATAGAAATAGAGCATAACACAACAACTAAACCTTGCCAACCTAACAAGACAAGTGTTTCATCTTCAATCTTGATTTGAATAACATTTTGTTACACTGGTAAACGACGTTTACCAGCGTTTACTAAACGTTCATTAAACAAGCAACGATGGTGTGCGTATCTGCTGTTTCTAACGGAACTTATTATTGTGTTATTATATAACAATGCTGCTGCTTCCCATGAACTTATGTACCTACGCCTAGGTGTAATTTGAAAGTCAATTATTCTATTACCACACCCCCAAAATTGCTGTTTGCTAAAAGCTTTTCGTTAATTTAATTACAGCAGATATCCGTAAAAACTGCAAGAGACGTGAATGAATCGTGAACCAAAAACATTTCACGAGGTTTATTCCAACTTACCAACCCACCAGTAGAATAAAACTGGTTTCTATTTTTCTTGGTCATGAACAAATGACGAGTAATCATGTGTAAACACTTAAGCCAGCAAATAGACTTGGGCTTATTTGGTTGACAACTCGATCGATAATAGAAAATGGTGTGGGATAAAATGAATTCAAGAAATGTATGATAATTTGAATTCCTTATCCCTATGAAAGCAATTTAAAGATTTGCAGATATTTTCTTTGATATTTTTCCGCCGCGCTGAAACAACACGACATTTAATTATCATAATGTAAAGTGGAGAAAAAGTATAACTGGTTTCTCGCAATCATTTACATTTCCTTTTAATAAAGGTACTTATACGAATAGGTACGTAGCCACCTACACACATCTATACTATATATATACTATATATACTATATTACTATATTTACTATATAATATTATAAAGCTGAAGAGTTTGTTTGTTTGTTTGTTTGGTTGAACGCGCTAATCTCAGGAACTACTGGACCGATTTGAAAAATTCTTTTTGTGTTGGATAGCCCGTTAGTTCCTGAAGGCTTTAGGCTATTTATCATCACGCTAAGACCAATAGGAGCGGAGCACCAATCAATAATATTTCAAATCGGTGAATTTTTTCCTTTTGAGAGCTGACGCTGCGTAAACGGTTAAAGTTTCGCAAAAATCATGTATGACAGGATTGTTCCCCTTTAAAAGTTCTTTAAAAAAGTCCGCGGTAGCATATGTCTATCTTTTAAGGTTGGCTCATAGTAACCATTTTTATGCAAAAAAAAATCTGTTTTAAAATAATGCATTATTTGCGAAGGTGTTTTTATAAACATGATATTAATCCTTATCCAAATAAATAAATTATTCACCACAAGTATTTAATTTTAAACATTCTTGCCCTTTACACCATTCGATTTCAATAAATATCTTAGGAGATATCGCAGTTTTAAAATCACATCGCAGCAAAATAATGATCAAGTACTACGCGCGCTACTGATGGATCAATGCACAGCCTAAACCGCTGATCGTAAAGACCTGAAACTTGGACGGTATGTTCTTTGTATGACGTAAGCATCTGATAAGAAAGGATTTTCCAAAATTCTACCCCTAAGGAGGTAAAAAGGAGGGGCAAAGTTTGTATGAAATAACGAGATTCCTTCGTCCAATCTACTTAAAATTTTGCATAAGCATTCTATAACAGAATTAATGGAAGACGTGTTTCGTATTTTAGTGAAATGCACCCCCTAACTATGTTAAAAAGGGGTAGAAAGTTATTTTAGTGGTGATTTGCTTCAAAGTTGATATTAATTACTCATTAGTGCATTTTTTTACAATCATGACGTCATGTTAACGACTACCATACTCTAGGGGCCTCCACTTAACCTCGGAGTGGGTGCCCGCTGCGTGCGCTCGCCCAACAATGCATAGTAATGCATGAAAGTCATGCCGCGGGCACCTGCTTGCGCTGTATACATAAACTCATTTTCGCGCGAGAGTTTTGGCGGAGGCCCTTGAGGTAGTGGGAGTAGTCTTGAGGAAAAGCTCCTTCTCCCACGGCCAGTGGCATGCTGGAAGCTTGGTGATTCTAGCACCCGTAGGAAAATATAAAAAAAAGTTTACCAATAATACTGCGGTAGGTGTAGTTTTCGATTTCGTTGTAAAAAAATAATACCACCGAGTAACTTTCACCGGATCAAAGGCCGAGCTGCATATTCATAAAATATAAGAAAAAAATATTTTCATGTTTATTTAACCTGATTTTTATATTTTAAAAGTATTCAAACATTTAGATAATAACGTTAAAACATTTAAAAATAATCGTATGAGAACGTTTTCGACTTCTCCACGGACGAAGTCGCGGGCAAAAGCTATTTGTAAAATAATTAGACTAAATTAATAAAAGTGCCTACCCAAAGTCATTATTCCACGCGGACGAAGTCGCGGGCACAGCTATAAATGATAAATGCACTAACATACAAATTAGGTATAACAAAATATGTTACACTTTTCATTGTTAACCATTAGGTGACTGCGCTCTAATGCCTGGTATATTTATAGCCATGATCTGCTCGGGGCGTGCTCGAGCCACATGTAGAGACACATGCCGATGCGTCCGCGGGAAAACAAACGGAAACCGGCCACGCGATGGCCCGCGGGCTCGCAATTGTCTAGCAATCAGAAAATAGCCATAAGAAGAGTACCTATACCTAAGTTGCTATACTCTTCTTATGGCTATTTTCTGATTGCTAGACAAGTGCGGAAAACTTAAGCCAATTCACGGTCAGTTAAACTGATCAGTTAGCCCCAGAATAAATACAAATGTACATCAAAAAAACTGACTGTGTACAATGAATTTCAACTATGGTCACATCAATTCACACACATGGTCAGTTTGTGGATGTGCGGTCATCAGTTGAACTGCGTGAAAGTCCAGCTTTGAAGTAGTCATGTTCTTCAATATACTCGTAGCCCGATGATGTCCGTATCGGACTGCCGATTTAAAGTCAAAGTATTTTGACGCGATTCAAAGAGGATAGCTCGAACTCGAACTATTTGTACCACACCTAACACAAAAACATACCTACATTTAGTTTACTTAGATATAAATACCTACCAACAACCTTTTGAGAACAGTGCCAGTATCTTCATGCCTACAGCTGTTTTTATCTTCGTTCCAGGAGCAAACAGCCACTAATGTTGTGCGAGCTCGGGTCGATGGTGCGAATATGCGCGAGGAGGAGCTGGAGGTGGCGCTGAAGGTGGTGATCGTGGGCGACGGCGGCGTGGGCAAGTCCAGCATGATCCAGCGCTACTGCCGCGGCACCTTCACGCGCGACTACAAGAAGACCATCGGCGTCGACTTCCTGGAGCGACAGATCGAGTGAGCATTACTTTTTTAAAGAAACTAAACTTCATTGATCTTATTTTAGGAAGTGGGAACTCCTTCCTTCCCTGTTTCCGACGCGTCCTTATAGGTATTACGCTACCTCTTCTAATTAGCGCAACGATACCTCACGAAACGTGATACCTTCCACTGGTTGGGTTTCATAGATCCTGATCCTGGCTATACAGGAGTTGCAGTGGTGGGAAAGAGAGGTGGGATGAGTTTCGTTACGAGACATAAATAGTAGAAAGGTTTTGACTGTAGGTACTAAATACAATCAGTACACACAGATAAAAGTTACGCCACAGAATCTCTTGAAGACAAAGAACTGTTACCAGCATTGAAGATATTTTTTTTTTTCGGGGAAAACATGCATTAAAATGCATACCTATCCTGCGGGGACAGGGTAGGTTATGTGGGGCTCACCAAGTCAGAAGGACAAAGGCATACCCACTAAAAAGACCCCGGTGCTCCGTCATTCGCCTTAAGTGGGAAGGAACTGTGGGATTCCGGACAAAGCCTTCACTACCACAGTCCCTCCCGGCGATTGCCCGCCTACACGGCGCGCCCTACAGGCCCCCCAGGACGGGGGGCGATTGAAGATAACCTGTACTAACCACTTATAATACCACATTCCAGAATCGATGGCGAGGAGGTGCGGCTGATGCTGTGGGACACGGCGGGGCAGGAAGAATTCGACGCCATCACCAAGGCGTACTACCGCGGCGCGCACGCATGTGTGCTCGCCTTCTCCACCACCGACCGGGATTCCTTCCTTGCTCTACACTCCTGGAAGCTAAAGGTACCGTCTCCTTACGCTCAGGCGAGCGTCTAGGCCAGTGGTTCTTAACCGGTGGTCCCTGGAGGCATTCCAAGTGGTCCACGAAGATATCGTAATAAACAAGTGACGTGACGTGATGAGTCGAGTCAACTCAATGCAAACGGCGCACAGTGGGCGCGAAATCGACCTTTCATAGGATTTTGAAAAAAAAAGTGGTCCCTGACAAGACAGAAATTTGGTAAAACGGTCCCTCGTGACTTAAAGGTTAAGAACCACTGATCTAGGCAGACAGCCCGTCTGCTTGCTTTCTGGGGGGATAGATATAGGAAGATAAACCACAAATCGCGTACAATGGCCCAATCACGAGGCTAAGTGCGTTATTCGATTGCCCTGCAAAATTAACTCACTAACTACTCGCTCTACACTCCTGGAAGTTAATGAACTCCTCCTACTACTTGAAAGGAAATCACACGGAAGAGTAGAGACGATCCGATAGCATAGTGCCAGGGTAAATCTATTACTCGAAGAAAATGGAGAAGAAAAGACGACTCGGATGGCGTAGTGGTACGGTGAATCATCTCAGATTCAATTACTGTTTGAGTCAATTACGAGTACCTACTATAACCACGATAATAAATAGAAGACGATTCGCACTTATTAATATTTTTATTTGTGACGACTATAAATGTGTGATGCTACTGTGCCACTATTTCAATTAAATTAATATCAAACTAATAAAATTTACAAGGTAGCTAAAATATCTAATAATTTATATGTCGATCTAGAAATCTAATTTGAAAGTAGTGAAACCTGTATTTGATTTATTCACTCAAGTAGTACTAGCCTTAACGGTTTAATTTAGCTTCTGTCCGCAGCTAGCTAAATAACTACGTACATCAATGATTGATTGCATTCATTAAGTGGTCGTAAATTATGGGTTCAGATGGTTAAATCGTTCAAATCTGAAAAAACTTTCTTGTGTTGAAACAGAACCCATTTGCAAAAGAAACGTGCAGCTTACAATTATTTCTAAAACTTATCTTCCGCAGGCGAATAAAATTAAATGAAGCCGGTCGTTTAATGTTATCTGAAGTCGTGACTTTCGATCCGCTAATAAAGTAAACACGGCTGCAGATGCATGTGCTCTGCGTGCTCTTACTTGTATGTGTTTAAAGATTAAAATCGAACGAGAGTTCACCAACTCTACAATTGAATCGAACACAGCTTACCATTATCTCGTTACAACATATCTAAAGCACACAAACACATCGCATCGCATATCGTTGTTTACATATCCGGGCCTATATTTGGACGGGGTACAATCATCTCACAAACTATCGTCATTTCGCGAAGATGCCCGAGAGAAAGTACGCCGTCGCGTGCGCACTTGTTTTTCTGTTGGAAATAAGTTGTGTTGTGGCTTCAAGCAGTGAAGATAAATGCATAGACTATTACCAGACCGGAGATAATTTTGATTTGAATGAGTTGGAAGGCAGCCGGTTTGTAGTGTACTTCTGGCCGCCGAATCAGAGGCAGAGGAGCAACTGCGAAGTGATCACGTTTAAGAAGCTTTCGCGGCAAGATGTGCAGGCTGCATACAGTGACTGTAAGAAGCTCGACGTATCGAACCAGACTGTTGTACAAGCGTCGTATGTGAACAACGCTGGGAAATCGATGACACATCTCTACTACGGCGACGTCGAAGTGAAGCGGCAGTACCGAACTTGTGAACGCATTTCAAAGTACATATTCAAGAGGGTCAGCGATAACTATGTGATGGGGATCAACTGTTCGGCGGGAGGGCGGGGACTATTGCTGTCGAAGACTCTACCGAGCGCGTCCGAAGTGCAGTCGGTGGCTGACCAAATTGAGATCATGAGTGGTCGAGAAGGTAGCCCAGACTGCAAGCTATCAAGACGATGAGTTTAATGTTTTATGATTTAAGTAAATACAAAGTTACTGAAACTGATATTATGTACTTAAATGTTTACCTACCTTATATTTTGACATTATTTTATTTGTGTATTTCGTAAATAAACCGTTTTAATTAATTGCATTCTCATTTGTCTCCACTGCCCAATTATCATATTATCACATACAATGGCAATATTGCAAATTTTAAAGGTAATATAATATTTTGTGGTTATTTGTGTTAAAATTTACGATGTTAAGAATCTTTAAAATGTTCTTTTCTTTTTCAGGTAGAAAATGAATGTGGGGAGATCCCAACGATTATAGTGCAAAATAAAATAGATTTGATGGACCAATGCGTCGTTGGACCGTAAGTATTTATTTTCTATTTACCTAGAAAGAGTTTAGAGTTTAGCAAACTCCTAAAACCATTAAGTAGCTACATAAATAAAGTTAACACTTAAAAAAATATAGTTATAGCCACGATAGCCGAACGGTGAAGGGGTCGAAGTGGCCGACTCGAGATCCGAGGAACGCGGGTTCGAATCCCACCGCCGCTCGACTATTGTGGTGAGCCCACTCGTAACAAAAGCTTATTTAGCTTAACACGAGGGGCTAATAGGACTATTAGTAATTTGGGCAATACAAATTGCTAATAATCTTTTTAAAAAAAAAGTCAAAGTCGTGAAGTCGTGTTCCTGCGGTGGGGACTAAATAATCTGATGATGATAAACTAATTTACAGAGATGAAGCCGAGCTAGTGGCACGAGCGCTGGGCTGCCGGCTGATGCGAGCGTCCGTCAAGGAGGACGTCAACGTGGGCTCGGTGTTCCGAGCGCTCGCCGCGCGCTGCCTCGCGGACATGCGCCGCGAGGACGCCGCGCACGACGGCGCGCTGCCGCCCTGCGTGTCGCCCGTCATAGGTAACTATAGAGACGGAGCCTAGTAGACGCGGCACTGGCTGCCGGCTGATGCGAGCGGCCGTCAAGGAGGACGTCAACGTGGGCTCGGTGTTCCGAGCGCTCGCCGCGCGCTGCCGCCCTGCGTGTCGCCCGTCATAGGTAACTAATATAAGACCTTCCAAGGTACCAAGAAGAAAATAATTTAAACTAAACCCTATGTTTTAAGACATACGGTTGGATATGACACGCTACAGTTAAAAAATAGCAACACTAGCTCATAAGCGCCGTCAAGCTGCTACGAGAGCCGGCGCACGACCACAACTGATGGCGCCGCGAGGCGCTAGCCCACCCGATGAAATGCCTGCAGATGTACTCAAACGGCTCTTAGCAACGCTTGGAATCTCATTATTTACGACTAGATCCACAAAATAGCATGAATGAGAGAGACAAATCAACCTGTACCATCGATGTTTCTGGCTTCATGGCCAAAACGATACTGAACATAACATTTTCATTGCAGGCACTTTCACAAACCATAACAGCAACGGCACGATCCTTCTGCGGCCGGCGAAGCACCGGCCCGGCGGCAAGAAGAAGAACGTTCTCAAGAGCGCTTGCAGGATACTGTGATCACCACATACAGAAGAATAGACCTCTTTCGTGCGACAACACAGGATCTGGAGTATTAATGGTGCGGTACACAGACCAGTCATGCCGTTAGTAAATAATATGATCAAACATGGACAAGAATTTTGATAAACTATAACACTTTCTCGTAAAACAATTTGTGAATGTTATCAGTTACTTATTAATCAAGATGACTGCTTAATATCACGTCTTAAAAAACGATCTAACATTTTAGGATAACGTATCATGACCTCGAACTATCAAATACTCAAATTGAGTGTGTATTCCAAGATTGGATTGTGCTAAAAATAACATAACACAACCATGGATAAGGACAATGCAAAACAAACATTGAAATTAATATGTAAGAAGTAGCATAGAATAAAACGTGTACATATAACATGTAGTTATGTAAAAAACTTGCAAGTGCAATGAAATTAGATGTAACTTAATAACCCTTCGAATTATTGTGTATGTTCTGGCGAGGGTCAGAATTTCAGTTTCTCGTCAGACCATAAGTTCTAATCGTTCATTCGTATCGTAAATATTGTTAGTCATTTTTCATTATACGGACATAAAGTCGTAACAACGAAGTTATGTAAATAGTATGTACTTTTATGGAAAATTAATAAATTATTTTTTTCATATGCGACTTTCTTGTTATTCAATAAACACATATACATTTTAAGATGACTTTTTGTGTATAACTATAAAATAAAACACGTCATAAATAGCCAGTAGTGTATTTTAAAAGACGCTATATTACCAATTTAAGGCCGTAGGTACTTTTACATAAAACATTATGAGCGTGACCAGATGTTTAAAAACGCTTTCTATTATTTGGCCAAGCGCCAAAGGTTCAGTCTGACATAGATAATGATATTTATGCGTAAATAAGTAAAAAACAAATGCCGCTATATCAGCTTTAAATATTTTTATATTGGACCCTAAAAAGTCCGCGTACTGCTTATGCTTATCTATGTCAGACTTTCTACATATTATTACAATTACAACTAACACATAAATTATCATGTATCGTTCGTAACATAAGTACAATAGGTTTTGTAAATATAAAACGGTAAACTATCTAACTATGTAGCACTTTTACCGACTGTAATACCTACATAGTTTAGAAATATAGGAAATAAACATATGTAAATTACCGTCATTAAATTAGGATGTACAGCATCTCTTATCATAGAAATCAAATCAAATAAGCTTTATTTTATGGGATATATTTTAGAGATAATTTTGATTAGTTTCCCGTTGCTTATTACAACACTTTATTAATGTATTAATTTTGAATTTTTTAAATTAGTTTTGCTAACCCTAAATCATGTCTAAGCCAAACATTATTAATTTTTCATACCGTAAGTGATGAGATTTTATAAATCCAAAATAGTACTACGTACCTGTATCATTGTCACTACAACATAACTTTGTAGTTGGATGCGCAACGAGATTGACAGCGTTCCAACATTATAACCTTATATCTAAAAAGATAGATACAAATCAAAATGTTTTAAACTTTTTGGTGATGTTAAATAATCCGTTATAATTTATTAGAAAATAAGATATAAAATATTTTATAACATACCTCTCACTACACGACAAACATTTTCATAAATCACTTTCTGGAAAGTATATTTTGATACAACTTACCAACGGGTAAATTCGTGTGATATTGGCATGAAATGATAAATGTTTGAACGAAAACTTTTCAAAATTTTCAGAGCATGAGCACTCAAAAGATTTTCTTTATAAAGAACGATATTATCAGAATACCGTTCCAAAAAATTTATCAAAATATACCTTCTCATCTCACTATAACAACTACCTTTTATCTAGGAAAATGTGTTACATAAGGTTTCAGTGGAAATTATTTAGATTTTAGCTCTGTGTATTTTATACATCAAACACAATTATATCAACACACTTTCCGCAAATCAAAGGCACTAACGGCCTCCCCAACACGCCTATTGAGCATAAATAGTTAAAGTACATTTATATTTTAGGAATCTTGAATAATGAAAACTCCTGAGTCTCGCTAACAGAATCATAAATGAGTATGGAATATGTTTAAATTACATCAAAATGCATCAGCTGTCGCTTGAAGACAGAACAAAACAACCTATTTCCAAAAAATACAGCCCAAATATTAGCAAAATGTGGAACCCTAACAGATATCACTTACAGACAATTTTCGCAACCAAAACTCAACTCGCTTATCGAAAAGACATTTAACATTCAAAATAAAAATAAAATAACAATCAACAAAAAAGGTGCTTAAAACTTTGACAAAATACAAGCTAAGACGACTGATAATATAAATTGTCCTTACGAGTGCACTGGAAGATACGTACGTACTGGAATATTACGCGTACAAACAGATAGTGAACGACATTAATTTTAGCTGGCAACACACATTATCACATTTGCCAAAGCTTATACCCACTGTGAAACACCTGAGATTTGAATGTGAATCAGGACAACGCTAAATATATTCAATATCTAGGAAGAAACATCAAGGATGCGTAATTTTAATGTATTTACAATTTTGAATAGAATTTAGACCACGCTAGAATTTTTCAGCCCAATAACATTTAACAGATCAATCATCAGTTGAAACGAAACACAAGCAGATCATCCAACTCGAACGTAAGAAGTCCTCTCAGCCGCGTAAAACAAAAGCTGGCAATAACTAAGCTCAGTGGAGCACTAGTCTATGCATTTGGGCCTCTACTCACGAGCACGTGGTGACGTTGAGTCTCGCAAAGTACTCGAGGAGTCCCTGGAGGCGTTTCTTGACTCGTTTCTGGTCGTCGAGGGTGCAGCCGAGGATGGCGGACTCGAAGTTTTTGTCAGTCCCGCTAGAGGGGTCAGGTTGCGACGTGCAGGCGTTCATGTAGGTCTGGCAGCGCGAGTGCGCCACGACCGCATCGTCGTGCACCGACATCACTAGCTGGTCTATGTACATGTTCACCTGAAAGACAAGGGACCAGGGTTTTATACTTCGATCGTTTTAGCCAAATGACGTCCACTGCTGGACAAAAGCCTCCCCCAAGGATTTCCACAATGAACGGTCCTGCGCTGCCCGCATCCAGGATCTTCCCGCGATAAAGGTCGGTCCACCTAGTAGGCCTGCCCACGCTACGTCGAAGGTTTTATACTTACCAGAGTGGAACTGCCACTCTACAGTGGCGCCATCCTGGTGAGTGCAAATGCGATATTCCTCCTACCGATTCAGCGCTCACCAGTTGGCTTCACTGTCTCAGGCACTAGAATGTGACAGAACCTCACTCATACAATGGCGGCGCCAACTGATGAGCGTTAAAACTATAGCCATAATTTCTTAGGGTGTTCTTTAAATTATGCTTCATTTAAGACTAATATTTCTAGGTTTTCCAAGCATTTGGGGTTTCGGTTTCGTAACCAGTTGGTACGTGTTTTACGAGAACAATTTTACAGCCATCCATAGGACTTAGTTTTTATCATGAAAACGTCCATTACGCGATATGATAAAACTAGCTCTTAATTAAACATCATCAACCTCCTCTAAAAAATATACGAGCAATGAAAAACACAACCACGTCTGTGTCTTTCATTGCACTTTAAGAGCCATTTCACAAAAATATTCCGCGCGAATTTAGGTAAAAGCTGTCAACGCAACGTCAAAAGAGTAAAAAGAACGCTGAAATGGACAAAAAAATCTAGAGCCGTGACCGTATTAAGACTTGATTTAAGTTATTAATATTAAGGTAGAATGAGGTATTCAAACTTGATAAATTAATTTAAATTTTTAATAGAGTTATTAAGTCTTTTATATTTCGATTCATAATGAAACTAGTAATAATAACTAATAATATAATAATATGTAAAATATATATTAAGTACAAAATAAAGACAGTCACATAGTGAAAAAAAAATCTACCCCCTTACAGCTCCATCATCGGACCCTGGATACGAAATATTCGTCAAGGCGAATCACACAAGCCCAAACTCCATAGGGTTCTATTGTTTTGTTATGGAGGTGGCCATTGCATCTCCTCCAGATCCATTATCAGACAGAGCTAAGAAATAAACATTATTATAAGTAAACAAATAACTAAAATAATTAATCTTACTATCTTACTTCTTACTAGTCTTACTAATATTATAAATACGGAAGTTTGTGTGGACGTCTGGATGTTTGTTACACTTTCACACAAAAACTACTGAACAGATTTTGATGAAACTTTACAGTACAGTACAGCAGTACTAGGCAGTCTGTGTTCAACTATCACTCGGGTCGGACGTTCCTATCGCAAGACCTTTGGTTCACTCAGTTCCGATACGACTCTAGTGATGTGTGTAATTACTATTATTAGTGCTTTGTGTAGTGGATTTCATTTTGCCTGAGACCTACGCCATGAACCCTGAACCAGAAGACCCTGTCGCCAGCGACAGCGACGCTCATCCATCCCTGGCGTCGACCAGAATAACAATGTATAGGCTATAATTTATGACGATCTGTGACAAACTAAATTTCAAGCGAGTGAAGCCGCGGGCAATACTACATATTTCATACTAGCTTTTTGCCTGCTACTTCTTCTGCGATGAAGTGGAAAATGGTTCTAATAGAATTAAAATATTCTAAGAAAATTAATTTTGTTAAATGATTATATTTTTTGATATAAAATCTACAAATATTAGATTTATTATATTTAAATATTTGAATACTTGTTTACAAAATTATGAGATCTTTCTAAAACAAAATTTAAACACTACACCTGCCGCAGATTTCTTTGTAAACAATGTTTTTCGTTCAGGTGCTAAAATCACCAGGCTATTGTGTGCGCATACTCTGGAGTATTCCACATAGAACTGGTCGTCGGAGAAGCATAGATTTCCTTTAAGTCTACTCCCGCTACCATATGGAACTCCGCTAAAACTCGTGAGGGCGCCAACACTTGCTTTTGTATCGAAAATTAGTATGAGCAGCTGCGCCCGCGGTTGCCCGTTGCAGGCTCTATGCAACCACACTATTTTAAACCGTGGTCCCTAAGCATGAGATGGGAAACTGCACTCTCTTGAATTCTCTTGAATTTGATGGTGTTAGGGGAATCCTAGGAATGAATACAGACTTTCCAGGACAGTAATCTCCTCATCAATATTGCGAAATTGCGAGTTGCAATGCAATGTTACGTTTTCACTTGTTATTTTATTGTAATCTGACCTTGATTTTTCAAACACGTGTCAAAATAAAAAAAATAATTTAAATCAAAAGTACTAAGGAATATTTCATTGATATCAACTTAGAAACAAGCACAGATCACAGAAACTAAAGGGAAATGTGACAAGGGACAAATTGGAACATATTGCTTGTGAAAGCAATGATGACAGTAGCGACGTCATTATGTAAACAGTTTATATTGCTTGCATAGTACTAAAGATTATTCGAACGTTGAATACTGATACCGCAATGGATAATGAGCACATAATTTGATTTCTTTGTGTGTGTGAATTTCTAATACGACACTGAGTTTCGAACTCAGCGCATTACTTAGCATCTCTCTATATTTCTATGGAACCAAGTTATCTCCAAAATAACATTCCACACCTTTTTAACCTAGTCAGGTAATAATTTTAATAAAATACGAAGCACGTCATCTATCAATAGGATATATGTATATTTTAGAAGTTAATAAATTATGCATAAAATATAAACACTTTAGAAGTTTAGTTAAATCGTAGAATTTCTGAAAAACAAGTACTAAAATCGTACTGAAAAAAAAAGTATTAATATGTTATCTAATTTATTTATTAAACGTCGAATTTTATCAAAGATTTTGGACTAAAGTTTTTGAAAATATTTTATAGCCAACATAGAAAAAAATTAGGATTCTAAATCGTGAAAGAAATTTTTTTCGGAGCCTATTGCCTCCAAACAAACAAACAAACAATTAAATCTTTCCTCTTTTATTAGTATAGATTTAACAACAGAACAAAACGCTTCTTTTTCTTCTTCACGAAACAAAACTCAAAGCGGATAAATAAATAAACAAATCTTTGGACAATTTCACAGCGCCATCTAGTCCAAAAGTAGGCAACCAATATGCTTGTGTTAAGGGTGCTATCATAATGGATATACTTTTTTATAATTTATTTATTAAATTAAATACATGGTACCTACATATTATACATAGTTACACCCAGATCCGTCAAAGAAATTAAAATTCATCATTTCAATTTCTGCTCGGCCGGCCGACTCGAAACAGCCTCTCGGCATAGTATCAAATGTATTTGGTCGCCGTACAAATCACCGCTTCACGACACGAACGCACGTAAACGTCACGGCGGGAAAAATGACACAGGTCCTGCCTTGACGGGCGCTCGCGCCATACTAATCGATGTCGGCTTCCGCATTGTAATTTATACTGATATTCACATCAATATTTTGACAAAGTGGTTACTAATATTTAAACAATAACTGTAGAAATCAATTCTACAATGAATATTCTTTATTTTGGGATACTTTTATTGCAGTTATTGCTGTGTTTTTAAACCAAAAACCACGATCAAAATGTGACGTTAATCTTCAAATTTGCCAAATTATTTTTAGATTTTACTCAATAATGGTAATGAAATTCAAGAATCTATTTCATTAATGGACTACAAGAATATATGTCCGATGATTACTATATATTTTTAAGCTTATTATATGAGCATAAATAATAGATACAGGACTTTGAAAATGAGTCTGCGGCAATTTTTCCGTAAAATGGTTGTGGGAGATGGGGCACTGTGAATTAAGCAAAATAGTTTTAGTAAATCCGTTTCATTAATGGTCAACACCAAGGATTGACCTATCTTTCGCAGTTATTAAATAATATCTGGGTGTTGCTTAAGATAGTAATTCATGCTTCCAAAATCTTAGAAATTCGCACGAAAATGTAAAATGGCTCTTAAATACTACTGTGATATGTGGCCTTCATACAACTTGTTTCATGAAGAACTCATTAATTTAAAAAATAATTTCTATGGCACTATTATCAGGGGTTGTGGTTTCAATTAAGCGATAAACAAATGGACTCATGCATAGAACAAGCAGGCATTTATAGCTGCCATGGAGGAAACCACATACCACAATAGTTTTAAACAGTGATAAGTTTCACAAAGTTGTTATGGATAGTTCAATTATGAAGCTTTTGCAGCACCATTAATATATTTATTAAACTTAAGAGTTTCCAAAACGGGTTATTATTTGGGTCAGTTAGTTTCGAGAAAAGATGTTCGAAAAATAGAAAATAAAAAATAGAAATTGCGCCTTTCTTATGATTATTAGCTTAATGTGTACTTTGATAAGGTTTGTAATCGTACCTGATGCAACGCCTCTTCCTGCTGCGGGTCGCGGTCGGTTCTCACGGCCACCTCCACCGTCATCGCTCGCGCCAGGATCCGGTCCGCGTATCTGACTATGTCGTCCTTGTCACCTGGAATGATATTAGGCATAGTTCAAGGACTAGTCCGAATGGTCTTGACTCAAGACGCAACAAGAGAATAACAAGACAAGAGTCTTGAGGGAAAAGGCTTGCAAACGCAACACACGAAAATATTTCAGTTTTAAAAGTGTGTCAGTTCAATCAGCGCGGGGATTTCGATTTTAATGAGCAAATGGCTTGTTACTATTAAAATGATGGAATATAGCCACCTTATTGAAGTAAGTATTGAATACATCACATCTACAAAACAAATAAAAAATATGATATCGCTTTGGTTATATTATGTATAGTCTAGGCAAACTAATATAAACTACACAATAGTTTCAACTAAAAGACGCCCACTGTTGGGCGAAGGCTTCCCCCAAGGAATTTAATAACGACTGGTCCTGCGCTGCCCGCATCCAGGTACTTTCCCCGACCTTCGCCATATAGCCTAGAACATTGTGGTACTATTATTTTCATATCACGTTGTTCTAGAGTGGTCTAGTTTATAACCACCCGCATCTCCCTTGGTCCAGCGCCGCTATAGCCTGCACAGTGGCGGCGTAGCATGGGTTGGCACCCGGGGCGATCACCCCCCCGTCCCCCCCGTCATAAGTCCTAAGGCACCCTCTGGTACCCCCCAGGATTTTGGAGTTACAATTCGAAGATTGGAAGACAATCGCACCCCCCCCGTATCATGGACATAGACCGCAGATTTGCCATGCAGATTCGTCAGTGAGTACTAATCTGCGCGACTTGTGTCACCCCCTGATGCTTGGCACCCGGGGCGGACCGCCCCCACCGCCCCCCCCCTTACGCCGCTACTGAGCCTGCACGATACAGCGGGAGTGGTCCACAACTCACAGTCGGTGATGTCAGTCAGCAGCTCGGAGTGCTTGACGCTGTCCAGCGTGGACAGCAGCGAGTCGCGCTCCTCCTCGATGCATCTCCCTTGGTCCGGCGCCGCTATAGCCTGCACGATACAGCGGGAGTGGTCCACAACTCACAGTCGGTGATGTCAGTCAGCAGCTCGGAGTGCTTGACGCTGTCCAGCGTGGACAGCAGCGAGTCGCGCTCCTCCTCGATGCGCACGGTGTCGCGCCGCAGCCGCTCCACCCGCATCTCCACTTGGTCCAGCACTGCTATTAACCTGTATGATACCACAAAACGTCTTATGGAGTTTTAATATGGTTTATTTTTCATAAAAAATACATAGTGTGATTTGCAGCCGTTTTCTGACTTGTCGGTGCGGCAGCGGCGCGAAATCAGCACGCTCGGCATACGCGGTACCGAAAGCTTACCGAGCGCCTATATTTCAATGGAGCGTTCCTGATTGGCGCAGCGTGTGTGGCACAGACTCAATACTCGTGCCGCTGCTGCGCCGACAAGTCAGAAAATGGCCTAAGTGTGATTAACCAAGCATTCATTAGAAAGTGGTGCATGGAAATGTTTTGGGACCATTATTGTTATGTTTGTTTTGCTTAGCTTTGCAATCTTTTTTTCCAACTTGTTTTCTAATATAACATTATGGTATAATAATTCATACATGAAACTATCTAATTGACCATTACATATTTGAATATTTTTAACTTGAAAATAAGTTTTTTAAAATCTGTTCTGTCATTTTAGCAGCATTTTATAATAAAAAATCTTTTTCATTTTTCTTAAGCAGATTGAAAGGCAAATGTAAATGAGTCAAATGCCTAATTTTGAATCAACACAACTTATTATGAATAGGTTCATACAACTGTGTATTACTAATGTGTTCATCGCTGAAGGTTACATAAGGGTTCAGTGAACCTTGGGCTGGGGACAATGCACTTGCACAACACATTTGTTTGCATGTCTGATGCTAAAATGAATTAGTGTTCAATTCTGGGTGGATTGATGGCATTATGAAGTGGAGTTGGTTGACCTTCTGTCATTGTGATTCATGAATAACTAAAATAATAATTCATGGATGAAGCACAATGTGGAAAATCATGCCAAATGTCAGTTATTTTCCACATTGTGCTTTTTCTAACAAGAGGGAAGTGAAACTATAATTCTTGTTTTATTAACAATGAAATTAATAATTTATATAATTTTGGCAATATGTTAAGGTTGTGAATGTACATTCTAGAGAACTATTTTATATTATGAGTGAAAATTACTTAATAAAATTACTTTAAATAGTTAATTTATATTTACCAATTTGGCAAATAAGGAACATTGTACACACAGGCATAATAACGTCTAGTGTCTAGACAAACCTAAAGAGGATTTAGGACGCTATTTGGATCAAATATGTATAATATTAAAAAAAATAAATAAAAACGTACTTACGTTGCAAATATAAAATGACAATGTATAAGTTACCTACATGCAAACTGTTAAATGGCTGTAGAATTTCTGAAATCTTAAGATATTTTAAGCGAACAAAAAACATGCATCTTTAGTATTTCCTTGTAGATTGCGTCAATTGTCAGTCAGTGTAACAACTGCTACCATGACCCAGTAGCGTTTCGCAACACGTTACAAGCAATTAAAATGCTGGCCAAGTACAGGAGTGGCCCTGCTTTGACTTCTGTTGATACATTTCCTTATTTTTCTTTGTTATTGATTCTAATTCATCCTTATATAGCACAATAATATGAATATTATGTATCCAAAAACATTTTACAAAGGATGTGGCACATTTTCTAAATTGGTTATTGCTGAGAAACTGTATAATAGCTTTGAAGATTAATCTCCGATAGCCGAAAGCGCTAAACTATGAGTGTGGGTGGTATCGTTAACTTTTTATAACTAGGCCGTTACCGCTTTGACCTTTTTTGGACGGCGACCTACGTAATGAGATCTCTGAACTGCGCAGCATAGCCAGTGCTGAAGACGCTTAGCAGAAGGTTTTATTCTCTAAATCGACAATCTAATGCGTTATCACTCACCTATCTTTCGGGGCCTGAGTCCCCAAAGCCGACGACTCATCAATAAGGGGCAGCCGAGACCCTTCGCCGGCGTACGACCACTCGGCTGCGTACTGGTCCACTTCCATGGTTCGCGACACGTCCCGGTAAGGCCCAGCCAGGATTAAATTAACCTTTTAATACTTTAAACGCCGATGATTTTGTCTTTCTAATAAAAATATGCAACTAGCACTGATTTTCCGAGAACGAGAAACTTAACGTCAATGTCAAACTGATCAAAACAACAAAAATTGACTGACAGGCGACAGAACCAGACAGAACAAATGACAGGCATTGACAGGAGTGAGAGAACAGATTATGTACTGGAGATAATGTTGCCATTTTTTACTTTTCTTTATGGCAATACTCGTTAAGGCAAAAAAAACACCAAATCTACGGGGTGAAGAAGCTGGCTGACTTGATTTTCAATGACGTGGTTATTTTTATATTGGGAATTTGGGAGACCATGGTGCAGCAATGTGGTGTCGATACTATAGGACTCGTAGTACCAAGTTTCCCGGGTTAAGCCGTAGTTAAATGAAAATATCTTAATAACAATGTTAAAAAGGAGAAAAATAAAAAAGAATCATGTTTTTAAATTTATTTATGTGCTTAAAACGTTCTGATGCTCAGTTTATAAATATTTATGGTATTACTTTGAATGTTTTTCGCATTAACAATAAATAAAATCTTGGCATCGATTTAACAATTTACAATACTGCGATGCGACTGTAGTTTGTCTGGGCGGTATGTGAAACTATTATCCACACAATCTACTAAGAAAAAAAAAACTTATCATAGTAATAAATTTAGATCACAATACATATAGATGACCCACGCTGAACTGTCCCGCCAAACTCAATGACAGGGGGGCGCTACCATCGTTCAACTATATGGTTTCCAACATGTCAAAAATCTGAACCAGCGATCCGGTATTGACGGTGGCGCCCCACTGTCAATGTCATCGACAGGACAGTCCAGTATTTTGGAACTATATTACATAATTTAAATTATAAAAAATATAATACCTCTAGGACCGTAACGCACTAACTAGGGTTTTTAGTATAACTTTTTCAATATTCAAAGCTGTTGTACAGTAGCTTTCGTATAATTTAAAACAACAATTAATAAGATAACAAATACAAAATTTCATAATTTTAAAACATCGATCTCAAATAAAAACAAACGTGTTATTATTTGTACAGAATTAAGATTTGTTCTAACACTAACAAAGGGCTAATATAATATTGAACTTACATTCAAAGGGGCTCTACACTAATTTATCTGAAATCTCTGTATTGTCCTTTAGCCCAAACATGATTCTACAATTTACATATTTTTAGTTATTGCCGAACCGCTAAATTGTGTTTAGCGTTTTTTCACATAAGAACAATAATTAATAAACCATGCAATTTACAGTAGGTAACATAAATACACACATATTCTGTTCTTATATGAGATCGACATTACATTATTTATTATTGAATGATTGAAAATTAATTAAACTAATTCAATAAATTACCATTTACGGCTGAAATAAAAATGGCCTGGAAGAAAAAAGTCGCGTAACTATAATTGACATCGAATAGATACAATCGACCGCTAAGTCTAGTTATTTGTAAATAAATTATGTTATAATTATATTTATAAAAATCTGTGACATAGATTACAAGGGATAAAACTAAATATAAACTGAATGCCATACATTCAAAATATTATTACATACAAGCAGTAAATAAGTTTGAGGTAACGAAATAGTACCAGCAGAGGTTATTTATAGATATGGACTAATATAAAAGCTGAGTAGACCCTGAAGAAGTTTTGCATTGACTTCTGCTGTAGAATTCTCTAATAAGTAATATATTACTCCCACCAAAAAGTTGCGTTTACACCAAAAGATGCACAACTTTAAGTGGTATAAATATACACTGAAATTAGTTATATCTTTGTATTAGTTCAACAAACATTTATTAGCATGCATTAACTACACGATCGTAGTTAATAAAAATAAATCAGGAATTGATAGTTTTATTATTTTTTTAAGCACTAATTATAATTAGTTAACACTAGACGTTTTATTGCATTATTATGAAACACTATTCACAAGCAATATTTTAGAAATACTTTCATAAATAAAATAGGAACACATTGTGTTGAATTTCAAATTATATGACTGGCATATTTTAAAATGCTGTATAATTTAAAAGATATGTTCCATGAAATCATACTTATAAACATAAAGTATTAACATTCATTCATAAGCAATGACTCGTTAACATTACTTCATTTCAAGTGCTTTGTTTGAAGCATTTCTTATAACGTTTTATTTTGGAAATAACATACGAGTAAGTTTAACTCGAGTTGAGCCAAAAGAAATTTTATGTAGTAATGTGTTCTCGCCATTAGATTTAAAGGACAATGACCAAAAGTGGTCCAAATGTCCACCACTATTGAGACCTATATTGGCTTATAGTCCATTAAATACAGATTAACTTTCAATATGGGACGAAAAAAAAATAAGCTGTCAGTAAAAAGTTATGACCGTATGAAAAATTGTAGTAGTTTACGCGCTAACTCAGGAACTACTGGTCCGATTTGAAAATTTTTTTTTGTTATGGATAGCCCATTTATCAAGGATGGTTTTAGGTTATATAACATCACCCTACAACCAATAGGGGCGGAGCAGCGACCACCCGACCATAATTCCAATATTGTTGTCTTTCTTCTCAGCTTTTTTTTTTTCTTTTAGCGAGAATCTAACACGGCGCACTTAGCGACATGACATAACATGCATAGATTAATCCAAAATTTGCGATGGATAGAATGATATCAAGAACATTTTTCGGATGAAAAGGTAAAAAACATGACTTTTCATTCAGTCATAACTTTTTACTGACAGCATATTTTTGATTGCGGTTTGGTTATAATGAATTAGTATTTAGTAGACTATTTTACTACATAGGTCTCGTTAGTGGTGGACATTTGGACCACACTCCATACATTTTTGGTCATTGTCCTTTTCATTAGGATTCATTAAATAAAATAATATTATAGATGAAACAAAAAAATGGCTATCTGCATAAAAACTTGCAAGTATATGTTATAATAATACTAGGAAACTTATTTACAAAAGAAATTGTATTACAGTTATTTTAATTTATAATAGTCAGTTATAAAAAAAATGCTTTATTAAGCTTTTAGACAAGCCAAAATAACATAAGTTGTGCTCTAAATCAACATATTAAAATCTATAACACCTGTATGCTTTTCATTTTGTATGTAAACAATCTCTACTGCCTGAAAACTAGCTACATTATTGTAACCAATTACACGATCACTATCCAGTAAAGTTTGAAAAAGAACTCCACAAAAATAGCTGTCTCTTTCAAAAGCGTTTCTCGATGGGTGGATATGGCGCGTGCGAGCGGGACGGTATCATTTGCCGGCCCACTCGCTGATTCTCCCGTTCTCGAAAACGAGGTTTCTTCGGGGTAAAGGCACTAGTGTACCTCGTTTTACTATACCCATGTCTTCGCCAGGATAGTACTGAAAACGTACAGTACATAATTTATTTATCAGTACTACACACTTACAATTTACACCATTTGATTTTGAACCTTATCCCGTTGGGATACTTGGGATAAAGTTGATAACAATAAAATTACTTACTTGGCATTGTGACACGAATTTCAGGACATCAGAACGAATGAAGTCATTGTCTTCTTTCACTTTCTCAAACCTGAGAAGGTAAATAAGAACGTCAGCTATTGACACAAAATAAGACTATGTCGAAATATAATAAGTAAACAAATTCGACTTTATGTTTTCATTGAGTGATTTAACTCACACCCAACTACCCTCAAAGGAATTATTACTTACAAGTCAGGTTTGGCTATCCTTTCGACTATACATTGGCATATTTTTTCGCACAGCACCTCGTCAAATAACGGGATACCGAACTGCAGATCAAGGATAGTCCATTTCTGAAAATAATAAGATAATCGTAATAAACACCATTTACTAACTATGGTATAAAAGTATAAGCTTAAGTGCACTTTATAAGTTTGTATTGTAGTCATAAAATGATTACCTCGGGTTTACAAGTTTCGTCGTCTGACAAATTGTGCGTGGTGTCAACCCCGCTATCACCCTCTGCTGTAATCTCCGTTAGTTTGTTCGATAACTGCGTAAACATCGATATCGACTCCTCCGCCGGACTCAACAAATCGTTCAACTGGCTCATCGACTTCTCGCTCGCGGTATCACTTCCTTTCTTGCTATCGAATTTCAAATTCTCCACGCTGATCGACGTCGAGTTTATCGCAACCAAATCATCTGAAAAACTTATCGATTCTTTGCTCGTGGAATTTTCTAAGGAGTTTTTCTTGAGATCGCTTTTTTCTTTCAAGTCTTCGATGCTGGTGGACGACGAGTTGATTTGGACGATGTCGTCTGAGCCCGCGATCGATTCCTTGCTTTGATGCGTCTGTTTCGAATCGTCATCGATTGCTAGATTGTCTAATTCCTCGCAAAGTAGCTGCCCGCATTCCACACTAGTGAATCCATTGGCAGGGGAACTAGTTTTACTGTCGATGGTCGGCGTGACGGCGAAGTGGGACTCTATGGGCGACTGTAACCTTTTTGAGTAGTCGGCGGCAGTTTTTTCTGTGGAATCATTGGAGGAAAGTGATATCTCGCTGACAGGTTTCGCAATGCCGCAGACGTCTTTCTTCTTTCTAGACGGTACTGAAAAAAATATAATATTTCGGAAGATTAGACCAGAGCGTTATCTTATACATAGCGAGGTTCAGAGGGGCATGGGACAGATTCACATTTTTTTTCTCAGCCGGCCTAGGATCATAGGATGCGCGCGTCACGAATAATTTTATCGTCGATTAAGGCCCGATTCGACAAACTTTTATCCGAGAATAACTCCTGGTGTAACTGGTACATTGACAATTTCAATATGGGAAATATGTTAAAATGTCGAACAACTGACGATTTATACTGAGATTAATATTTACTCTTGTTTGGTCGAATCCACCCTTGCGATAAAAGTATGGGATTATCGTGTAACATCGATTAAATGCTTTGCATAAGACAATATAATGCTTGATAAGACAATATAACGGCACGAGTTCTTAACTCCAGTCGGTCTAGGATGCGCGCCACGATAAAATCTTATCATCGTTTTCAGGCGACAAATGTATGGACTTATCGCGCGATAAAAGTTTATCACGGCGCGCGTCCTAAACTCCAGGTGAGGTGACGTACGCAGCTGCACGGCGGGCGGCGGGCGCGCGCAGCCGAGGTCGGGCACGCCGATGTCGCACAGCGTGACGTAGCCCGCGCTGCGCGTCAGTCGTAGCCGCTGCAGCAATCGTCGGAGCCCCGCGTGACGGTACCACAGCGATTGGTATGGGTCTGTAACATATTATTTAATTTTATTATAAGCGAGTTTTTCACCGCGAGCGGAGTGAGCCTATTAATGGTTCCGTTTACCTCGTAATACAAAAATGCATATATCAGTTTCCACCAACAAAGAGTCGAGCGAAAATGATAAAGAGTAAAAATGAGCTTGCTCATCAAATCAATATGTACTCCAACTCTTTCCCGATGGAAAAGTAATCCTACTTTATGTACACGAAGACCGCTTCGCTAGAAATCCTTAGGTCATTCGTCTTGGACGGTGGAAAACGGGCTTTAGTTAAAAAAACTTGACTAATCAATCATCATTACTTACCATTGCCATACCGTTCGTCGTTTTCAGGTGGGAACATGATATGTGTGAAGGATGCAGCTTGTCGCACACCAGCCGCCTGCAAGAAAATAAATAGATCAGTACGTATTTTGACTTGATTGACAGTTTATGTGTCTCTTTACACTAGCATTTGTCCAGCATAGACGGACGACAAAGCAGCGCAGACATGACACAGCATTAACGTAGCACAGATATAATACCTCAGTAACAAACAATAGGAAAAGGCATAGAAGAAGAAGTAACGAACGACGAAGAATATCGAGCGTCATGTGTAAAGGGATACTCAGGTAAAAAACAAATGTTATAGTCTGGTCCGGGAGCCCGTAGAATTTTGTCCAATGACCCCAAGCTACCCATCCTTATCGTTCGCGCGTACTTATGTTGCTGTCACGCTCGCACACTAACTGCGGGCGCCCGTCCCAGTCGCGACAGCAATATAATTACGCGCGAGCGATAAGGATGAGTAGCTTGGGGTCATTGGAAAAAATTCTACGTGCTCCCGGACCGGACTATGGTCACAAGTGACGCCGAAAAGGGGTCAATGACACTTACCTGCAGCAACACAGGGCCGCGCCTAAGCGCCGAGTTGGCTGCGGCGAGCGCGGCGGCGGCGGGCAGCGCCGTGCCGCCTCCAGCGCCGCCTCCGCGCCCCACCACGACACCGCAAAATAGATAGGACAAAGTGCCAAGCCAGTCTAAACCAGTGCAAGAACGAACGCCGCCCGCTTGAGACTCGTCTGTGTGCGTAGTGCAAAAGGAAGTACACACCGGTGATTGTCTTCTGTCACTATCTATGTTGTACCAGGCCTGGTCATCTCCGCGAGTTTACATCGAAAACAAAACACGCACGATGGCCCACCTACAGGATACTATTCGACAAGGCCACAGACACACACACACAGACATATGAGCGAACATTGACTTACGCACGCGTATTCTTGTGTATGATGGAAGAAAATAAAGAAAATGGTGTACTAAATACTGTGCAGTATTTAACTGCCTAAATAATAATAAAAACACAGAATGTACTTTTTTAAGTTGCCTCAAGACACTGAGAGGTAAATAAGTAGTTAATATTATTCATGATCATTCATGCTAAATCATGTATTTCCTCCGTCATTTTCCGCAGTTTGGCACCTCACGTCACATCATTTTACCGAAGTCAGCCTCTATAGCCACACTAACAGCCGGTCCATATGGTCATTTTGACACCTGCACATTTCAACCGTTGAGCGTTTTTTCGCATTGACTACCCACTCCCAGAATGAAATAGATAGGACAAAGTGCCAAGCCAGTCTAAACCAGTGCAAGGACGAACGCCGCCCGCTTGAGACTCGTATGTGTGCGTAATGCAAAATGAAGTACACACCGGTGATTGTCTTCTGTCACTACCTATGTTGTACCCAGTGCGAGGTGACACTACAGTAAATACAAATGAGTAGGTCATCTTCATAGAAACGCACAGTCTTTTAAAATCATTTGGAAGCGGACATTTTTTGGTGAATAGATGACATGATTTAACAAGTAAATCTAAGTAAATTCCTAAAAGAAACCCGTGGTCTATCTTCAACAGCTTTCGAGAAAAAAAGTGATTTTAAAAGACTGTGAAACGTAATACATATACTACAGGTAACACTGACCTGTAGTAACACAGGGCCGCGCCTAAGCGCCGAATTTGCTGCGGCGAGAGCGGCGGCGGCGGGCAGCGCAGTGCCGCCTTCGAGCGCTGCCTCCGCGCCCCACCACGACACCGCCAGCCGCGAGTAGCCTAGAAGCGCGCGCGGGATGCAGCGCAGCACTGTGCCTGGGGTAATGAACTTATTGTGAGAAAAAAGTAAATAACCCTTAATAAGGCTATGGGAATAGAGTTCCCACTTTAAATTCAACCTTGTTGTTGTTGTTGTTTCAGCCAAATGACGTCCACTGCTGGACAAATTCAACCTTACACCCTTGAAAAACAATGAAAAATTTAGACTTGCTCTGCCCTATTAAAGGAAAATAAATACGCTTAGGGTATACGTAAAACTTGAGCGGGTGCACGCAGCGGGTACCCGCTCCGGACGTCCGATGCAGGTGAGCGGGTGCACGCAGCGGGTACCCGCTCCGGACGTCCGATGCAAGCACCCGCCGCGTACGTATATCTACCCATAGCGCGCAATTACACGCCCTTGCGTGACGTGCAACCACCCACCGCTACGCGTATTGAAATCCCGCGCATGCGTCCACGCCCACTTTCGCAGCTCATACTATTTTTAGCTACAAATACGCGTGCGTGCGCCTACGCAAGTTTTAGCGTTAGCCCTAAAGGGGCTTGTGCGCAAAAATGCTAATCGACGCAAAATGCGAATTCGCAATGCAAAAAACTGGGATACGAATTGCTGTTGGGAATTCGTAGATTTTTACAATGCAACGTCGCATCGCAGTTAAGGTTTAGTCAAACCAACGCGACCACACGCGATCAGCCGGCGTGCAGCGATGGCGATCAGACGAACCTTTATGTGTAAAAAAGCCGTAACTGAAGGCTGCCACTGCCACGGCTATTTTTTTTTTTTTGATGGCCTCAACGTTGAGTGTTTGAAGTACACAGTTTCACCAAGTTAGAAGTCGCGCACCTTTGGTGAGCAGCAGCGTGGGCGGCCCGTAGCCGGCCACGTGGTAGAGGTAGAGGCGCATCCAGGGCGTGGCGGCCTCGGGCGGCGCGGGCCCACGTGCGGCCTGGGCCCGGCCTGTAGTCTGCATGGTACACTGTGGACGGTGGACGAGGGCGCACCTTTGGTGAGCAGCAGCGTGGGCGGCCCGTAGCCGGCCACGTGGTAGAGGTAGAGGCGCATCCAGGGCGTGGCGGCTTCGGGCGGCGCGGGCCCCACGTGCGGCAGCGAGCCGGCCGCCGCCCCTGCGCGTGCTTCCCTGCACAGCGGCGCCGTCGATATCGCCAGCCTGCAATACACAGGGTTACATAGTATACTATAGTCTGGTCTGCGAGCACGTAGAATTTTGTCCAATGACCCTAAGCTACCCATCCTTATCGCTCGCACGTAATTATGTTGCTGTCGCGCTCGCACACTCACTGCGGGCGCCCGTCGCACAGTCGCGATAGAAATATAATTACGGAGAAGGATTTTGATTGATTTTTTGTTTGAGATGTGACACGGGGGCGGGGCCGGTGTCGCAGCAATATGCCCAAAAACAGAACACATTGCTCGTGACAGCAATGATGACAGCGGCGACCTCATAATGTAAACAGTTTACATTGCTTGTGTAGTACTAAAGATTATTCGAACGTTGAGTACTGATACCGCAGTTGATATAGTCTATCCAATATAGCTTGATTAGNTGCCATTTCATCTCATTTGGTTCAGTGGTTTAAGCGTAAAAAGTAACAAACATCCATCCAGACACCCGTCCATTCAGCTATCCTTACACACTATTACATTTATAATATTAGTAGAGTAGGATAATTGTAAGTTTTTTTGTGCAAAATAAGAAAGATATTTAGTGAGATGCTGTTTGATGATACTTGTCCCGTAAAATAAGATGGGATTTTAAGTATCGATTGAGCTTACTTTACAGACACCCTGTATACGCATCGCAGTTTTGAACCCTGCAGCGATAATGCCAGCTATAACCCTGTAGGTCGCAACAGAAGTAGCCCGTGAGCGTTCCAGTCCATTATTTTAAGAGTCCATACGACGGTTTTGCTACAGTGCAATGCAATCAATATTTAATTTACGCACTTTGTCCAACACGAAAAACGCATTTCATAAACTTTAATAGCGAAAATGATTGCAGCATTAGGATACAAAATAATCATAAAGTAATGTTACTTAATTTCTCTTTAAAGGTCCACTTTTTTTATCCACAACGAGGAAGCTCTTGGCCTGTATCTCACCTGATGGTTAGGTTACCTAACTGGTTGGGAATCGGACCTCTGCGTCTGAAGCAGGTGGTCTTACCACTAGACCTCAGAGGCGGCAGCCACAGGACATCCACTGCTGAACATAGGCCACCGCCAATGATTTCCATACTGACCAGTTGATATACCTACATCCAGCACCGTCTTGCCACCTTCCAGTTAATACAGAAGTCTTATACAGGGTGTTACTTTGCATTCTTGCCATATTTACAGAGGTTACTATATTACTGATACTGAACACAAATCCGTAAAAAAATAATGCCCGAAATATTTTTTTTTTAATCTTGAGAATTTTATTTTATCGACAATCTGTTAAACACACCACTAATTATCGTAACGCATGCACATCACTTGTTGGCGATGGCGATGGAGACTTTTTTACTTTTTATTGTATTTTTAAATATCTATTGCAATCTATTGTCTTTAAAATGTCTTTTTGACACTTGTAAAAAACTGAGAAATCCATCAAACACAAATCACGTTATAAATAATACAAAAATGAGTGAAGTGTATTCAAACAACGAATAATTTAATCAAAATGGTGCTTGGAGTGTCTGCAAGACGTCTTAGACGAAATGCTTGATGACGTACCCTTAGCATTACACCAAATGCTCTACTACCAGCAGGATGGTGCTCCCCCACAATAAGGACGTCAAGTGCGCGAATAATACGTTTGGTGAACAGTGGATTGGACGAGGGGTCCAGTAGCTTGGCCACCACGATCCTCGGACCTGACACCAATGGATTTTTGAAGTGACTTGAAACGACTGGTATGCGCAGAAGAGATAATTGGACCAAAATGGATGATGTCCTTTGTTAAATATGTTAAAAAATTAGTTTTAATTTAATATGACATTTGTCGATATGTCCCAACAGTAACATTTTTGTAACTCGAGATAACCTTGTAGAGACATCGTTAATACTCTAGCTTGATTTTTATAATTTCGAATTACTACTTATTGGTGTAATTTAACGCTGCATTTACACGAAATTAACATTTTTTTTGGAAGCACTGTCGTCGAAAATATTGTTTGTAGGTCAGACGTGAATTATTTCTTGTCCGCCAATATTTAGCTCTCATTGATCGCTACTACAAAGTTATGTCGTTACTTTTGATGGCAGCTGTCATTCTAATCAAGCTATATTGGATAGACTATAATAATGAGCACATATTTTGATTTCTTTGTGTGTGTGAATTTCTAATGCGACACCGAGTTCGAACTCAGCGCATTAGCTGGCATCTCTCTATATCTCTATGGTTACATACATAAGGTAGACGAACTAAAATCGCTAACATAGCCCGACGGATTAGCAAGCTGAAGTGGCAATGGGCAGGGCATATAGTACACAGAACTGACGGCCGATGGCGCAGCAAGGTTATGGAGTGGAGGCCACTACGGAAAACGCAGAGCTCATGAAGATAGAAGGAAGGCGCTGGATACAGGCTACCAACCGGGCAATGTGGAAATCATTGGGAGAGGCCTATGTTCAACATTGGACGTCCTGTGGCTGAAATGATGATGATAATGAACGTTATTTCACCGTGGGTTATCTATAGTGCAGTAAGTGCTGAACGTTCCTTTCGTTTAAGTAAAGTTTAGTGATCTTTTCAATGGCTCACACGAGTGGCAATGGACGATAGTGTCGCTGCATTCATATCCAACATACCTATACTTAGTGGCCAGTAGCCGAGCGCGCGCCTGCGCCCCAAGCGCATGCAGCGCTTCACAGCGCAGCAAGTCTAGCGGGCGGAGTCGCGGGCGCAGCGTTCGCAGCGCTACACGCAGGCAGGCGGCCGCCGCCAAATAACGGCGCGCCTCGCCCTCTATCTCGGGGTCGGCGACCACCTGCAATGTTTTAAAATTAGAATAGGGTAGAACAGCGGTTCCCGAATGGTGGTCGAAAGGCCGCAAGGGTTCCGTAAAAAATATTATCCCACGTTTCGTGACCGACGTTGTTCGCTCGCACCGACTTGTTTACGCACAAGGGAGGGGCAGGGCGTGCGGGCGGAGTAGTACGGGGGTTCCGTTAGGAAAAGTATAATCAATTAGGGTTCCTTGGCAAAAAAAAATTGGGAAACCCTGGGGTAGAAGATACTACGGGACTATTCCCACCTCTCGTTCCAACCGCTACAACTCCTGTGTAGCCAGGATCTACCGCCAATAAAAACCCTACCAATGAAGGTCAAGTTTGTCCCGGGGAAAGTTAAATTGTCATTGGACCCGCGACCAAATTATAGACCCAATATACTGACCTGTCCTACCCGTGACATTGACAGCGGGGCGCCACCGTCAATACCGGATCGCTGGTTGCCATGATTTTTGCCATGTTAGAAACTATATAGTTGAACGATGGTGGCGCCCCCCTGTCAATGAGTGGGACGGTTCAGTTTAGGTCATCTATAATCAGGAATTCGAAGGAGTTGTCAAAAACGCATCTCCCATAGACAAGGACAAGATTTGACGTCACCTTTTCGCTATTGACTATTGATGTCGAATGATTGGTTTATAGTTCATTAGTTCGTTCGTTCGTTTCAGCCGAAAGACGTCCACTGCTGGACAAAGGCCTCCCCCAAGGATTTCTACAAAGACCGGTCCTGCGCCGCTTGCATCCAGGTACCTCCCGCGACCTTCACCAGATCGTCGGTCCACCTAGTGGGCGTGATCGAATCAGAAATGAGGAGATCCGTAGGAGAACCAGAGTGACTGACATAGCCCGCAGAATCGCTCAAATCAAGTGGCAGTGGGCGGGGCACATAGCTCGAAGAGCTGATGGCCGCTGGGGCAGGAAGGTTCTTGAGTGGCGACCACGAGCTGGAAGACGTAGCGTGGTTAATAGTGTCTGCCTCAAAATATCATAAAAACACTTCCAAATCACAAGTGAGACTTTCCAGATAAACTTGGTTGACATTATGTACATAAATACCTTATCTAATTCCATAAGTAAACTGTCCAAGCTCTCATCACACAGTTTTCCGACTTCAAACAACGTCACCGCATGACTTTTGAGATCCTAAAACAAATATCGTGTTTTATTATTCACATCATGAAGCAGTCACAGGTGAAAGCCGACTTTATGACATAGACAATAGAGTGCAAATTTACCGGTGACAGGTTCCCCATCATAAGGTATGCTGCTAGCGTAGAGTCAAAAAGAACAGCCACTCTTCTGCCTGCACTACCACCATTATTAGATGGTTCGGTTGGCTCTTCATAATTCTGAAAAAAAAAAACAGTTATTATATATAGTTAATACCACTCCTAAAGGAACTCTTATTTGTTTACTCTAAGCGTGAAATGACAACCTGTTTGGAGGTAGACGGTTCTTGTTTTATGAGCACCGGCTCCATTTGTAACGTTTCTTCGTCACCGCTGGGGTCGAAGGTTAGTGGTGTGATTTGTCTGTACCTGTAAAAAGGATTCAATGTAAAAAAATACGAAAAAAAGCGATGAAGAATGATTAACTCGATTTTATGAGGGGACGGGTTTATGTCCATCTGATAATGAATATTTTAATTTACTATAATGACATGGCTTTATAAACTTTTAGTGCGCGCGCGCTATGCTGGGAAATGAGTCGGCGGTATTACATCGTAATAAGATGCATATGATGCCTCATATGCATGGTGTTCACTTATTCGTACGCTCGGCTGACATACGCGACCCATGCCAGTGTAGGAGTATATCAAGCCTATAATGCTGGGGCCACACTAACGCCTAACGTCAATGCCCACTAGCGCAATAATTATTGATACACTGACGTAGTGTGGTGTGGCCGCTTTGTCGCATTAATTCTCGCGTTAATCTCTGACGTACCGCCACTTGAGCTATCGTCTAACGCCAAACAGCAATGTTAATGCCGTTATCAAATTATCGCGGTAAGTCGTGGCTACACCTACGTCCATTATCGCAATAATTAATTGCATTTCGCGTTCCGCCTCCGCTAAAACTGGCTTGCATTTCGGTGCATTAAAAAGCGGGCGTGCGCATATGTTTTAGCGCAGGCCCTAAAGGTTTCCGAGGGTATACTGACGGCTGGTGGTGGTGCGTGGTGAGCGCGTCGTGCCATGAGATATTATGGTGCCTCATATAAGTGTTTATTCGTGCGCTCGGCTGACGTACGCCACCAGCGCAAGCGTAGAAGCCTTAGGCCTCACACTCATAATGCGGTTAGCCGCAAGCGATTGCATATTAAACTGGAAAAGCGTCTAGTCGCGTGGTTGGCCGCTCCCGGTGTACTATCGGGGACTCGAACGCCTTGACACCTTAAGGGCCTAAATTGTTTGCACACACACGCTCGATTTTGCTCCGCCCCCGTTCATTCATGTTTCAAGTCTAAGCAGCGTCGGCGCACCACTGTAGATGTTTGCCCTAGCAAACCAAGCTCTATGTAAAGCACTTAGGATTGAGTATTGCTTATTACCCGCATCCGTAGCGCTCGTTTGGCAACGTCGCATTTTAGTCAATTTGAAACCCAATTAAGAATCGCTACAAAATATTATATGAGGCTTCGTGTAAAATTTGAACTAGCGATTGCCCGCTCGGGTCACAAAATTGCTATCGCACATTTCGTATTGCAACCTAAGCCCTGATTGTCTCTTATTGGTCGTAGTAAAAATATAGTAAAATGCGTAACCAATTAGAGACGGGGTGAGCACGTGACCGGAGCGATGCGCTTACGCTAAAATTTCTACAAAGTGGTCAGGCGGAAGAGTCCCCGATAGTACATACAATTTTGGATTTTCGGTTAACTGAACGACTAGCAGCAGTGCGGCTGATAGTACGTATATATTGTGCTTGTTCACGTAGGTACGCGCGGGCGCGGGAAACGTTGCGAGCTCGTGTTCACATCAACCACCAGGCGTTCGCGCGAGTGTGACGTACTATCGTTTCTAGCGACAAGTTCAAACTGGTTGAACTTACCTGTGTTGAAGTTTATACTTAATCTGTGTAACAAAATAATAGTGGTGCCCTCTAGTGTAAGTTCTTGACTAACTGCCTTCGATTTGAATAAACGTCAGTCTATGAGAAAATCACAAGCGCGTTTCAATAGGTTATGGGCCCAGGCCACGATTTAATAGTATTTCGGTGTGAATTTTATAGTATCAGTGTTAAAAATGTCGGGAAACTACGCAGTGAACGTCCCCAAATTGAAGGGAAGAGAAAACTATGACGATTGGGCTTTTGCCGTGGAGAACTTCATGATACTCGAAGGCGTGGACGTGAACGACGCGGCGGGTTTGTCGGAGTCGGAGAACAAGAAGGCCAGGGCAAAGATTATAATGACGATCGATCCATCATTATATGTCCACATCAAGAGCGAAGCCACAGTTCAAGCTTTGTGGAATAAATTGAAATCGTTATTCGACGATTCTGGGTTCACACGCAAGATTACTCTTCTAAGAAGCCTTATTTCAATACGATTGGAGAGTTGCGATTCGATGACCAGCTACGTGAACCAGCTCGTGGAAACTGCACAAAGATTAAGTGGAACGGGTTTCGAAATCAATGATGAGTGGGTCGGCTCGTTGCTACTGGCGGGACTTCCCGAGAGATTTAGTCCCATGATAATGGCCATCGAGCATTCTGGGCTAAAAATCAGTGCTGATGCTATAAAAACCAAGTTATTAGACATGAGTTCGGACTTTGAGGTTAAGTCGGAAGGCGCGCTTATTGCACAAGCTCCGAAGCGCCCTCTACAGGCGCAAGGGCGACACGGTAGCGGAAATAGCAATAATGGAACACTCCCATCTGTCAGTGGAAATGTCAACCAAAACGAGAAAAAGCAAATTCGTTGCTATCACTGCAAAAAGATTGGCCATTTTAAAAGCCAGTGCCGCCTATTACATAAAGACAGACAGAAATCAAGTTCGAACGCGAATGTGTTGAGTGCAGTTTTTATTACGCGCGAGTTTAACCAAAACGACTGGTACGTCGACTCAGGCGCGAGCGCTCACATGGTGTCAGACAAAAGTTTGTTGACAAACATATCTAATGAACCGAAAATTAAGGAGATTATAGTCGCTGACCGCACGAAAGTACCAGTGTTGTGCTCAGGAGATCTTCAGTTAACCACGCGAGTCAATGGAACGACGCACAAGGTAGAAGTCAAAAATGTTTTGTGCATCCCCACGCTCACCACAAACTTATTATCAGTGAGCAGAATGATTGCAAATGGTAACAGAATATCCTTTAACAAGAGAGGATGTTACATTTACAACGCTCAGAACATATGTATTGGTGAAGCAAGCCTGGAGAATGATGTGTACAGATTAAACATTGAGAAGTCAGAGCAACTATTAGCAGCGGCAGTGCAGACCACTTGTGATACATGGCATAGAAGATTAGGTCATATAAACATGAGAGACCTTGAGAAGATGAAGAAAGGTGCAGTTGAAGGCGTATCTTACCAAGAAAAGTGTGATAAGAGCAAATCAAATTGTGTAGTATGTTGCGAGGGTAAACAAGCGAGGCTGCCCTTTCCCCTCAGCTCCAGCACAAGTAGCAAAATCCTAGAAGTGGTTCACACTGACTTGTGTGGACCAATGGAAAAGAAATCACTTGGTTCAGCAAGATATTACCTGTTATTCGTCGATGACTTCAGCCGCATGTGTTTTGTTTATTTCCTGAAGGAAAAGAATGAAGCATTCAAGTATTTTAGAGAATTTAAAGAGCAAGTTGAGAATCAACACTCAGAGAGGATAAAAATACTCAGATCAGATAATGGTGGTGAATTCTGTTCAGTAGAAATGGAAAACTACTTGAAAAGAAACGGCATTATTCACCAGAAGACAGTTGCCTACACACCTGAGCAAAATGGGTTGTGTGAAAGGTACAATAGATCAATTGTAGAAAAAGCACGCTGTCTTTTATTTGAGGCTTCATTTGATAAACATTTGTGGGCAGAAGCTGTAAATACAGCGGTGTACCTCAAAAACAGGTCACCAGCAGCTGGACTGGACAACAACAAAACACCTTATGAAGTGTGGAATGGCAGAAAGCCTAATCTCAACCATATCAGAGTCTTTGGAAGTCAAGTGATGACCCACATTCCCAAAGTGAGACGTGAAAAATGGGATAAGAAATCTGAAATGCTAAGACTTGTTGGGTATTCTGAAAATGTGAAAGGGTACAGACTATACAATGAAAAGACTCACAAAATAACTGTCGCAAGAGATGTTGTTGTGATGGAGAAACCAAGGAATGACAGAACAGAGATTATGGTTGAAGAGAGGGAGCCAGCAGGAGAAGCAGTAGAAGAGGAGAGTGAGGGGAGCACTGAGGAGACAACCACCGAACATGACCCTACGTATATCCTGAGTGAAACATCATCATCAAGTGACCAGGATGAAGATTTCAGTGAATGCTTGACAGCAGATGACTTAATATCCACTTCATCGAGCCATGCTGACATTCAACATGGTAAACGTGTTCGTCGTGCGCCAGATAGGTACGGTTTCGCGAACATTTGTGTTGAGGACCCCTCCAGTGAACAAATATCTCTCCAGGACGCTCTTCAAGGACCTGAAAAGGTTCAGTGGTGTAGTGCTATGCAAAATGAACTAAAGTCGTTCGAGGACAATAAATCTTGGGAATTAGTGGACAGACCCAGTGAAGGCACAGTAGTTCAAAATAAATGGGTTTTCAAAAAGAAGTGTGATGACCAAGATAATGTGCGCTACAGAGCTCGTCTTGTCGCCAAGGGCTTCACACAAATCAAAGGTACTGATTTTAATGAAACTTTTGCTCCTGTTTTACGTTACTCAACTTTAAGATTACTTTTTGCTTTGAGTGTACAATTTAATCTGAAAATGAATCATTTGGATGTGCCAACAGCTTTTCTTAATGGTGATATTGATGAATGTGTATTTATGGAAATACCAGAAAATTCAAATTTTGTAAATTGTCAGAATAAAGTTTTGAAGTTAAAAAAGGCAATCTATGGGCTGAAACAGTCAGCCAGAGCCTGGTACATAAAGGTAGAATCAAGTTTGTTGAAATTGGGTTTCCAAAAGTCCAAATATGAACCCTGTTTATTTATAAAAAGTCATGAAAATGTTAAAGTTTTTGTAGCTTTATTTGTAGACGATTTTTTTGTCTTCTATAATTGTGATAAAACCTACAAAGATTTGAAAAGAGTTTTAGAGTCTGAATATAAAATTAAAGATTTAGGACAGATAAAAAATTGTCTTGGTATGAATGTAAATGTTAAAAATAACTGTGTAACTTTGGATCAAGAACAATTTGTGAACAATATTTTAAAAAGATTTAATATGCTTGATTGTAAAACTATAGATACACCAATAGAAGTGAACTTAAAATTAGAAAAAGCTACTAAAGATTGTACTGAAACTTTTCCTTATCAACAGTTAGTTGGATCACTTATGTATTTGTCAGTACTTACACGCCCTGATATTTCCTATAGTGTCAGTTTTTTGAGCCAATATAATACATGCTTTAACGAAAGTCATTGGAATCACTTAAAAAGGTTATTAAGATATTTGCAAAAGACTAAAAATTTTGGGTTAAAATTTATAAAAAATAATAAAGAATTACAAGGTTTTGTAGATACAGACTGGGCAACTTGCAATATAGATAGAAGATCTTACACGGGTTATTGTTTTGTGTTATCAGGATGTATTGTAAGTTATGAATCTCGCAAACAGAGAACAGTGGCCCTGTCTAGTACAGAGGCTGAGTACATGGCTTTATCAGAGGCATGCAAAGAAGCGATTTACCTAAAGAATATAATGTTAGAACTACATGCTTCTGATAAAGACAGACCATTGTGCTTATATACTGACAGTCAAAGCTCTCTGAAATTAGCTTATAATCCGTTATTCCATAAGCGAACAAAGCACATTGATGTGCGACACCATTTTACTAGAGAATGTGTCGCTAATAATAAAGTTAAAATTAATTATTTGCCAACTCCTTCCATGCCAGCTGACATATTTACTAAAGGTCTTTGTGCTACCAAGCATTACAAGTTTATTGATATGATGGGATTATGTAGTGTAAAATAAATTAAATACTGTTATTTGTAAAATTTAATTCCTATCAGTAAAAGTCACTTAGATGTAAGTACAGTGTTATTTTGTTAAGAGAGGGTGTTGAAGTTTATACTTAATCTGTGTAACAAAATAATAGTGGTGCCCTCTAGCTAGTGTAAGTTCTTGACTAACTGCCTTCTATTTGAATAAACGTCTGTAATAATAACCAATCGAAGACTTGTTCAAGTATGTATTTCTACACCACTGATTTAAACAATAATAATTTCAACGTTACTTCTTACTAATAAGTACATCTTGTCGGCGTCGTCGAACAACGACGTATTTGCAAAATGTTAAGTTTCCAGGAGAGCGTTTTGAAGTTTTGGAACCGGTTTTTTGTGTCTACAAAAAAAACTACTTGGCTGATCGATTTAAAATTTGGGGATGATNTTGACTAACTGCCTTCGATTTGAATAAACGTCAGTCTATGAGAAAATCACAAGCGCGTTTCAATAACCTGACGTCGCGAGTGAAACGCGCGCGCCTCCGCTAGTTTGACATGAACAAACATCTTTATCCATTGAAATTACGCGCGCACTAGTCGCTAGCTTGCCCGCTAGTTAGACCGCACCGTTTCGTACGTGAACACCTTGGAATCACTACATATGTTTGATATTTCGTCACCGCGCCCGCGAGTCAACGTGAACAAGCACTAAGGCTTTAGGTTTTAGAGGGTATACTGACGGCTGGTGGTGGTGCGTGGTTAGCGCGTCGCGCCAGGAGGGGTGGTGCGGCGCGGCGGGCGGCGGCTGCAGGTTGCGTGCGAAGCCCAGCCGGCAGTATAACGACACTGCTTGCTTCACCAGCTCGCACTCCACCTGAGAGAGAGAACAAGTTCATCTAATGTAGGCTGCCGCTTCGGTATACTTGGCTTGCTAAGCCTTAACATTAATTTCAACCGTAGCATTAAAACTATAAGGTGCATTATTATCTGTCACCTGAAACTCCCTTGCCGTACTGTCCTGATAGTACATTATAGCTCATGAGCGCAGTCCCTAAGGATCATTGAGACACTTAAAGCTACGGTAAATCAACGCGTTATACCCGCGATCGATAACTCAGGGATGCTAAAACTGGTTGTATCGTGTGTCAGGCAGTCAGTCATGGATCGTCGTTTTTCGTTCAACTTATTATTGTTAAAGTGTAGGTACAGTCAGTTCACAGCACGTCATTTTTACAATTGAAATAGGGTTGTGTTGTCAACTTTTTGGCTATCCACGAACTATTTGGCGCTGACTGTAAACGAACTGTTTTATTACCTGCAGCACAGAAGCCAGGTCAGCAACACTAGTGTGCTCATCCACAGACACGAAGACCTTGTACAGCAGCGTCTCGAAGTAATCTCCCGCCACGCGGTTCATCACGAAGCCCTTGAGCGGCGGCACCGACACGCGGTCCGCCGCCGTGATCGGCACGTCTAGGTAGATCAGCCCGCGTCTGAAACATTTCGTTTGGGTGTTTTTAAAGTATTTCACAGCCGTGATTCGTCATGAAGCCTTTTACCGGCGGTACCGACACGCGGCACAGTGGATCGAAATGGCAATAAAGTGGACATAGGGTTTTTTCCGGAATACCGAATTTTAAAAATTGCCAATCGATAGTCCTTTGCTCACTCATCACGACATGTCATATCACATTTTTCACTAAACCTGATACTTTAGCTTAAAAAAATAATTTGTGTTTTTTTTGTATGAAACGTGACATAAAGTACCAATTTTCTCCGAAGACCTGCTAGATCGTGACTTGAAACAACCTAGGTCGGTATAACTGCATTATTTACTAATATTCTAAGCTATTTCCAGCTGCTCCAAACCGCCACTTAACCTGTTAAACGATTCCGAAAAAAAATTAAAATTGACTCTATGTTGAGCATTGGATGTCGTGTAATGATAATGATAAAAGTTGATTAAAATAATGTACCTAATTAAAGATATTTGATGCTACTTACGAGATAACTACCTACTATGAACAAACAAACGTGAGATCGTGTTAAATCTCAGATAGATAAAACCAATTATCTCAATATCAATGTCGAAAGCTAAACTGATTGTTTAGCGTAGTAAACATTTATAACTCTATTATTTCTATTGCTGTTGATATCTTCGTAAGGTAAGTGAAATGGTACTGCAAAAAAGCTGATGTTAAAGAACATAATATGGAGCAGTTTTGAAATAATATTTTAAAAGGATATGGTTAGTATCTCACCTGTACAGCGTTTTGACGATATTGTAGTCGAGGGTGCCTGCGGTCTGCGAGCCGCGGTCGATTAGCAAATCTATTAGCGCCTTCTCGCTCTCACTCAAAGGCTACACAAACAAACGAGCAGGCAATATTAATCTTCGTTAATTGAGTACAAATACAAAAGCTATTCAGGGTTAACATTTTTAATTAAGACTTCGATTAAAAACAAAAAATCAGTAAAAAGCTGAACACATGGCGTCATCTCAGTTCGGACTATGATTTCAGTTTGTTCCTTTAAGAAGATCATAAACCATTCAAGAAAGGGATTGCACAAACGGGATTTTGTATTCATTGTTTCAAGCCAAAAACTTTTAAATGATAACAAACTACAGTAAATTTCGCCGCCTTAGGTACACTCAGTCAGTGTTTGAGATATGGGAGTAGCACGGGCATTGATATTGGCTTGACCTGACAGAGCATACAATACAAATCTGAAGTCTCGGTAACGTTTGATCGTCACAAAAACACCCTCCTGTGCCGCTGCCATACCTCAGGCGCTGACTTAATTAAGACTATCCTGGCAGTTTACCTTGACGTCATCTTCCAAGACGTATCCAAGCTCCACCCTCCACCAGGGCTGCATTGGTATATTGAGGGGGACCCGCGGCAGCAACGCCCGGATGGCTTTGGAGCGCCCGCGGCGGCCCAGCGAACGGGCCTTTGCCACCAACTCAAGGTATTCGTTGCGGCCTATGCCTAGCAGTCTGAGGCCTGGATGCAAAAATCCTTTGTCAGTCAATATTTAGTGTTGATTGGTATTCGTTGCAGGGCGTAGCTACCGCCGTATCAATGACACGGGGCCCATTAGCTACAAAGGCTGAATGAACCATTAAACAGAGTAGGCAAAGAAGCCCTAGGTTTTTAAGGAGCTAACCAGGGTCCTGCGATCGAGGGAATAACGTTTTTTACTGTGAAAAGAGCCATCTTGATGCTCGATAGCCTTTTTTGAAGTTGAAAGGGCCCCCATTAAATTTTGATACAGGGCCCATCTAAGGAGAACTACGCCATTGATTTGTTGCGGCTTATGCCAAACGGGTGCGTGACAGTTTATATAAGTTTATATGATATAAATTCATTTCAATAACGTTCATATTGTATAATAAACGTATGTTATAATAACACTTGATATAATTTTTTAACATATAATGTTTACTTCATATAATAAATCATTTCTAATAATATCATTTCAGATACCAATCACAACGCATAAAGACATTTGATATAAACCTTAATTAATCTAAGACTCATTTGATGTAATTTTGTTTAATATAAATATTATTTCACATAACCATTACTTGTAATAAATATTATTTGTTATACTCTTTAATTGATATAATTTCTGATAGATATAACTTTAAGTATGTTCTTTTTTAGCTTGACTTATAAATGACTTTAGTGACAAAAACGAATCGCCGTAAAACCGACTCCACGTAGTCTTGTCTGCCCTACCCCTAGAGTGTAATTTAGAAGCGCGTAGGCACGGAGGGGCGAGGCGGCCCGCGGGCTGAGGAGCAGGTGGCTGGAAGCGAGGCGCCTCTTAGCCGGCCAGCAAGCCGAAGACGCGGTGTCGAGCGAAAGCCATCTGCGACGATTAGCACGCGAGGGACCGCCAGAGACCCGCAGTGCCGGAGCCGTGACAGAAGTCTCAAGTTTTTAGTCAAATTTGCATGCTGCATGCCTGCATGCCTGCTTGCTTGCTTGCTTGCCTGCTTGCTTGCTTGCTTGCCTGCTTGCTTGCTTGCTGCTTGCTTGCCTGCTTGCTAGCCTGCTTGCCTGCTTGCTTGCCTGCATGCTAGCTTGCTTGCTAGCTTGCTTGCTTGCTTGCTTGCTTGCTTGCTCGCTTGCTTGCTTGCTTGCTGCATGCAATGCTTATTATTACAAATGAACTTTATATAAAATTATTATTGTTATATGATTTAAGTTTTATAGGAAAATAATTTTATCTCAATTGATTGTTCGACATTTTATTTTTATATGATTTGAATGTTATTTGTTTTAAATAGTATACATTGTAAGTTTTATAGAAAATATTCATTATATCAAACCATTTTATATCAGTTAATAGTTATTTGTCTTAAAATTATTCGTTTTAAAATTATATTATTCGTTTATTATAGTAAATAATTATTATATTAAACGATTTTATATAATTTGATGTTATATCCTCTAAGTATTATATGATATGTAGTTATATCATACATTACACACCCATGCCAAACAGCTTATGGCTGGGAGGTGCAATGTTTTAACAATGCTAATTTGCTCACAAATACGACTCTGTTTTTCAGATAAGGTATCAGAAGGTCATCCTCAAAAAGACAAAATTGATGATCAATATAGGCTATAAAATGTTACCAATGTGCTTGGTGTAATTTATGTTTTTCTTGGTGTTACAAATAGAAAATTTTTAGAGTATACTCACAGTCAGCAGCAGTGAAGTTGGGCATAGTGTCATAGCTCTTCTCCATCTCTATGAGAAGTGCTACCACTTCCACATAGTAGATGAATGGTGTTATCCTTAAACCTGATAATAGAGAAAACATATTATCTATGTACCTAGGATATGTTGTGACATGGTATGGATTACTTGATAAGAAATAAAACCATACGTTTTTAGTTAATTAATTAATAAAAACACATACGCGCGGCTGTGCGCTGCGGCCGCGATATTAAATGTCAGGCAAGGCCGATTGTCGCGACATAGCAAAAAATAACTAACACTAATAATAAACATAGCTAATAGTTTGTACACATTAGTATTGACTCTTAGAGAGGGTATTTAATAGTAATTTATAACACACAATTTCTTTAATGTTTACCTTTACACTTGTCATTTGTATTAAAAAACCAAAGACCAAGTTATAACTAAGAAACTAGTTACCTAGCTAGCTTCACTATTAAATTAAGAATACTGCCATAAAGTTAATAATAGAAAAAAGCAAAACTGTTTTCGATACAAATGTTTAGTTAACAGATTTTGTAAATGCATAATTTTTTATTGCACCATTTTCTTAAGCAATATCAGTCCTAAAATAAATAAAATAGAAAATCTTTAGTTGAGAAAAAATAAAAAATACATAATTAATTAGTTGGTATTTAAATACCTTTTACAATCATGTCGGCTAGGTGATAGGGATAGAGCATGAGCCGCTGTATGCTGTTCTGCACAAGAGTCTCATAGTACTTCTTTTCATCTTTCCGGACTGTTCTCACTGAAATCCAGGTAACAAGCTAGTCTTTACATCATTAAAATAACATTTTATACAAGAGCTGAAACTGAAAAGCTAATCAGTGATCTCCTTTATTCAATAGGTATTGTACATAAATTAAAACAATTTTATCACATTCTGTACAACAAAAACTGTGTCAAAAGGTGTTATCTTTCACACGTTGGACGCCACGCGGCTCACCGGTGAGCCTCGAACAATACAATTTCCATTGTGTCTAGCATCTCGGCGTTCAATGACTTAAGACCATTTTTATGTTTATGTCTGTAGAAATTGATGAAAGTAACTAAGTTACTTTAATGAGTTGTAATTTACAGTTTAGGTCACTAAGTTTTAAAAACTTGTATAGGTAATAAGAAAATAAAATTGAATTTATATTTAATAAAAAAATGTTTACATACCCAGACTGCCTCGGTACCTTAATTGATTTTTAATACTGAATTCAAATATGTATCTTTCATATTCCTTTGGAGAATCGCCTAGCAGCTAGAATTAACAAAGTAAGTAAATTAGAGGTACTGCAGTAAGTAAATTCTTTTAGCTCATTACAACAAATCTGTTACCAATTAGATACCTATTATTTTTCAAATATATGCAAATCAGATATGAGTATTGAAATACATAGGATATGTGGTACGGATTTCTATAGTATTTACATCAAGCATTCTAATTTACACTTATGAAAATCATATTTTCATTGTTGTGCAGCACTGCAGCAGATGACACAAACTTCTAGGATTAGCATAATTCACTTCCAGTGCTGAGATATTCAGAATACGTAGAGAAACGTGCTCTTTTTATAAATTGTTATATTGTTTTGTGTAATCAAATAGTTAAAACACGTATTGGAAAGGAATGTGTGAAGAAATCAAATACCTTTTTCACTGTTGCTGGTAAATGCCCCCACTGGATCTTTTTTCTAATACATTCCTCAATTTCATCCTCCATGATACCGGAGAATTTATCATTTAATCGTAATTACATCGAATAAACTTAATAAAATGTCCTTGATTAAAAAAATCGCCAAATATTTTGATAAGACGAAATGATTTCTGCAATTAGCTGCGTTCATCTAATATAAATTGTACCAACTGCCAAAGCAAGCCACTGTCAAAATATTATAATTCTAATAATATTCTTTCAAAATCAAAACAGAATTGAGATTGAGAGCCACTGTCAAAATAATATAATTTTATTAAATTAATGAAAATTATTTTTCATTTTACTTAATTCTATCCTCAGTATTATATACACTTACACACGATATATTTTTTTATTACCTGAACGCACTCTTAATTTATTTGACAGGTATAGTTCAATGTTGCCATACGTAAATCTATATTATAATCCATCCATATCCTAATCGATTTTATGATCTTCTTGTAATACTTGACTAATCTTTTAAAATAAAAACGACACTTCCGGTTTTTATTAGAAACTACAAAAGCATTTTACCTTTACTGTATTTTGAACCCTTAACTTAGTCCTGGTTTCTGAATTGGGATTTCCAGCATGAGCGTGCTCATTTTCTAGTCCTGGATGAATTTAATGTGCCTGAATATTTTATTTGGAAACTAGCTTTTGCCCGCGGCTTCACCCTCGTGAAATTTGGTTTGTCACAGATCGTTACAAATTATAGCCTATATGTTATTCTGGGTTATAAAAAATAATACTGCAAAGTTTCATCAAAATCCATTCAGCATTTTTGCGTGAATGAGTAACAAACATGCTAACATCCAAACATCCACACATCCACCTAGACTGCATCCCTGTGGTCAAATACCTGCCTTGTTATGCATTAAAAAAAAACAAATTTCGCATTTATAATATTAGGGGGAGTAGGATAGTAGGTAGGATAGGAAGGATATTAGTAAGATAATATAAGTAGGAAGAAGGATAGGCAAGCTCAAGCTAAAAATCTTAGTTGAAAAACTGTGTCCATTGTCGAAAAACAAATAAAAATGTAGATTTGTTAATGAAATGTCTCTTAAGATCTTACATTATTTTGGATACAAGTTTCATGTAGGTACGTCTGGAAACTGACTGGTAGGTATAGAACTATAGAACAAGTGATTATAAAAAGCTGAATAAGGTAGGTTAAAAAAAAAACAGTTTGGTGGAATACTATTTAATAATTACTGAGCTGTGCTCATTGCACCAAAAGGAGAACTAAATATTATCAGATTTTGGTGAAGATTTCGCTGAATGCCGATGGTATTTCTTTCAGCATATCAGACGCAATCATGTTGCGACCATTTTCCTTGAATGCTTTTAAGTTACAGGCACGTGTAAATGTTGATGCAGCATACATGGCCACACTTTGAGCAAGTAGTGTTGATTGCTCATTTTCACACAGATCGGCTTTCAACGCCCAATTAAAAAAAGTTCCTAAGGCACCGGCTAGAATATCACCTTGCCCCGCTACTCTCCGTGCAGACCCCCCACCTATTAAAGCCCATTTAAACTTATCGATGCTACAATAACATGTATCTTGGTGGCCTTTGACCAAAACAGATACATTATCTCCCCAGTATCTATGCCATTGACCGTCAGTATTATTGTTTATAGCAGTGTTTAACTTGATACTTTCTCTGCTGTTAGGAGTAAGAATTACCCCAGGAGCTGGATATCCATTTAAAACGGACACATTTGTGGACACCGCGTATAATCCATCGGCATCTATAACTAGAGCTTTTTTCATGATTTTGCAAGCTTGAATTATATCCAATACTAATTTAATTTGTTCTTCATCCCTTCCAACACCGGGGCCAATTACGACAACATCAAATTTCTGTAATAATTTGTTGATATTTGTAGCATGATTTCTACTAAAATATGGATAAACTATTAAATCTGGACTATACGATTTTATCACAGGAGCAGCTTGTTCTGTTGTTATAACATAAACCAAGTCTGCACCAACCTGTAAAGAAGAGAAAGAAGTATTTTTGTTATGGCAATGGCAAAGAATAAATATTTTTCTGCTATAAGTAATTTATTTAGAATAATACATAGGTAAAAATATTTGAAGTAGGTAGTTAATATAAGTACTCACCCTTAAAGCTGATAGGGCCCCGAAATATGGAGCCCCAGTATATTCTAAAGAACCACCGATTACTCCAATTTTACCTGAATCACCTTTACTTGATCTGTATAAATTAGGAACTATACGCTTAGAAAGTGATATTAACTTTTCATCTGACAATATTCCTTCTTGAAGACATTCGTCTTTTAACAAACAATAAGTGTTCTGCACTTGTAAAGATAAACAAAAAGTTGTAAATAACCAACCAATCCAATACATGATTGTTAAACCAATTGCTTGCTCAGTGATACTACATTTATTGTGACGTGTAAATTATAGCCTTTAACCTTACCTTTATGTCTTAGATTAATTATTAATCTAAGCTTTATGTTTATACCTTTCGCCTTTGTGTTTGTCGAATGAAATGTTTTCAATTAGAATTATTAATTAAAGTTAAATTAAAAAAAATAGAAATTTAATGTATTATTCAAATAATTTCATTAAAATTTAATTTTGTTTTTCAAATTTAATAAGCATTTGAATTAATAATTGTTTTCTCGATTCAAATGATATCGATTTATAATGAAACAGAATTTACAATATTTATTACACACTGGCAACATTGCTTTTAAATGTCATTCTCAGCAGGCAGGCAGGCAGGCACTGCGTGAAAAATATTACGATTAATAACAAAAGATTTTCCTCAGATTTTTATATAAATTTGCGTTAAAATGGATGAAAAATATGAAAGTGTTAAACTGTGTTATACAATACATAAATATTCTAGTTATACTCCCAATTATGTTCCGGAGTAAGTAAAGTTCGCATCTTATTGTAGACCTAAAAGTGGTATTAAAATAATCCGGCAAATCCCTATGAAAAGTAATAAAATGACACAAATTCTTAATAAGTGTTAAAATATTAGTGCTAATTACATTGGCAAACATTATCATGTATCACGGGTGTTAGTAATTGTGTTGTTTTTTATGTGACGTTGGTTATAAGTTGTGACTGAGAACATGGTATTTTTTTCAGAAACATTATGGTAAACAATCCATCAGATCAGCTATCAAAGTGGTTTACAGATTGCACGACACCGTACCAATATATTATGTTAAAGTTAGAATCTCCATCAATAGTGGAAACAATACAATTTGGAAAATATCTGAAGACTCAAGTCAGTGATCTTAAGAAATTCCAGATTTTTGGTGGGACTGATGAAAATAATCTGTCATTACTGCTAACAGCGTGAGTATTTAATGCATTTTTCGCATACTTATTTAAAATTAACATTGTTAAAGGCATCATTGAGAAACATTGTAATAGTAATAATCACACTTAGTGCCCAATTTTTCACAGAAACAATTTGCTAATCACCTGTTTACCATGAAGTTATAGTGAAATCATTGTCAGCATTCCTAATTAATCTTAGTAATTAGTTAATTTGTCTATAAGGACTTACTGATGAGGTTTAATTTGGTTGCAGTGGGCTAAAGAAAGACAGTTCACCTGAGACGTTCAGGCTGAGACACAAGACAACAGAGGGCTCATATTTGCCTGTGAGTTACATCAAGATCGTGCCTCTGCAGTCGTGGGGGCCGGCATACAACTTCTCCATCTGGTACGTGGAGTTGCAAGGCAATAATCAGGAGCAGCTTATCAATAGTGCCATGGAAACCATTAATTTGGTAAGTACTTATAAAGAAAAAATACCATTTAGTGTGGAAAAATACCATCTATTATAGAAAAATACCATCTATTGTAGAAAAATACCATTTATTGTGGAAAAATACCATTTAATTCTTTTACCCAAAAAGAGTAATTTCATTGTATCAAATAACCAGTTTAAAAATTGCATTTTATTTATAAAAAAATCAAAAGAGTTATGTAATTAATTATTGATTGAAGTGTAGGTACTATTAATATTTGTTGTGCGAAATACTAAATACTAATACAAGAATTATCCTGCTCCATATAAATAGCCAGAGTGTGTCACTCGCTAGTAGGTAATAAACTGTGATTTTTGGTTTTCTTTTCTCGAACAGCGTAAAGAAGAAGAAGCGGTGAGAATGATATTGAAGCACTTGCGGCGGCGTCGCTACCGAGACGCCTTCGAGGCGCTCTCCAGAGAGAGTGGGGTGCAGCTAGAGGGTCCGCTACAGGCTCGGCTTTGGAATGCTCTCGTTGAGAATGGGGACTACAAACTCGCTGAAGAGATACTTGAGGAAGCAGTTCAAGGTAAACGTTTTATTGGGTATAAAAACGATGTAATAGATGGTTTAATTGTATTGAAGCAAAACGTCATTTTTGCAAAATGTTATCTCAATAACAATTGGTCTTATTAATGGGGAGTTCATTTCTTGGGAGAGGGCTTCGTTCAGCGTAAAGTAAACAACCTTTGGTTGAAACTACGGTTACTGTTCAAATTCAGATTATATCAACTAAATCAGTGTCTGAGGGGAGCAGCACGGGAGGGGTGTCAGTGACATTTATTATTATGTGGCAGAGTATACTAATCTGAAGCCCATTTGAAGTCTCGCTGACATTTGACATATCACGAAAAAACACAATTTCATGCTGTTTCTCAGTTAAGCGCTGGACTAAATCTTCAACCATACCAACGCGTGCAGATCGCCATTGCCGGCGCGATCATGACATGACCCATGACAGTTCGATGGTAATCTGCACGCGTTGGTGTGCTTGAAGCATTATATTATGTAGGCTCTCTTTGGGGCACTCATACACGTCCCAAATAAAGCATTCCGGTAAGGCATCAGCAACACGTCTTTCGTTGTTACGGTTGTGTTGTCAACTTTTTGACCACTGGATGTATAGTTTCAAAATACTGAACTGTCCTATGCATGACATTGACAGTGGGGCGCCACCGTCACTACCGGATCGCTAGTTCCGATTTTTGCCATGTTGGAAACCATATAGTTCAGTGTTTTTCAACCTGTGGGTCGCGACCCCCTGAGGGGTCGCGAAGCCTCTATAGGGGGGTCGCGAGAGGTCGTAAAAACTACTTCAGTATAGGAAAATTCTTATAAAGACAGATTAATCCGAAATCTAATTATGCAAATGTTGTATGGATTAAAGTATTCGGTCCCCACAAACATCTTTGCAACATTATAAAAGTCATGGAAAAAAAACGCGAACGGTAGGGGGGTCGCCAAAATTTTTTTCATACTAGGGGGGTCGTGTCATGAAAAAGGTTGAAAAACACTGATATAGTTGAACGATGGTAGCGCCCCCCTGTCACTGAGTTCGGTGGGACAGTTCAGCGTGGGTCATCTATAGCGAAGTATTTGACGCTGACTGGTAGCTGCTGTCCCGCAGAAGGAGAGTTCGACTGGTACGTGTCGTGGCAGCCGTACAAGCCGGTGTGGAGACTGATGTCGGCGTGCAGCGCGGGCGTGGAGGCGCGCCTGTGCTGCGAGCCCGCGCCGCCGCCGCCGCCCGGCCGCACCGCCGACCTGCTGTGCGCCGACCGCGAGCCGCAGGTATGCAATGGTATCATGATTACCCCGCAACAACTAAAGCCTACAAGCCTAACAGCACAGTGCCATTTTGTAACAAAAATGTATGTCTGATGTGCTGTGGATTGTACTTCTTATCGTTTCAGCAAAAACCTACACAGTGTTAGCCCAAAACTCCGCTACAACGGTCATCTAAAAACCCGCCTGCCAAAGTAGTAGCCATTACTTTGCGGATTCTACGACATTCGACTTTGACAAGTCGATCCTGGACGATCGATCCACGTAGAATTTTGTCTAATGACCCCAAGCTACCCATCCTAATCGCTCGCGCGTAATTATATTGCTGTCGCGCTCGCACACTCACTGCGGGCGCGCGTCGCACAGTCGCGACAGCAATATAATTACGCGCGAGCGATATGGGTGGGTAGCTAGGGGTCATTGGACAAAATTCTACGTGCTCACGGACCAGGCTTTAGACCTCATGACAACTCAACCCTAGTCAACTAGTCATAGAGGTCAAGTTGATAGGATCGACTTGTCAGAGTCGAATTGTCGTAGAATCCATATAAATAATGACTACTACATTAGCAGGCGGGTTTTTAGATGACCCGTCGGGAGACTGCCTAAGCCGAAAGCTGACTTAAATTAAATCTTTAAGTACAATCCACATTCACGGCACGATTCAGGGCACGACCCCTAAATGTCCGATCCGAACAAATGCACGTAGGAAGATTTAATGAATGCTGCTGACAACGCCACTCTTGTAGCGGAGTTTTGGGCTGACACTGTGTAGGTTTGTTGCTGACACGATAAGAAGTACAATCCACAGCACATCAGAAATACATTTTTGTTACAAAATGGCGTTGTAACTGAATAAGAAGCCACAATGTTTAGCTTTATGTGCTGTTGTCCGTACCTATTGTACGTTTATGTAAATAAACTATTTATCTATCTGTTTATCATCAGTACGACCGGAATTGCGTGATATTACTTTGTCCAAAATGACTAGCGTCGACAGGCAGAATATTGTAAAGTTTAGTGCTTATCTATTTATCAACGATAACTTTGGTACAAAGAGCAGTTTTGTATCCAGGGATTCCCCGCCAATCAATGACCATTATTTCCCAACAGTACTACTATACTATTATGTACTCGTTTACTAAGTGTACAACCAATGTGTTTTACCAGTGATGACTTATGGTTCGGAAACGTGGCCTCTCTCTATAGGCCTTAATAGAAGCTCAAAGTTGCACAGCGTGCTATGGAGAGTGCTATGCTCGGTGTTTCTTTACGAGATCGAATCAGAAATGAGGAGATCCGTAAACGAACTAAAGTCGCTGACATAGCCCGATGGATTAGCAAGCTAAAGTGGCAATGGGCAGGACGGACACATAGTACGCAGAACTGACGGCCGATGGGGCAGCAAGGTTCTGGAGTGGAGGCCGCGTACTGGAAAACGCAGCGTGGGACGTCCACCCACAAGGTGGACCGACGACATCATAAAGGTAGCAGGAAAGCGCTGGACGCAGGCCGCTACCAATCGATCAACATGGAAAGCATTGGGGGAGGCCTATGTTCAGCAGTGGACTTCCTATGGCTGAGATGATGATATGATGATGATGATGATTATGTACTATTAGAGGCCGGTCGATCTATTCTCATAAATAAAACACTGGATACTCATCTTTCACATTATATAGCCTTATTTTAGATACAATTTATCACTTAGCACAAAAGCGCGCGGAGTCGTCTCCGCGCGTCCCTCAATGGGGATGTTGCCTGGGTCAAAAAGCAAGAGTTTTAATTAGTCCGTCAGTTAACTTATCAAAAAATACTTTACACGTATTTTTCACTTTTTCAAACTAATGAAAATTTAAAGAGATATAGCGCCCCAAAGTTCATAAGAAGAGGCCCGTGACGTCAACGCTTGCTTAAAAATGCCGCACGTTGTGACGTCGTGCGCAACTTCAACGCACCATAACTATGTAATTATTTGTTAGATTGACAAATAAAATTATATGTGTCCAATATTTTTTGATATTAAACATTACGGACTAAAAAAATTTTTTTAGGCAACTAGCCTATTCTGACGTTTGATCCTAGTGTGACATTAACGTATTGTCAATGTCACTATGTCAGCATCTCATTGGCCACAACGATACCGTTATTTTAACGTTTTAGATTTTTCATAATTAACAGTACTCATTGCTACTTCTATTTGATATTTTTTCCAAAGCTACATCGGTTTATTTCCTTCAGGAGGCGGGCGCGGGTGGTCCGGCGTGCGACGCGGCGTACGAGTGCGTGACGGCTTGCAACGCGGCGGCGTGCTGCCGGCCCGGCCCGCGCGGCGGCCACCAGCTCGTGGTCGACGCCACCACAGGTTAGAGACGATGTTTCTGTTTGCAAGACATGCCTTCCTGCTTGAAGAATGTTCACTTTATCCTATACTAGCTTTCCGCCTGCGGCTTCGCCCGCGTGGAATTTTGTCTGTCACAGAAAAACTAAATCGCGCGCAATCCAATGTCCTTTCCAGAGACTCAAACTATCTCTATGGGGGCCGTCCATAAATTACGTCATCGATTTTACGAATAAGAATGACGTCAATTTCGAAACACCCCCCCCCCTATCTATCATTTACCGTCATCCGCAGACCAACCCCCCCCCCTAATTTAGAATGACGTAATATATGGACGGCCCCATGCCAAATTTCATCAAAATCGGTTCGATGGTTTATAGTAGGGAATTTAGTGCAATGATTTGTATGGAGACCCCTCCACTTTGGTATAGAAGGCTCATTTTTGCAACAGTGGTTCTTTGGGTGCTCCTGAGTGGATTTCCGTCGGTAGACATCGGGAGCCCCCCCTGTGGTAGCAGGGGGAGGGGGGGCAAGTTTCCTTCCGGCGCGCTTCACTTTAAGGCCCATATCTTCAAAACTATGGGTATTAGGGCAAGTGTGGTATCATTTTCGGATAATTAAAGGATGGCGAATTCATTTCTAGAACAAACTTTTTGCCTTTTCATACAAAAAATTAGAAATATTGAGTAAAATTCACAAAAACCAAAAAGTATTTTTTTAAATAAACGTCGTTTACTTTTAAACCACTGGAGATAATCTAATAAAAAAAATATGACCTGAAAGCTACATTTATCAGGACTATAAAAATATAACATTGTATGGTACTTTTTTCGCAAAAAGTAGGTGAAAAAATTTTTTTCTTCAGGACACAGCGGCGAATTTTATTGCGCATCGGAAAAAAAAAATTATTTTATCCATGAATTGATACTATTTGGTTCATAAGCAAGCAAGGATTATTATTTTAGAATTTATTTAGAGTTGCTGGCACATCAATCTACCATAATTTGTATTTTTTCGTCAATTGATTTTGAACTCTATGTGTGAGACATAAGGTTGAAAATAGTTTAAATACATTTTAATATTGAAAATATCATANAATAGTACGTAGTAATTTAGCATACTGGACGCGACTAGTGCGGACTAATCCACGTAATATGACTTGTAATATGATTGTGTCAGTAGAAACGAGTTTTCCTGTAAAACGTAGGTGGGCCGATTTTTGTGATGACCAGTGTATTTGACGCCGAATGTATAAAGTTCTTACGTTCTCGTTGTGCGCCTGCTCCAGCTGCTTCTCCAGGCGCGAGATCTCGTGCAGGTGCACCTCGGAGAACAGGTCGGCGTGGTGGTCGCCCATGGCCGACGCCAGCTCCGCCGACCCGGAGCCACCCGGCTCGCCTTCGTCCTCTGTGCTGTCTTCTGGCATTCCTGAGAAATAAAGGTCATTATTGTTAGATAATTTAGTTTTTAAGTTATCATTTTGCAGTTATAATATGCTTTACTACTATGGTACATCCACACTGGTCATCTTGCTCACCTTCCTCTTGAGTGAGCAGGATGTCGAGTGTGCCGCGCGAAGCCATGCGCTCAGCGTGAACGCACCACTAGACTACGTTCGACGAAAGCTCTTTGGAGCTGCAGCTATAATAATTTGTAGACGAACACAAAGCTCATAATACTGAATGCCATAGGCCAATCATTGGGTATCAAGCTCCTTCTTAACAACTAACTTGGCCTCCCTTTCAGCCTGAAGCACTTGCAGCGCTTCGACCAACTGCCGCTTAACTCGATGTAACTGGCTATGGATACACATACCTCGTATACTGAATGCCAGATTCGTGATTTTGTACGCGGCCTCCCTTTTGGCCTGCAGCGCGTCTAGCTGTCACTCAACGCGATGCAACTAAGACTATAGTCTGGTCTGCGAGCACGTAGAATTTTGTCCTCAAGCTACCCATCCTTATCGCTCGCGCGTAATTATGTTGATGTCGCGCTCGCACACTCACTGCGGGCGCCCGTCGCACAGTCGCGACAGCAATATAATTACGCGCGAGCGATAAGGATGGGTAGCTTGGGGTCATTGGACAACATTCTACGTGCTCGCAGACCGGGCTTTAGACGCAGTTACAGTAGATTGTATACAAACACAAACCTCGTATACTGAATGCCAGATTCGTGATGTTGTACGCGGCTTCCCTGCTGAGATGCGCGTCAAGCTCCTTCTTTGCGGCGAACTTGGCCTCTCGCTCAGCCTGCAGCGCTTCCAGCGCTTCGGCCAGCTGCCGTTCAGCGATGCGGCGCAGCGCTGCCGTCTCATCGGCGGCTGCGCGCGCGTTCTCCGCCTCCTCACGAAGTTGTCGCACTTCATGCTTTAGGCCTTCGAATTCCACCTGTGAATTAATGTGATATCTTTGAGAAAAATAATAGTATTGATTGGATCTTTTGAGTGACAGAAACTGATTACTTGACTAATCCTACCACTGCAACTCTTGTATATCCAGGTTCTACAGTTTGGCCTTCAATGAAACCCAACCAGTGAAGATTGAGTAGTCCCGGGGATAGATTGCTATCTTAGTCCGCAAATGAGAAGGATATAGAAAGAGTTCGAATATATTATTGAATTTTCGGCTTTATTTTAAGAATGAGATATATACTATACACTACGGAAAAATTTACTGATAGAAGTGGACCTCACCTGTGACGACTGGAGCGCCGAAACCTGTTTCTGCAGCGATATGTTCTCGTCTTCCAGATCCCCGATGTCCACCAGCAGTCTCTGCTCGCGTTACTTGGCTTCCCTTAGCTCAACGCGCAGAGCCGCTCGCTCGGCCTCGCGCGGACAAATAGTGTCAGGAGTGAACCTCACCTGTGACGACCGGAGTGCCGAAACCTGTTTCTGCAGCGATATGTTCTCGTCTTCCAGATCCCCGATGTCCACCAGCAGTCTCTGCTCGCGTTACTTGGCTTCTCTCAGCTCAGCACGCAAGACCGCTCGCTCGGCCTCGCGCGGACAAATAGTGTCAGGAGTGAACCTCACCTGTGACGACCGGAAAAATAGTTTTAATTTAATATGACATTTGTCGATATGTCCCAACACTAACATTTTTGTAACTCGAGATAACCTTGTAGAGACGTCGTTAATACTCTAGCTTGATTTTTATAATTTCGAATTACTACTTATTGGTGTAATTTAACGCTGCATTTACACGAAATTAACATTTTTATTGGAAGCACTGTCGTCGAAAATATTGTTTGTAGGTCAGACGTGAATTATTTCTTGTCCGCCAATATTTAGCTCTCATTGATCGCTACTACAAAGTTATGTCGTTACTTTTGATGGCAGCTGTCATTCTAATCAAGCTATATTGGATAGACTATAGAAATGAATTCGCCATCCTTTAATTATCCGAAAATGATACCACACTTGCCCTAATACCCATAGTTTTGAAGATATGGGCCTTAAAGTGAAGCGCAGTGGAAGGAAACTTGCCCCCCCTCCCCCTGCTACCACAGGGGGGGCTCCCGATGTCTACCGACGGAAATCCACTCAGGAGCACCCAAAGAACCACTGTTGCAAAAATGAGCCTTCTATACCAAAGTGGAGGGGTTCTTGCACTAAATTCCCTACTATTAGGCGTGAAAGCAAGACAGACAGACAGAGTTACTTTCGCATTTATAATATTAGTATAGATTATATGCCCACGAAAATGACCAAATGGTACAAGTTCTCTTGCGATTCCTATGAAAGAAACTGTAACTATGCCAAATTACATAAAAATCTGAGATTTAAATAGTTCTAGACATTTATGGGTTATCTAAGCAAACAAATAAAATCGTAGGTAATAAAACTATTCAGTTATGCGAATAGTTTTTTGCTGTAGTGGAGTGGTTATATGTGAGAGAACAGAATTATCACGATATTGATATAGTTTCGCGGCATTTGACGTAACGACATATCTATCTCAGAGGAGTAAATGCACTAAACTAGTAACATGTTAAGTAAATAACCATAGTCAACAATTAATAAATCCGGTTCGAAGGACCAAAATATAGAGTCCTTAATAAGCATTAATACAGTTTATGGTGGATAAGCAAATAAAATAAGAGCGCGCGCAATGTCGTCGGTGTCGTGATGTGAAAGCCTAAGACCCGAGCACAGTCGAAAATACCCGAATAAATATGTGAATGTTTAAAGTCGGGAATCCAAAAAAAAAATGTTGTTCTCCCAGGAACCCTATACTTATTCGGCGGCTGGAACGGCACCGAAGACCTGGACGACCTGTGGGCCTTCGACACCAACACGGAGCGCTGGTCGCTGCTCTGCGAGCACAGCGCGCGCGCCGGCGGCCCGTCGCCGCGCTCCTGCCACAAGATGGCGCTGGACCCGCTGCGCAGGCGCCTCTACACCGTTGGCCGCTACCTCGACAACGCCCAGCGTATACCCTCCGAAATGAACGTGAGTATTTGGAATATTGCCATTCCCCTCACGCAAAGTAGCCCTGCTGATCGTCTTTTGTTTACGTCCCGTTACCTGCTTTCTTTGATCAAAGATCGATCGTCGTGTTTTATCGCGATACATTCTCATTAATGTCGCTGCTACCTGCACACCGTCAGCCGCCGGTCTTTTATTTTATATGCAGTCTGCTTTCTTATCGCAGAGTAGTTCTTCTTTTTTTTTAATCTTAGCGATCGTCTTTTCTTAACGCAGCAAAGTTCTTTATTTGAAGCCTGGCGATTCTCTTCAAATCTGATTAACGATAGTCTTTTCTCTTTTCAAGTTTGATCAGCGCTTCGCTTTTGTTTAATGCCGCGCCGTGGTAAATGATTGTCGATTGTTTGGGACACAAATAGAAACATGTTCATTGATAAAATTGACCATAGATCTCGCCCTTAATGTTTGATGGGGTGGGTTGATTTGTCTTTTAAAACATAGCTTTTTCCTTGTTCCAGAGTGACTTATACATGTACGACATCACGGCTGGCGAGTGGCAGCTTCTCTGCCGTGACACGGCGGCGGCGGGCGGCCCGCGGCTCGTGTTCGACCACCAGATGTGCATCGACCCGGATGCGCAGACCATATACGTGTTTGGTGGACGAGTGTTGCCTGCTAACACGTGAGTTGTTCTAGAGCGATTTGCCCGTAGAATTTGCTGATTGCCGTTGAGGCAAAAAAGTTCTCGAGTGGAGGTTATAAACGGCAAAGTATAGTAGGTAAAAGCCTTCCATTCAGTGTACCAACGATCTAATGAAGGTCGTGGATAGCACCTGAATGTGGACAGCGCAGGAACGGTTGTTGTGGATATCTGTTTAGGAGGCCTTTGTCCACCAATGGACGGAATTTAGTTGCACTCGTCATGTCTGTGAACAGGCGCTGCTTTCGGGGACTGGTCAATCCAAGTTATTCAAATTTATGTATGCGAGTCATTTCTACTAGTATCTTAATATGTAAGTCTAGAAATTAGCACGTCACTACCTTGTTTAATATACCACGCAATCTTGTATACCCTTTCTTATAAGATACACCATACAAGAATGCATGGTAAATTCAGTGAACTGCTCCTGAATCGAATGTACCTACTACTACTATTTCTATTTATTTATATTAACCGGCAGACAGTGGTGACTGAGTTTGTTGCGGCGCTTCTTCTCAGCACTTGCCAAATGTTGGTCTCGAAGCGCTGGTAGGGTAAAAAGATTATGAGACATGTAGAGGCTCCTTAAGAGCAAAATGACGATTTGTAAGAACTATTTATTAGTCCAAACAAATAAAGAAATTTTGACTTTGACTTTGACTTTTGACTTTGACTTTGCAACGACGACAACTACATAAAAATCCTACGAATATTTCACTGTATACTCATTGGTGTTGTTTTCCAGCGAAGAGTCAGTATCTTGTACTCGGGGTATTTTTTACTTATTGCGAGTCCGGAGTACTCGAAACAACTGTATACTTATTACTGTTGTTCCCTTCTCAGCGAGGAGGCAGCCAATCCGGAGTACTCAGGATGACTGTATACTTGTTATTATAACCATTGTTCCCTTTCAAGTTCAAGCGTTTATTTACCAAAAACAGTAATACAGAGTGACAATATTATAGTAGGATCATGCGTTCAGTCTGCCCGCAGACGTGCAAAATATTACATTTCCAGCGAAGAGTCAGCGAGTCCGGTGTACTCGAAGCGACTGTATACTTATTAGCTGCTTCCTTCCCAGCGAGGAGTCAGCAAGCCCGATGTAGTACTCAGGGTGACTTTATACTGATTGCAAGTTGTTTTCCAGCGAGGAGTCGGCGAGCCCGGTATACTCGGGGCTATACGCGTACTACATCGCGGCCAACACGTGGCAGGCGCTGCTGGCCGACCACACAGACGGCGCCGTGCCCGCGCCGCTGCCGCGCGTGTCGCACTCCATGCTGTTCCACCCGGTAAGACACTTGCAGCGAGGACAACCCACCACCACCCATGGCCATACCAACCTCGCGGTTATACTGGCCGAATCGCCGGAGGTGTGCGCGGAATTGCGGCTGCCACCGCGCCACACATCTCGTCTCGCACTCCATGCTGTTCCACCCGGTAAGATACTTCCCAGGGACAAGTCAAAGACAAGTTGTACTGGAATACGCGGGATTTGCTTGACCCGCATAGCATACAAAGAACAATTTTATGTGTATTTACTGTAAATCGTAATTATACACGTGGGACGTACTACGTGTGACTCAGAGCGAGAAATTGTATGTATGCGGGCTAGTCCGGCGTGCGGGGGCAAATCCACATGCCAAACATAACTGCCTTACATATGCGGATAAAAAAAACCCGCATCCAGGTCTGTATCGAAAAATAGTATGATCAGCGCAGCGTGTGCAAGACACACTACGGGCGTGCATTTCTCTTCGTGAACCCGTGCAAGTTTTAGTTTAGCTGATGTTCAAAAACTATTGTAATAATAGGGGTAATAAGTGACCTGTTTTTATGGTGACAGGGGGAAGGCCGTCTCTACATGTTCGCGGGGCAGCGGAACAAAAAACAACTAGTGAACTTATGATGGTGGGACGTGCGCACGCATCGCCCAATAGATTACTCGCGAAATCGGTTTTAAACCTTAGTTAATCGAATAAAGTGTTGTGCAACGTCACGAGTAGTATATTGGAACTTCACAGATATGCGCCTCGAACTTGGGTTAATTTCTTCGAAATGTCAAAGCGTAAGGAAAAGTTAAGCTCACTCTGACCTCTCTCTCTTGGTGGCAGGGCCAAGGCCGTCTCTATATGTTCGCGGGGCAGCGGAACAAGGAACACCTGGTGGTGGACCTGTGGTGGTGGGACGTGCGGACACATCGCCGCGAGTGCGTGTGCAGCGCGCCACCCTAATAGATTACTTGCGAAATCGATCTTAAACCTTAGTTAATCGAATACATTGTGTCACGAGTAGTATATTGGAACTTTACAAATATGCGCCTCGAACTTTGGGTTAATTTCTTCAAAATGTAAAAGGGTGTGTATGGAAAATTTAAGCTCACTCAGACCTCTCTCTTGGTGGCAGGGCCAAGGCCGTCTCTACATGTTCGCGGGGCAGCAGAACAAAGAACACCTAGTGAACTTATGATGGTGGGACGTGCGCACGCATTACCGCGAGTGTGTATGCAGCGCCCCGCCCCAATAGATTACTCGCGAAATCGATCATAAACCTTAGTTAATCGAATACATTGTGTTTGCAACGTCACGAGTAGTATATTGGAACTTCGCACTCACAGATATGCGCCTCGAACTTGGGTTAATTTCTTCGAAATGTCAAAGCGTAAGGAAAAGTTAAGCTCACTCTGACCTCTCTCTTGGTGGCAGGGCCAAGGCCGTCTCTACATGTTCGCGGGGCAGCGGAACAAAGAACACCTAGTGAACTTATGATGGTGGGACGTGCGCACGCATCGCCCAATAGATTACTCGCGAAATCGATCTTAAACCTTGGTTAATCGAATAAAGTGTTGTGTAACGTCACGAGTAGTATATTGGAACTTCACAGATATGCGCCTCGAACTTTGGGTTAATTTCTTCGAAATGTAAGTGTGTTTATGGAAAAGTTAAGCTCACTCTGACCTCTCTCTTGATGGCAGGGCCAAGGCCGTCTCTATATGTTCGCGGGGCAGCGGAACAAGGAACACCTGGTGGACCTGTGGTGGTGGGACGTGCGCACGCATCGCCGCGAGTGCGTGTGCAGTGCTCCGCCGCGCGCGCCGCCCGCCGCCGGCTTCACGCAGCGAGCGACCATAGACCCCGATACTGACGAGATTTTTGTGCTGTCGGTGAGTTGGTGTTTTTTGTTCTTTATAACGTTCGGTTATAAGTTATTACTTTTTTCTTTTTGCTGTCGGTGAGTAGATGGATTTTTTTTTTATCATGTTTTTATTCATTACTAGCTTTCCGCCCGCGGCTTCGCCCGCCTGGAATTTTGTCTGTCACAGAAAAACAATATCGCGCGCGTATTTACTCACCGTTTAGACCTACCCTGGACTACGACAAACATTTTAAAACCAAAATCAGCTCAATCGGCCCAGCCGTTCTCGAGTCTCGAGAGTTAGTCTGTTTATATCAGACTAACGAACATCAATTCATTTTTATTTATATAGATAACGTTCGGTGATTAGTTGTTTCTTTTTTGTTTTTTATTACAAAAAGGAAGCTTAATACGTCAGTTAGAATAGTTAAAGTAATGATACAGCAAACGATTAATTCATTCAACCACCCAAATTATAAAACAAGGAAAGTGGTGTCATTATAAAGATCACTCGAGATAAATTATGGACCACTCAAAGGCTCATACATTGATGGTCCTTCGAGCCGGATTTTTATTATATTTAGGAATTTAATTATTGGTGTCATTATGGTGTAGTCGTAAATAAGTATCAATAAAGTATATTTTAAAGAATTTCGCATTCACGTTGAACGCCAAAGGCGACAGACTTCACAATGCACGGGTCCAACATGACTGGTTTGATTTTTGCCAGAAAGTAAAAAAAACTCATAAATCTCATTTATTTTTGCAAGTAGGCTTTTAAAAAGCACTTTTGCATGTCCGAGTATTAACTGTACCCTAATGATTGGTTTACACGTATTAAGTAGGTAACTAAATTTTTAACTTAATTCTAAGTGATCAAACTTGCATCGTAACTAAATTGTAACTTAATTCCAAACGTCAAGCTCTTGTTTACTATGAAACTGTTTGTCAAAACGCGTCAAGAGACAAGCCCCGCCCACCATCTTGACAGTAACATCAAGCAAAAATTTAGTTACCTACTTAACTTAAGTAGTTAAGTAGGTAACTAAATTTTTGCTTGACTATACGTCGTCGGCCGTTCAGAACGGACTACTATGCCGAGAGGTCCCGGGTACGATTCCCGGCCGGGCAGAAATTGAAATGATGAATTTTAATTTCTGTGACGGGTCTGGGTGTGACTATGTATAATATTTATGTATTTAAAAAAAAAGTATATAAGTAGTATATCCGTTAAGCTAGCACCCATAACACAAGCATTAAGTTGCTTACTTTGGGGCTAGCTGGCGCTGTGTGAAATTGTCCAAAGATTTATTATTATTATTTATTATACGTGTAAACCAGCCATAAGTATACAAATCTCACTATGAAAAGATGTCATAGTAACATGTTTATATGGCAGGGCATGAGCAAGGAGAAGGACAAGCGCGTGTACAACACGCTGTGGGTGTTCTCGCTGCGGCGGCGCGCCTGGGCCTGCGTGTACCGCTCCGACGCCGTGGCGCCCGGCCAGCCGCGCCCGCGCTTCGCCCACCAGCTCGTCTACGACCCCGTCAAGAAGGTACTATTTATTAGAACAAAATTACCGAACAAAATGAACAATTACTAAATCCTTTATATTGTTCGGTGCTTAAACTCTATTCAATTGATTTTTGTTTTTACTAGTGTATAATTAGGATTACTAATGTTTGGCCAAAAAACGTTTCCCAAATTATCACATCGCAAACAACGTTTCGCAAATTTTCATTTGGCAAATTCTCATTTGGCAAAACAACTTATTGCAAACTTTTAATTCGCAAATGTCGTTTTTGGCATATTATTGTTTAGCAAATTATTGTTTGGCAAAGTATGTTTTGCCAAATGTTTCATTTGGCAAAAATATTTCACGATAAACTATTTACAAAACAATTTGATTGGTGCATAGAATGGAATACAAATTAGCTTGTGGTTATTATTTTGTTTAGTGGGTAGTTAATATAAAAATTTTTCTAAATAAATTTTCATATTTCATTCTTTTTATCGAAATTTCCAAATGATTCATTAACAATAGAGATGATTCTAGCGCTCGGCGGCCGCTGCCGCGGCACGCTTCGCTCGCCTTCACGCATTAAGGGTCACTGTTCTAACCTAACCTAACCCACTATTTTCTACAATACCTACTTTTTGCAACCATACTATTTTCTGCAATCTCTCTGTTTTACATAAAATTATTGTGAAAATCATGACCATGTGCCTTATGCTTTGATTTGTAGTTAACGGTGGGTACTCGTAAGTATGTGAAGTGTCAATTTGACCAAGCAAATTATTTGGGATATAATATTTGGCAAAATAAAACATTTGCTATATAAACATTTGCCAAGTAAAATTTGGCCAAATGTTAATTTGAAATGAATGAATTAGTTGCGAAAAGTACAGTTGCTAAAAGTTTATTTGGGAAATGAAACTTTGGCGATAAGTTGTTTGCGAAGTGAAATTTGGCGAAAAGTAATTTGGCCAAACGGAAGGATACCGTATAATTACCCTAACATTGTAAAAAGAAATGCTGTGTATACCTGTAATTGAGGTCATATACGTATCATGTGTTAAACCATGTTAAAATGTATGAACTGTATTATGTATGTGACTTTGTTGGTGTACCTAATAAATAAATAAAATTAGGATGGGGGGGAATGGGATTTAAAAGGTTGGCAGCGCACTTGTGACTTCACTGATGTTGCGGGGCGACGGAAATTGCTTACCATCAGGTGATCCGTCTGCTCGTTTGCCTCCTATCACATATAAAAAAAAGGTAGGCAGGAACACATCCGAACCATTTTGAAAATTATAAAGAACTTGCTTCGGCGCGCGCTGGCTGGCGATATTTACGGATCGCGCGCAAATTGTGAAGTACCCACTTAGTTAGTTTATGAAATTGTTTGTTTATCTTTTAGTTTGTACGTATATCCAAAGCTATTGTTACAAAATATTGTATTTAACTATCTCACGTAAGTGAATTATAATTCTTGTGAGAAATAAATAAAGATCTTAAACCACAACTTGAAAAAATCGAACTGCCTAAGGCGGGAATTGAACCCAACCACCAACCAGTGTCTAAGTAGCTCAGTTGGAAGAGCAGTCGCCCGGCAAGCGGAAGGTCGTGGGTTCAATTCCCGCCTTAGGCAGTTCGATTTTTTCAAGTTATTTATAATTTTCAAATTAGTTTGAGATGCGACTCTTAACGCTAAAAATTTAATAACTAAACATCCGAACCAATCATCATCATCATTTCAGCCACAGGACGTCCACTGCTGAACATAGGCCTCCTCCAATGACTTGCACACGGTTGGATAACTCATAGCAGACTAAAATAAACTTATTTCATGTGCCCGAAAACGAAATCACTGATGCCACTCAAAATAGTCAACCTTTACAATAAAAGGTGTAAAGCGATCCTCTTTTGTTTTATTGATAGGCTCCCATATTTTGGAGATGTGATAGGACGATTACTAATATTTTGGCGATATTGCACTGCATAGTAAATTGGATGGCATTTTTATAAATACCAAATATTGCACCACCTTTACATGGTGGCAATGTGCTTATACTTAAAAATACATCGCCCATTTGCGACGACACTGTGATATCTCGAGATATACGATTTTTTGTTTTACCGAAATTCTGAACCGCGATCTTGCGTTCTTTTATCTCCAAAAACAGGGTATTTGTTACTCCAAAAACAACAATACTATGAGAGAAAGAGACAAAATGTTACGTTATAGCGCTGGCTCGTTCGGCGATCTAGTTGGCTTCGACACTGTGACAGTTCAGTTGCCACCTGCGCTTTAAGATGTGAGGTGCTCTTCGTTTTTAAGAAAAACGTGACATCTCGAGGATACCGCGGTATTGATGACAAAGGTAAGTTTTTAAAATATTTTTATTTTATTCGACAATGTGGCACGTCATACTTATCACAATGTTCTTCTAAAACCAAAAGCAAAGTAAAAGAGAAATTATTTATATGTCACGTTATTCTTGTAAGAAAATCGAAGTATCATCGGGACATCTTAACTAGTAACGTTGTAGATGATGAAAATTTTTCCTATATTGGAAATATGTTGTAGGTCATTTGTTGATGTTCTGTTATTGCAGAATGCATGTTATTGAAATTGAATGGTATATCTACTTGTCACGTTGTATACGCTAAACAGTAATACTAAACTCCAGATATCATTACAGATGGGGACTAGCAATGCAAAAAAGCAAANTAGTTTACGAGATTCTACTTTTGAGAGTTTTGCGTTTATTTTGATAAGCATTAGTTTTTAGAATAAGAAAACTTAATGTGAGCTTAAATATTGTATGTATACAACTGTCTGTCTAGTTAGATAATATTTTTATAAGTGCAATTTAACATAGCAAAGCGAAATATTCGCCTGTTCAAATTATTACCTCATTTTTACTGATTGTAATGTTATTAAAACAAAAAAAATTTTTTCAAGATCAACGTTTTATCTAAATAATGACTTATATAAATATAGTTTTTTACATCATCTTCAACGCGACAACTGAACTTACCATCTTCAAAATATGATTTTTTTACTAGAACAACGTGATAAGTTGTCTCTTTTTTTTTCAATCGCTATAATTTCATCACTTTAGACGCAAATTTATGTCTTACTATAAATATTTAAATTCATTAATAGTTAATCTTTAAACGTTTCATACACAATTAGGTAATCCTAACCTTCTTTTAAGAGTTATGGTCATTCAAAAGTTAAAAAGTCGTTTTCTGGAAAACCACTGTTTTTGATATATCACAGTGTCGTCGCAAATGGACGACATCACGTTACGCGTTTTTCCATAAATCCGCATTCTGCAACTCTTAATCGTAATCTTTCCTTCATTGCCCAGATTCACTACTTATTCGGCGGCAACCCCGGCAACCACAGCTGCCCGCGGCTCCGGCTCGACGACCTGTGGTCACTTCAGCTCACGCGGCCCACCGCCGGCGCCGTCTGGGCCGGCGCGCGCGCCGCCTTGAGGGAGGCGCGCTATAGAGAGCTGGCTGCGTCGCCACAGGCCGCGACATTAGCCCTGCAGTACCTGAGGACTGAGCTACGTGATGCGTTGGACCACTCGGACCCTGAACAGGTGAGATTTAAACGTCTGAAGTGTTTTATGTCACGCGTTCCACCGCCGGCGCGCGCGCCGCCTTGAGGGAAGCGCGCTATAGAGAGCTGGCTGCGTCACCACAAGCCGCGACTCTAGCCCTACAATACTTGAGGACTGAGCTACGTGATGCGTTGGACCACTCCGACCCTGAACAGGTGAGATTTAAACCTCTGGAGTGTATTATGTCACGTGCCTCATCGTTGGTGCTGTCTGGGCCGGCGCGCGCGCCGCCTTGAGAGAAGCGCGGTATAGAGAGCTGGCTGCGTCACCGCAAGCTGCGACACTGGCGTTGCAATACCTGAGGACTGAGCTACGTGATGCGTTGGACCACTCAGACCCTGAACAGGTGAGATCTAAACGTCTGAAGTGTTTTATGTCACGCGACCCACCGCCGGCGCGCGCGCCGCTTTGAGGGATGCGCGGTATCGGGAGCTGGCTGCGTCACTACAGGCCGCGACTCTAGCCCTACAATAACTGAGGACTGAGCTGCGTGATGCGTTGGACCAGTCAGATCTTGAACAGGTGAGATTTAACCCCTGATGAAAGAAGTTTTATACGTAAGTGTATTATGTCCGCGTCCCACCGCCGGCGCCGTCTGGGCCGGCGCGCGCGCCGCCTTGAGGGAGGCGCGGTATAGAGAGCTGGCTGCGTCACCACAGGCCGCGACATTAGCGCTGCAATACCTGAGGACTGAGCTACGTGATGCGTTGGACCACTCGGATCCTGAACAGGTGAGATTTAAACCTCTGAAGTGTATTATGTCACGTGCCTCATCGCCGGCGCCGTCTGGGCCGGCGCGCGCGCCGCCTTGAGGGAAGCGCGCTATAGAGAGCTGGCTGCGTCACCACAGGCCGCGACTCTAGCCCTGCAGTACCTGAGGACTGAGCTGCGTGATACGTTGGACCACTCAGACCCTGAACAGGTGAGATTTAAACGTCTGAAGTGTATTATGTCACGTGCCTCATCGCCGGCGCCGTCTGGGACAGCGCATGCCGCCTTGAGGGAGGCGCGGTATAGAGAGCTGGCTGCGTCATTGCAGGCCGCGACATTAGCGCTGCAGTACCTGAGGACTGAGCTGCGTGATGCGTTGGATTACTCAGACCCTGAACAGGTGGGATTTTAACCTCCGCGGTAAAATAACAGTTAAAGTTTCAAGTTTGAAGTGTGCGCGCCGTTTTATGCGAAACGCAGTATCGAGAGATGAAATGCCAGCTTTGTAGTTCTTGCGCACTGAGCTGCATAACGCGATGAATCACTCCGACCTGTAGCAGGACTAGCAGGTGAGATTACAATCTCGACAGAAAAAGGGTGTTGCAAGTAAAATATAGACAGAAAATTAATTAGGTTTATGTAAGTTGATTTTAAAGCTTTCTCTAAATAGATTTTGCTTTCCGTCTCCGATTGACCCACTCAGGAATACCATCCATTACAATAGCTTTAACCGTCCCCAGGTGGCGCGCTTCCAGAAGCTAGCGACGGTTTTATTCGCGCCACCCGAGCCGTCGCGCGCGCCCGCCGCGCTCACGCCGCGCCGCACGCGCGCCTTACAGAGACGGCGGGCGCACGCGCAGCCGCATCCAGACTTAGCGCAAGCGCTGCAAGCCGTAAGTAGCTTAGACTTTACTACTAAACTTTAAATTTTAATTACTTTTCAGGCCGCTCTTTATTTTTAAGCCATGTATTCATTAGGCAACATTTGTTGATAAACACTGTTTATAAACTGTTCATAAACAATGTTTCATTCTCTGTAAACAATTTATAAATAGTCCATAAACATAGGTGATGAAACATTGTTTATGATACATGTTGCCGTGCTCCTCGCTATGAGTGGAGAGCAAGTGTGGACGACCAAGTTTCAGAAACCTGTGTTTATGGTAAACTTGTTTCACACTAGTCATAAACAGTTTATCGACAAATGTTGCCTAATGAATACATGGCTTAAAATTTCCTTTTTTTAAAAAGGTGGTTTCCTTGATCTTTTAATACCCAGGGCCTAGTAAATTAAACGCTTGAGTCACAGACAAGAACTGTTTTATTTGAAATGTACACAGTATTACATACTTTAGGCCAGAGGGCGCTAATAGTTTAAATCTATGCTAGTGACGATACAAATACAACAGCCCCCCAGTAGATTAAAAATACCCTAGTACAGATAACAGCACATCAATCTAAACTTCGCAGTCTCTTATGAAGTACAACTTCGAGGGTGAATTTACAACAAAAATATAAAGTCGCCTGCACTAACCCGCCATGTGGTAACATCGCGTTGCTATCACATTTTGGTACACCTTCATAATTTCCTTCCTCGCAGGTCCTAGGCGCAGACGACAGCATGCCCGAACCGCCTCAACCGTTCGAGGAGCTGGCCAGCCCCACGCCCGACACGTGGGACGTGGGCACCGACGAGGACGACGCCGGCGCCCAGCAGTGGGACGCGCGCGCCGCCCGCGTGCAGCTCTACGACGAGCTGTGCAAGTACTTCCGACCTAGTGCCGTGCCGCCGCCGGCCGACGTCGCCGACCTCGTCGCGCTGTAACCGCCGACGCCGCCGACCCCGCCGGAAGGTAACAAAAGGCGACAGCACTGCTGGCTCAATATTCATCTTCTTTGAATGTGTGAAGAACTGAAGATATAGTAGCAGTATACACTGGCCGTTGCCAGCCGCCGTTGCTTGTCACCGGGGTAAAAAGTAAACCGCCGCTGCCGCCGGAAGGTAACAAAAGGCGACAGCACTGCTGGCTCAATATTCATCTTCTTTGAATGTGTGAAGAACTGAAGATATAGTAGCAGTATACACTGGCCGTTGCCAGCCGCCGTTGCTTGTCACCGGGGTAAAAAGTAAACCGCCGCTGCCGCCGGAAGGTAACAAAAGGCGACAGCACTGCTGGCTCAATATTCATCTTCTTTGAATGTGTGAAGATGTAGAGCACAGTCCCTTGCCGTTGCCAACCGCCGTTGCCTGTCACCGGGGTAGAAAGTAAACCGCATTAAACGTTGTATAACAGGCGAAACTATGTTATTTCGTTTCACCATTCTATGTACTCTCAAGTTAATTTTCTCTTTAGCAACAAAAAAATTATAATCAGAAAAGTAAACGGTACACGTTTTTTCTTAAAAAAAAAATAGTACAAGGTGAATGAAAAGAAAGATACTATAAAAATTTGGTGCTTTAGTATTAAGTTTAATGATTTGCCTTTTAATGTCTCAACGTCGCGGAGTCCAAGGCCGAATTAAAGAATTCATGTGGATGCGATTGTTGTCATATTTTTACTCAATTAAACGGTAGTGACTAGGTTTATAAAATTGTAATTAATGCTGTTTGACAGCAGTATCTTGAATTTTTTCATTCACTAAATAATATTATGACTCAATATTTCGTCAAAAGCGGTTAGGAGCCAAAAAATGGTTTGACTTATTGGATGTTATACAACGTTTGATAAACAAGGCGGTTCTCATCTACATGACGTATGTCTTGTGTGAAATAATATTTCGAAAAAACTCGCCAAAGTTGCATTTTCATTATTTCCACTAATTCATTGTTACATCACAACCGGGTCATCGTGGTTGGGCTATAAAGCTCAGTTACTTACAATAAAAAATATTGACATACAAATCAAATTAATCTATTTATTGTGACCATTTATGTTATAATGTGTGGTTATATGCGTTTAGACTTGCAGTAAAAGACAATAGAAATAACACTAATTTAGAAATATGGCATTGTCAGTCTACATTATGAGTCTGCTTGTAAACAATATGCATAGAGCCAGCTTCATATCACTAACGTAAACTAAACGTAAAATAACATGATACAAATTACGTAATAAATAAGACGAACCTAATGCATTTTCGTTTATAATAATATTATTACCTATTCATATTTATTGTAAAATTATTAGTGACATTCTAAATACACTCGACATCAAATAAATCGACCCTCCCGCGACGCGAACTTTAAAGATTTTCTTCTGACACAATCATGGTACCCCAACAGGTTCTATATTGGCTCACATAAAATTCTAAATCCTATTCTTTGTCTTACTACAAATTTGTGTTCATAATAATCTCTCTTCATAATTTTATTTTTCATACTTTTTTTATTCATACATTTTTATTACTACCATCGGAGCTCATAACAGTTAGTAATCATAATTTTTTTATCAATACTGTTACTACCAAGAACCATTTAAAATACATAATTTTTATTTTCAGATCTTTTTTCTTCATAACATTCATTGATCATATTGTTTTAATTAATAATGTTGTTACTAAGAACATACTTCAACTCATAATGTTGTTGTTCAGAATAATTTACTTTATAACAGACATACTCGTATCTTTAAAAAAATCATATATAATTTAATAGAGTAGATAAGCATGCAGAGCATGCAGCATGAAAGCAAGCATGCAGCATGCATTGGTATCTCCTCGTCTCCGGCGCTGCGGGATGTGCAGCCCTTCCGCCCTTGCGTAACGAGGCTCAGGCACCCACGCTTGCTTCCGCAGCTTCGGCTTTTTGGATCGCCATCGGCGCCTTCGGCGCCTCGGCGACCAGCCTCAGCCGCTCCAGCTCACCCGGGCGCCTGAGCCTCGTTACAGCGGGCGAGGGCTGCCCTCCCTCCGCGCCTCCGGCTTTTAAATTACACTCTAGGGGTAGGGCAGACAAGACTACGTGGAGTCGGTTTTGCAGCGATTCGTTTCTGTCACGTTAGTTTTGTGGCACAAAATATTGCCTGTTTTGGACCATTTCAAATTAATTTAATGTTAAAATACGATTTAATACGAATATAGACATCATGATTTTCAATAATATGGATAAATACACTTATGAGTAATAAATTTATGAAAACAAATATTAGGATACATCACATTTATGAATATTCCTAGTTATTTATTCGAATGATTATGAGTTTCGATCATTAGTATAGAAAAATATATGAAAACAAATATTAGTAAAAACTAAGTGTATGATTAGTGATATTATGAATATCAATGATTATGTTTTTAAATATGTAGGTTTTAAATTTTTTATGAAGAATGATCATTATGGTATCAAATTGTATGAGAAATATTTTCGGACCTCCAATGATAGGAATTGAAAAGTTTTGTAAGAAAATGCGCTACCACCCCAACAATATTGGTGTTATTTGAAAGCCCAATAAATATCCTTAAAGAAAATATATTTCATTTCTTAATAAATGATTAAAATATACCATAAATGTGACTTGAAAAAAGACCTTACTTTGGGCTCACCTCTGGGATCAATTAGACTAATTTTTATGGTTATAAAACCAAATAATTATCTCATGTGTCCTTTTTAACAGATGGATAGCGATTAATCCCAACTTAACAGTTTTATAGCCATAAAAAAAGTTGGCTCAAGCGTAACTACCTATTTTTTGAAGAAGTGACTCTGGATTCTTCTACAGACACATTTTTGGGGTAAAAACCTTTCCTTTAAAGAAATTAAGTTTAGAACTAGGCTTTTAAATGGTGCCAATGTTGGTGGGAAGTGGGGATGCATACGTTTGAAAGTGCTTGTCGCGGGAGGGTCGATTTATTTGATGTCGAGTGTAATTTTAATCAAAACCTACTATATTCTTCACTATTGTTAGATTGCTTATGCCAATATTATCTACAATACTTAAACACGAAATTATGGTTTAATCTAAAACTATATCCACTGCCATTATAAGCAATTGAATGTAAATGAAAACTATTTATAATATTGTAAATTAATAATGTTAACTTACACGACATATTTTTCGAAGGGCATAAGCTAGTCTTTTGTAGTAGAAGACTATATTTTTATAGTTGCTTCGTGGTATGTGTGTAGTAAACTGAAGCATCACTACATTTATAATTATAGATATAGGGCCGTGCATAAAATATCGATTTTCATATGCGTAGAAATAAAAATATCACAAACCGACATAACGCCAAACAATTATTTTATTGTAGTACCTGTATATCGCGTGAAACACTCTAAACTCCATATTAAAAAATTACCAAGACCTGATTTGGAAGAACAAAATGAATATGTTATCGTTGTCTTCCTTAGAGTACGAAAATTTTTCGAAAGAATAAATATTAATAGGTGCCTATTTCGATGTAAGATTGTCAGAGCATTTCGCATTGGCATTGTAAATTCGAAACCGTCATTTTTAATGTTTAGGATGCGACATATCGCCGATATTATGGCGGTGAGCGATCCACCTTTACGAAATAAGCCCAGCGGTAGGTTAAATAAATAAATAAAAAAACGTTTATTGCTTTTTACTCCTGTTTTTAGATTATGTGAGGGAGAAAGTCAATGTGCATCTGTAGGTCTCGCGGAAGATGAAGCTGCAAGGCATTTATAATATATTTTCAGGTTTCATGGCATTAGATATTGTAAAGCAGGGGTGGCCAACCGGTTGATCGTGGCAAGGCAAAAAATACTACATGATTGTGTACTAAACTATGCTGTTTCATTTAAGATTTCAAGAAGTATGTAAGTGGTAGATCGCCCAGGGTTTCGTTAGTAAACAGTAGATCTTATGTCTAATCAAGTTGGCCACCCCTGTTGTAAAGTATCTTTTTGTATGTTTAATGATGACTTTCTTTCCCACTTATCCTACATTTATAGGCACAGTTGAAAATAGAGGCTTTATTTATTTGGGTTGTAAATAATAATAATTACGGATAAGTCTCGTTTATTTACAGACTGTGATACGATGTTTATAGTCAATAGTGTTATAAATTTTAGTCATCTATACGATGAATCTCGTGCTAGAAGATTTCATCAAATAATATTATAAACAATAATTTATAAAATTCCATCAATATAGGGTGTAAGGTAATGTCTAGTAAAATCTATATAGTTCAGATCATTGATTTGAATGTAATTTTATAGTTTGTGAAAATCACCATAAAATTTTTGACCTAAAACTGCACATTAAATTAATGTTATTAAAAAACAGGTTTTTGCCAATCTTTTACACCCTGTATAGATGAAGACTTGATATTATGCACATAATTTAGTAATTCCAGACACAAATTTCGAGATAGTCACTTATAAACCATCTTAGCTTGTCTCGTGTTTGCTTTGTTCTTTGGATGCTTTTATAATCTGCACCTAACTCTTTGATATGAATAGTTTGTTAGTGTTTGTCTCTCTTTAATATGTCAATGATTTGTATTTATTAATTAGATATTTCATAAAAACGGGTAAATTACTTCATCATGGCGTAATCTGATAGTTTTTATATCTACCTAGATTAATATAGTATGCTTTTACTTTTTTCTCAATGTGATGCCAAACGAAATATCAGCATTTATTGTGTCACTTTTCTATTTAAAATCGATTTTGCAATCAATGTTTAATTTTGATTTATTAAATTCAATTTGACGTAAATACTTATTGCATTTGAAAATATGTTTTCATTATTTTATGATTATGTAACCATCGTAATAGGATTATCGAGGTATTTACTGAAGGCCATGTAAATACATTTTTAAGTTGTAAGAATAATTAATAATTTTGTTTTGATTTATTATTCAGTCTGTATTTCTGTATGTACACAAATATATTTGTTTACTCATCAATGGTCCGTTTTTTATTTTAATATAATTATTGACTAATGGGATGTAGTAAAACACGTTAATTTTAAATATATCATTTATTATTCTCATACATGATTCATTTCAGTCATTGAGACAACAGGGTGTGCCTTATAGTTTGAAAATAAATCCGCTCTGTGCGTCATGATATGTTCCCTGGGGCTGGTTCATTCGATCTGTCGTTGAATACCACGTTCGCGATTCTACTAAACTCTTCGAAGCTCGTCGGTTACTCTGATTCCGATTGCCAAAGACATGTAATCTGATGTGATTACACAAAGTGCTCAAACTAACACGCGGTGGCCATCTTGCGAAACGAAACGATAATGAAACGATGCGATAGTGAACCATCAAACTGTGCAATACTCGAGGTCGACAGTCGAAACAATCGATGATTTACTCAGCTACAGATAAAAATGAATCCATGATACGTGGGAACATTCATGCGTCAAGTTGTCCAACAATCAAATCATGTTGCAATATAATAGTACAGCGAGCATTTCATATACTTTTGATCTTTAAATAATAAAAACTCAATACTTCGCTAAAATATAAAATAATATCTATGCCTATATAAAATAAGTGATCTAAAGTGTTATACAACTGTATAAAGATATTTGGTTAATCGCTCATAATACCACCACCGGCCAGGGGCAGCAGACATCGAGCGACGCCAGGCAAAGAAAAGAGTAAAAAATACTGAACTCAATACAACATCTGAATACTTAGCTACTATTAACTAATCCGTATCTTGGAAGTCAAACATGTGCAACAGCGCCGGTCAGACGTTAGCACCTGCCATAGCGATAACAATTAACAGAAATAAATAAATTATGTGATAATTTCATGATGTCAAAGACTTGTCGCATACTGCGACATAAATAAGGTAAACATAACAATGTCAAAAGAGAAAACAGGCACGGCATTTAAGTAGACAATAGAGAAATAACAATAGTGTAATCATAAATTGATTCTACAACCATATAATTTATTATGTCGAGGGCGCCCCGCGCGCGGGGCCCGGGAGTGACTAGACATATACACAAACAATACTTCAACGATGTCTGCTGCTAATAAGCTACGAAAGAAAAAATAATACTTAGAAAAAGATAGTCACTAAAGCTAGTATGGTAAGTCCATCGTTAAGTACACGAAGAGCAATCTATTATAAAAGCTAGTCAATATTTATATCTAAAAACAATAAATGCAAGGCTATGGTCCGCGCCCCGCGCCCGCTCCGGCGCGGGGCCTTTGAGCTATGCAAACAAATTATGCTACCGGTGTTCAATATTGCAAATCAATTTCACTACTCGAGAGCGGACTCCCGCTTAGATAACGATCTATTAAGTATACAAAGGTTAACGTATCATCTAGGTCTATACCTAAATCAGTAAAAATACCTACTAAGGGCGAGTGCCCACTACATGGAACGGTCGAACTAGCCTAAGTCCAGCGAGTGAGAGAAACGACTACGTCATCGACCGTCCGCAACCTCGACGCGGAGCTGCCAACACACCAATAACGTAAATTATATCGTAACATTTCAATAATCTTTTGTAAATTTTGTCTTATTAAATAGAACGCTGGTCGGCTCGGTGAGCAACGTCTTTGAGCAACTTCGAAAGTCGTCCTGCTAAGATTTGTGGACTTCATCAGACTCGCTGCTACCGTTTCCGTGATCAGAAAGGGGGAAAGAGGGCGTAAATCATTATGTCGAGTCGACCAGCTCATGGACAAGAAATGGACGCGAGTGGCGACGCCACAGGACGGCAGAAAGCGCGCCGGGGCCGGGGCCGGACCGGGCGCGGCCCGGCGGCGGCGGGCCCGAACCAAACAAGGAAACACTACGAATACAACTAGAACAAGATGGACGAAAGTATTTTGGCAGAGGGCCACAACAACACAACAAACGTATCAACTAGAGAACAGATTACATAGTCTTTTTGCGCACACAATGGATGGACATCGATGAATAATTTTAGAAATTTTTTGGACGTACTAAACATTCGTATCGAGTGGAGGATCCGTCGCTATACTATATACATAACTATAGAGAATCGCAATTTCGATCTTATTACATAAATATCATTACACGTAGCATGTATACGATAAAAAATAATGTCGCCCGGCTCTATCGGTGATCCTCGCTCGAACGCGACCGAACGGTTGAACCGCTTTCCCCGATCGCGGGCGATCCAACGGGTCGGTCGCGACATCGAGCGCAACAACTGCAATAAATACATTTAAGATAATAAAATACACCGATCCTGTTACAAAAATACTGTAAACCTCGATCTCGCGACGCGCAATAAATAGAAAACGGGAGGGGCGGGGGCGCCGGCGAGCGGGTCGCGCCGCGCCGCCGCCGCTCCGTATTAAATAAATCAGTCAACATTACTCCTACTCCGCCGCCGGCCTCGGGCTCCGCCGGTAAAGTTAAACTTTTAAATATACAGGGTGGAATTTTGTAATGCCACCTGGAGGGAAAGTACTCTTAATATTGTAGATAGAAAATTTTTCTCAAAGAAAACATTCCTTTATTTTTGAAAAGAAATAGAACTGCATTCAAAGATTTCCAAAAATTTGCTTGCTACACCCGGGAATCGAACCAACTAAAATCTGTTAAAATTACACCCTGTATTTTTATTGCATCGATCGTTAGGGTCAAGTATAAAGATGAAATCTCTCTAACCAACTTGATAAATCAAATGAAAGGAAATCCATAAAATCTTAAACTATTTTAATCATGTACAGAAAATATTGTACGGTATGGTAGTGAATTTTCGAATAATTTTTGAAAATCTATGAATGCAGTTCACTTTCTTTTCAAAAACAAAGGAATGTTTTCTTTCAGTAAAATTTTCTATCTGCAGTATTAAGGGTACTTTCCCTCCAGGTGGCATTACAAAATTCCACCCTGTATATTAGTTAGCCGCGCGCCCCTGCACAGTTTGACGGTTCACGGGGGCTCGGGGGGCGCGCGGCGCGGCGGGGCGGGGGCGGCTCGATTACATTACATTTTACAAAACGTATAAATCACTCGGCCGGCGGCCGGCCGCGCACGCTGGCGTCGAAGCCGATGTTCCGATCGAGGTATCGTCGCTCCGAAACCTCTCGAAGAGGTCTATTTGATTTGTATGTAGGTGATCAAAGGACACTAAAATAATAATTTAATTGGAGTCCACTTTGATCACCCAGGGCATCATATCCGTGGGTGATCAAAGGATACTAAATTGTCGCTGGAAGTGGACTTTGATCACCTGGGTCATCAAAGCCAGGTGATCAAAGTGGAATAGACCCTCGAAGATGGCCGAGTCCGCCGCGTACGGCGGCCGGGCGCCGGCGCCGGTCGATACATCGATGGTCCGGTCCCGCGCGGGCGCCGAATTCGTGGGCGCTATCGCACGAGTGTAATCGTAAATTCGTAGCTTCCGCACTAGAAGTCAATTCGTCACGTCGCGTGACACACTGAACGATGAAAAAGTACCTTTCGATAGATTCGTGCACTTCGGAGTACCTTTGGTTCTTATACACGTACCTTACGAAGTACACCTAGATTTTTATGCACTATTCCTAAGTAATTTGTAAATTTCTTTATCGATATTTTAACTACTCGCCTCGGCCTTCGCTGACGGCAGTTGCGCAGCACTAGCGCTGCGATATTTCACTAAGAGCACCCTGGATGGGGTCCATCGTGTCCTAATTTCCGGTCTACATCATCCAGTGAAACCGCGAAGGCTACCGGACACGTCACTCCGGGACTAAAAAATGTACGAATCTTTCGAAAAATACCAAAACGTATCTTTCGCATCGCTATTCAGCGAGTGGGTTCGTAGCACAACGGTTCGTAGCACTGGGCGCGTCCGTAGCACTGGGCGCGTCCGTAGCACTGGGCGCGTCCGTAGCACTGGGCAGCTAGCGCGAGGCGTGCGGCGGCGCGTGGAGCAGCGCGCGCAAGGCGGCGGCGGCGGCCTTGAGCGCCGTGACGAGGCGCTAGAAGTCCCGGCCCCGCGCGCGCGCGCCGCCGCTCGCCTTGGGCACGCGCCGCGTCCGCATCTCGCGGTCCACCTGCGGGGAGCGAACAGCGTTATTACAACTATGAAGCCTAAGATACCACGCAGACTGTTAATCAGTAACCCCTATATTTCACCGGGACACCATGGCGGCGCAACCAGTCGCCGGCTACCAACAAAATGTATGCAGCTTTGCGCAACCAAACGGACACCAGGTGAGTAACTCTCTATAGAGCTGCATACATTTTGTGACTGGTTGCGCCGCCATGGTGTCCCGGTGAAATAGAGCCCTAAGAGTCAATGAGCATGTATGAAAATGTGCACATTACACTGATTTGATATCGACCGATTCTTCATACGAGTTGGAAGCCGACTAAAAGTCGGTAGTCTGCAGGACGGAGCGTAACGCAGACTACAAACTCAGAACAGTGACATTAAATCTGCGCAAAGAAAACGCAACAACATCTTGTGTTTTAGACTGAAAACCCAAGTTCAACTTCTCGATAAAGTAAAAATTTGAAGGCACTCGACTTTAGGATCCCAGAACCATTACTACGAAGACAAAGTTGCCGGGTTTCCGTCGACCTACCTCCAGGTCCTCGAGGCGCTGCGTGAGCGCCAGCTTCTGCTGCACGGCGAGGCGCAGCAGCCGGTGGAGCGTCCTCACCTGCCGCCAGCAGCGAGACACTCGGCCCTACCTCCAGGTCCTCGAGGCGCTGCGTGAGCGCCAGCTTCTGCTGCACGGCGAGGCGCAGCAGCCGGTGGAGCGTCCTCACCTGCCGCCAGCAGCGAGACACTCGGCCCTACCTCCAGGTCCTCGAGGCGCTGCGTGAGCGCCAGCTTCTGCTGCACGGCGAGGCGCAGCAGCCGGTGGAGCGTCCTCACCTGCCGCCAGCAGCGAGACACTCGGCCCTACCTCCAGGTCCTCGAGGCGCTGCGTGAGCGCCAGCTTCTGCTGCACGGCGAGGCGCAGCAGCCGGTGGAGCGTCCTCACCTGCCGCCAGCAGCGAGACACTCGGCCCTACCTCCAGGTCCTCGAGGCGCTGCGTGAGCGCCAGCTTCTGCTGCACGGCGAGGCGCAGCAGCCGGTGGAGCGTCCTCACCTGCCGCCAGCAGCGAGACACTCGGCCCTACCTCCAGGTCCTCGAGGCGCTGCGTGAGCGCCAGCTTCTGCTGCACGGCGAGGCGCAGCAGCCGGTGGAGCGTCCTCACCTGCCGCCAGCAGCGAGACACTCGGCCCTACCTCCAGGTCCTCGAGGCGCTGCGTGAGCGCCAGCTTCTGCTGCACGGCGAGGCGCAGCAGCCGGTGGAGCGTCCTCACCTGCCGCCAGCAGCGAGACACTCGGCCCTACCTCCAGGTCCTCGAGGCGCTGCGTGAGCGCCAGCTTCTGCTGCACGGCGAGGCGCAGCAGCCGGTGGAGCGTCCTCACCTGCCGCCAGCAGCGAGACACTCGGCCCTACCTCCAGGTCCTCGAGGCGCTGCGTGAGCGCCAGCTTCTGCTGCACGGCGAGGCGCAGCAGCCGGTGGAGCGTCCTCACCTGCCGCCAGCAGCGAGACACTCGGCCCTACCTCCAGGTCCTCGAGGCGCTGCGTGAGCGCCAGCTTCTGCTGCACGGCGAGGCGCAGCAGCTGGTTGAGCGTCTTCTTCTCGTCCTCGGCGCCGGCCAGCGCCTGCGTCAGCTCGTCCACCTGCGTCACGTACTCCTCGCAGCGCGCCGCGAACATCGCACGCAGACCTGCAAGCAAATACGTAGTTTTTAACCCAGAGGAATTTATAACTCGGAGGAAATGCTTTGCATCCCTGGGGGCAAGGTGGTGTGTGGAATTACCCGCGCTCAAAAAGAGCGCTGCTGTCTTGAAAAGGACAGGGTATACCCACTAAAACTTCCGCAGTGTTCCGTCATCGCACGAGTGGCGGTGTCGAAAGTATCCAGCCGTAGCCTTGGAGTTTCGCGACAAAGCAGACACATTATTTTAAGGAATTGTAACTTTCGAAAGATGCAGAAGCCTGCAGGCTTTTCTAAACATTGGGATAATGTATGACTAAATAACAACGGACACTCAAGAGTCAGGCAAATTATATGTCAACCAGTAAAAATAGAATTCGAGACATGATTCAAAAAAATACTCACTGGAGAATGTAGCCGCGTCCTCCTTGAGCAAACGGAGCTCGTTGCGGAGCTTGAGCATGGTCTCGGTGACGATGATCTTCTCCGTCTCGTACTTGGACTTGAGGTTGGCGAGCGCCACCTCCGCTGTGTTCTTGTTGGACTTGAGGACGGTGCGCAATGTAGCGATCTGTTCGCGCTTCGTGGAGAGAAGCGACTTGAGTTTGATGACTTGTTCTTGGAGTTCCGCGAGCTCCGCACCGCGTTCTTCGGTCTCCATAACTGGGGAAGGGGTGAAGATTAGAACAGGTTAAAACATGCCTTTGGTAGGCTTTGAAATGATAATGTGTCTACTACATTTTTCCTTTTCTTGGATAGTTATAAATAAGAACTATTTAAATACATAAAGATAATGGGTACATAAGAAAATGTCTATCCTATGATTAGGATAAAGGAAAGTCCTGCAAAAGGTAAACAGTAAATAAATACTATGAACTAACTACTGTCCTATAAAATACTCTAACTACTATAATATAAATAGGAAGTTCCTTAATACACTATCTACATAAAATCCAGCTTAAATTCATACTTTATACCATCATCTTCACATAATATACTGCAGCATCAACGCGCACGAAATGAAACTTGTCTTCACCGAGTCTCTTATACTACTCAACATGTTGTCTCCCTTACTCTCTATGCTTCTCACTTCGCTTTGCTTATAGCGTAACACCTTTGCCTGCAGTAACTTTTCCTTCCACAACGCATGCAGATTCAAATCTTTTTGGTTAACCTTTTTCGTCATATAAGTCTTCTTGACATGCGAATAAGGGAAAGTAGTCTTTGACAGCGTTGGAATAGGGTTCTTTTTCTCGTACGTAAAAGATTTGTTGTTCCAACTATCTTTGCTTGTTGCAATTTGAGCATTTAAACCAGAATCGTTTTTTGATATGTTCTCAAAATAGTCTGTGATCTCTTTGACTGTTCGTCCCGTACATTCGGAGCTTTTTGAGTCGCTCAAACATTTGTCGAAAGACTTTAATTGGGAGATAAGTTGTTGAAGTTTTTTCTTTGTATCAGTTACTTTTAGTTTGGCGTTATTTTGCTCTTTCATTTTCTTTGCCAAGCTGGTATTTTGACCTTTATGCTTGCAAATCGAGACTTCATTTTGCGTTGATCCTAGGGAGGGGTAAAGGTTAGTAGGGGTTAGTATTTTCAATCAAATTATAAGACCACTGAGATATCAGATGATCATATAACTTGATAAAACAATCGCTGTTGGTCAAAATAAGTATAAAAATCGACACATACCTAATCCACAATAAAAATGTCTATTGAAAACAATAAAATTTCGTTTAGAAAGATATTGTACGAAGCAACGATTTTTACACTATTTTGTACCAGCATTACACATGGTCACCATATACCGTAAATAAGATACGCCCACAATAGCATCACGTGGACACCATAGTTGGTTTTCACCGTGATTTTGGCAACGACGATGATGAATTTGACTTACCTGTTTGATATTTGGTTTACATGAATGGTAAATACAGCCAGGCTGCTGCCACGGAGTATGTCAACCACTATTGATCAATCGATGGAAGTGCTTAATCCTTAGAAAGTAGAGACCATCGCGTAACGATGTCATTAGCTGTTGGCCCAAGTTCCTCTTGGCCATCGTCTCTAGCGTGTCATCTCCAGGTCGGCACCAGTCGAACGTATCAGGTAGGTATACCAGGACGCTACTTTTCCTACGTTCCAGGTCGGCGACTGTAGAATGTACCAGGTCGTTGACTGTCGCACATATAGATCGTTTCATCCACGAAGACGCGCCCCACCAATTTTTGGTCGAGGTGCGGGGTGCGGGGAGTTTGATCCGAGCAACCCGAGCGTCCTTATTGAAGTGTGCGTGTGCAATTCATGGATAATTTCGCGTGTACCGATAATACTCAAACATTAGCGGAAGAATGGTGTGGCGCGTCTTCGTGGTGAAACGATCTATACGTACCAGTTCCCTACCTGTCTCACTTACCAGGTCTGTAACGGTCGTAAGTATCAAGATAGCACCCAGTACCAGGTCGGTGTCTGTAGCACGTACCAGGTCGGTGTCTGTAGCACGTACCAGGTCCAGCGTTAGTATTACGTGTTATGTAGCTGTGTGTCCCACATACCAGGAGGGTGCCTGACGCAAGCACCAGTGGGCTGAGTGTGAGTTTATATCAAATGTGCTAAATAGTGAGCGCGTTTAAAAAAATTATGAAAATTTTAGTTTTTGAACAATTTCCGCTAGGAGCGCTGTACAATCCGTCATACATTAAATGACATTTTTTGAAGTTTGATAAAAACTCACACTCAGCCCTCAGATCGCTCGCTATCCTTATATCCCCCAACATACCGGGCTGGTGCCTGTTGCGCGAGTCGAGCGCGGTGTCGAGCGCGGCGCGCAGGTGCGTGAGCTGGTCCAGCAGCGTGTCGGCCGAGCGCGCCACCAGCCCCGCGGCCCGCAAGCCTTCCAGCTCGCCCGCCGCCAGCGCCAGAGCCTCGTCCTCGACGGAACGGCCCTCGGAGCCGCCCACTGAGAATTAAAATATACGATTAACGACACTATTGCTACAGACTTCGAGCTCTTTTCACATTTAAGGCTGTGCTCTTCTACGGACCGGCCTTTGGATCCGTCAACTGAAATCATAACATACGATAAGCGCCACTACACTACTGCCATAGACTTGAAGCTCTTTTCACATTACAAGACTTTACGCTAAAATTTGCGCAGGCGCAAAGAATGGATATCAGCTGCCAACCTATTAGTTGCACAGCTACGGGCCACGCAAGTTTTAGCAAAAGTCTTAAAACACACGAAGCAGAATGTGTAATAGTTGATTAATCTTTAACCGATAATTCTAAGGTACACTACGTAAAAAGATTAAAGACTTGGAGCTCTTCACATTCAAGGTACACAAATGTGCTGAATGAAAATTGATATTTAAGTGACTTTGTCATGCGACACTCACCGTCGGCGTGCCCCGCGTGCTCGAGCAACAAACGCTCGGGCTGCGTGCCGTTGACGGCGCACACGTGGTGGTAGATCTGTGCCAGCGTCTCCGCCGCCGACGCCAGCGCCGGCGCCGCCGTCGACAGCGCGCGACCCGCTCCTGGAATATGGAACATGTAGAATTAGCCACACGTAAAATAATGAAGTCGCGATAGCCAAACAGCGAGACTTCTGAAAGAAAAAAATGCGCACACAGTCGACCGCGAATGAAAACAGAAAAGTCTAATGGGAACTATAGCATATCGTGTATCTTGTATGCATTAATACGACTCAGGGATCAGCAACGCATTGAGCGTGCGTGTATTGATGCACGCGACGTGACCGCTGCGAAGCATCAGCAGCGCGATGCTATAAATAAGCCAATGACGTCAACATCTCTCAGTCATCTTATAAAATGTAATGTTATATGTACGATCGGCCGATATACGCCACCCATGTCAGCGTAGAAGAAAGTCAAGCCTGAAGAACGCAGTCATGTAGGTATAGTCTGGTCTGTGAGCACGTAGAATTTTGTCCAATGACCCCAAGCTACCCATCCTTATCGCTCGCGCGTAATTATATTGCTGTCGCGACTGTATGACGGGCGCCCGCAGTGAGTGTGCGAGCACTCTCAACTCATTGGACAAAATTCTACGTGCTCACAGACAGGGCTTTAGCAGCTGTAAAACGAGTCAGATGGTACTTATACGGACTTTTGCGTCGTCTCAATGTCAGTAAGTTTCTTGCACTGCTTCTTCTCAGCACTAGTCCACATTATAGTCCAGGAGCCGTAGCAGCAGATTAAATACAAATGAGTAGGTCATCTTCATAGAAACGCCGAGCGCGGTTTGTATGCGAGTGCGTCAATACGTATGCGGCGCGCACGCACACACTGACAAAATTTTGTGTGGATTAGCGGTGAGGTGCGCTCGGTGCGTTTTTATGAAGCTGACCTACTCATTTGTATTTACTCTGCTGCTACGGCTCCTGGACTATAATGTGGACTAGTGCTGACTCATTTGTATTTACTCTGGTAGCAGGGTTTAACTGGGACGTGTAAAAGAGCTTCTTAAGACTTCTATGACAAACTGTATGTGACTTTGTTGGTGTACCTAATAAATAAATAAATAAACCCACCGCCGGCCAGCGTGCGCAGCAGGTCCGCGTCGGCCTGCAGCGCGGCGCAGCGCACGTCGGCCTCGGCCAGGCGGTCGCTGAGCTGCGCCAGCTGCTGGCGCTGGAGCGCGGCCGCAGCTAGTGTAGGACGAGGGGCGACACTCACCGCCGGCCAGCGTGCGCAGCAGGTCCGCGTCGGCCTGCAGCGCGGCGCAGCGCACGTCGGCCTCGGCCAGGCGGTCGCTGAGCTGCGCCAGCTGCTGGCGCTGGAGCGCGGCCGCAGCTAGTGTAGGACGAGGGGCGACACTCACCGCCGGCCAGCGTGCGCAGCAGGTCCGCGTCGGCCTGCAGCGCGGCGCAGCGCACGTCGGCCTCGGCCAGGCGGTCGCTGAGCTGCGCCAGCTGCTGGCGCTGGAGCGCGGCCGCAGCTAGTGTAGGACGAGGGGCGACACTCACCGCCGGCCAGCGTGCGCAGCAGGTCCGCGTCGGCCTGCAGCGCGGCGCAGCGCACGTCGGCCTCGGCCAGGCGGTCGCTGAGCTGCGCCAGCTGCTGGCGCTGGAGCGCGGCCGCAGCTAGTGTAGGACGAGGGGCGACACTCACCGCCGGCCAGCGTGCGCAGCAGGTCCGCGTCGGCCTGCAGCGCGGCGCAGCGCACGTCGGCCTCGGCCAGGCGGTCGCTGAGCTGCGCCAGCTGCTGGCGCTGGAGCGCGGCCGCAGCTAGTGTAGGACGAGGGGCGACACTCACCGCCGGCCAGCGTGCGCAGCAGGTCCGCGTCGGCCTGCAGCGCGGCGCAGCGCACGTCGGCCTCGGCCAGGCGGTCGCTGAGCTGCGCCAGCTGCTGGCGCTGGAGCGCGGCCGCAGCTAGTGTAGGACGAGGGGCGACACTCACCGCCGGCCAGCGTGCGCAGCAGGTCCGCGTCGGCCTGCAGCGCGGCGCAGCGCACGTCGGCCTCGGCCAGGCGGTCGCTGAGCTGCGCCAGCTGCTGGCGCTGGTGCGCGGCGGCGGAGTCGGGCGGCGCGGCGGCGGCCAGCTCGCCGAGCGCCGCGCCGAGTGCCTCGAGCTCGCCGCCTGACACGCGCCACCAGGTTAACCAGCGGCCGGCGCGAGCTGATATGCCGCCTTCGACTTTCTCGTCCTCCTGGATGTACACAGCAAAAGATCGATGAAGAATGCGAAGAAATTAAAATTGACGTTAAACGTCACGTCTGGGCGTTAGAGAGGGCAACACTTGTAAAATGCCAGTGAAACAGCAGCATATGTTTCAACAGTATTAACAGAACAACAACATTGACATGTGACAGTTAGCTTTACTCTTGCGTGTTGCACAGCAAAACTAATGAAGATTTTCGCCCGTATTCACAAACGATGTTTGCTTAAGTGAAGCCGCAAATCGTACGCATAACATTGAATAGAGCTCTGTGATTGGTTCGTATGTCACCCTGTGAGTTCACGCGCACTGTGAGACCTCATAGTAATGTTTGAGAATACGGGCGTGAGACATTAGAATATCAAGGAAAAGTATTCTATAACCCAATATTAACTCATAGGTCTCATAGGCCACAGAATTTTTAATTTTTATTAACTAATAATAAGATCGAAAATATTTTTTTGTATAACATGTTGTGTACTAAAAGGGTAAAATTAAATGTGAGTATCATTGTGCACTGACCAGGGGCGCACAATCGCTGTGCAGCGCGTGTAACGCAGTGACACGGGAGGCAGCGCGCGTGAGACCGGCACGCAGCACCGCCGCTGCCGCGCTTTCGCTCTCCGCTGTTGTCTGTGCCGCTCGCATCGATGCCGATAGTTGCGTCTGCAAGCGATAAACAACGTTAAAACAATGGAGTAAGGGTAGTTTTATGGTAGAGGAATTACGCTGATAGCTGTGTCTGCGCACGCGATAAACAACGCTAGAACAATGTGGTAAGGGTGGTTTTGTGGTGGAAGAATTAGTTATGGGCGCAAAACTTCAGCCGCCACGCTCTCGCTTTCCGCAGTTGTCTGTGCTGCTCGCATCAACGCTGATAGTTGTCTGCAAGCGATAAACAACGTTGTAACAATGGAGTAAGGGTGGTTTTATAGTGGAGGAATTAGCTCTGCGCCGCGCATATCGTAATAAAACAAAGTGGTAAAGAAGGCTGGTTTTAGGCTGAAAGAAATTAGTTTTACGCATGCACGTATGATCTCGCGAGGAGCGTATCACGGTTTTACACTTCAGATCTACGCTGTTAATACAGCCAGGTTTTGAGAGGCGTTTGATTTGAACAGCTCACTTCACGCCTGTCACTGCTTGTTAAATGACTTTGACTGTAGCGTCAAATAATTCGTAACACCCAAAGTTGCCAAAAAGTGCGCAACACGTCTTTGTTACAACTGGAATAAGGTCGACTTTTAGGCCACTTTGGTCACGAACTACACTGGTCATCATAAAAATCGGCCCACCCGCGACAAGCACTTTCAAACGTATGCATCCCCACTTCCCACCAATATTACTATAACTATATTACTATTTAAAAGCCTAGTTCTAAACTTAATTTCATTAAAGGAAAGGTTTTTCCCCCAAAAATGTGTCTGTAGAAGAATCCAGAGTCACTTCTTCAAAAAATAGGTAGTTACGCTTGAGCCAACTTTTATGGCTATAAAACTGTTAAGTTGGGATTAATCGCTATCCATCTGTTAAAGAGGACACGTGAGATCAATATTTAGTTTTATAACCATAAAAATTGGTCTAATTGATCCCAGAGGTGAGCCCAAAGTGAGGTCTTTTTTTAAGTTTTTCAAGTCACATTTATTGTATATGTTTATCGTTTTATTAAATGTGTTTTTCTTTAAGGATATTTATTGGGCTTTCAAATAACACCAATATTGTTGGGGCACCATTATTGTGTCAAAAGAAAATCTTTAAAGTTCGCGTCGCGGGTGGTGCGATTTATTTGCTGTCGAGTGTATAACCCCGTGCCACATATGCGACATGGCATATAGAGATGGGTTATACTAGGTAAATTTGATACTAGGTGCACCTATTCCTAGTATTTATTAATACTTGATCCAAATACCTATTCCAAATAGTACGTAGTAATTTAGCATACTGGACGCGACTAGTGCGGACTAATCCACGTAATATGACTTGTAATATGATTGTGTCAGTAGAAACGAGTTTTCCTGTAAAACGTAGGTGGGCCGATTTTTGTGATGACCAGTGTATTTGACGCCGAATGTATAAAGTTCTTACGTTCTCGTTGTGCGCCTGCTCCAGCTGCTTCTCCAGGCGCGAGATCTCGTGCAGGTGCACCTCGGAGAACAGGTCGGCGTGGTGGTCGCCCATGGCCGACGCCAGCTCCGCCGACCCGGAGCCACCCGGCTCGCCTTCGTCCTCTGTGCTGTCTTCTGGCATTCCTGAGAAATAAAGGTCATTATTGTTAGATAATTTAGTTTTTAAGTTATCATTTTGCAGTTATAATATGCTTTACTACTATGGTACATCCACACTGGTCATCTTGCTCACCTTCCTCTTGAGTGAGCAGGATGTCGAGTGTGCCGCGCGAAGCCATGCGCTCAGCGTGAACGCACCACTAGACTACGTTCGACGAAAGCTCTTTGGAGCTGCAGCTATAATAATTTGTAGACGAACACAAAGCTCATAATACTGAATGCCATAGGCCAATCATTGGGTATCAAGCTCCTTCTTAACAACTAACTTGGCCTCCCTTTCAGCCTGAAGCACTTGCAGCGCTTCGACCAACTGCCGCTTAACTCGATGTAACTGGCTATGGATACACATACCTCGTATACTGAATGCCAGATTCGTGATTTTGTACGCGGCCTCCCTTTTGGCCTGCAGCGCGTCTAGCTGTCACTCAACGCGATGCAACTAAGACTATAGTCTGGTCTGCGAGCACGTAGAATTTTGTCCTCAAGCTACCCATCCTTATCGCTCGCGCGTAATTATGTTGATGTCGCGCTCGCACACTCACTGCGGGCGCCCGTCGCACAGTCGCGACAGCAATATAATTACGCGCGAGCGATAAGGATGGGTAGCTTGGGGTCATTGGACAACATTCTACGTGCTCGCAGACCGGGCTTTAGACGCAGTTACAGTAGATTGTATACAAACACAAACCTCGTATACTGAATGCCAGATTCGTGATGTTGTACGCGGCTTCCCTGCTGAGATGCGCGTCAAGCTCCTTCTTTGCGGCGAACTTGGCCTCTCGCTCAGCCTGCAGCGCTTCCAGCGCTTCGGCCAGCTGCCGTTCAGCGATGCGGCGCAGCGCTGCCGTCTCATCGGCGGCTGCGCGCGCGTTCTCCGCCTCCTCACGAAGTTGTCGCACTTCATGCTTTAGGCCTTCGAATTCCACCTGTGAATTAATGTGATATCTTTGAGAAAAATAATAGTATTGATTGGATCTTTTGAGTGACAGAAACTGATTACTTGACTAATCCTACCACTGCAACTCTTGTATATCCAGGTTCTACAGTTTGGCCTTCAATGAAACCCAACCAGTGAAGATTGAGTAGTCCCGGGGATAGATTGCTATCTTAGTCCGCAAATGAGAAGGATATAGAAAGAGTTCGAATATATTATTGAATTTTCGGCTTTATTTTAAGAATGAGATATATACTATACACTACGGAAAAATTTACTGATAGAAGTGGACCTCACCTGTGACGACTGGAGCGCCGAAACCTGTTTCTGCAGCGATATGTTCTCGTCTTCCAGATCCCCGATGTCCACCAGCAGTCTCTGCTCGCGTTACTTGGCTTCCCTTAGCTCAACGCGCAGAGCCGCTCGCTCGGCCTCGCGCGGACAAATAGTGTCAGGAGTGAACCTCACCTGTGACGACCGGAGTGCCGAAACCTGTTTCTGCAGCGATATGTTCTCGTCTTCCAGATCCCCGATGTCCACCAGCAGTCTCTGCTCGCGTTACTTGGCTTCTCTCAGCTCAGCACGCAAGACCGCTCGCTCGGCCTCGCGCGGACAAATAGTGTCAGGAGTGAACCTCACCTGTGACGACCGGAGTGCCGAAACCTGTTTCTGCAGCGATATGTTCTCGTCTTCCAGATCCCCGATGTCCACCAGCAGTCTCTGCTCGCGTTACTTGGCTTCTCTCAGCTCAGCACGCAAGACCGCTCGCTCGGCCTCGCGCGGACAAATAGTGTCAGGAGTGAACCTCACCTGTGACGACCGGAGTGCCGAAACCTGTTTCTGCAGCGATATGTTCTCGTCTTCCAGATCCCCGATGTCCACCAGCAGTCTCTGCTCGCGTTACTTGGCTTCTCTCAGCTCAGCACGCAAGACCGCTCGCTCGGCCTCGCGCGGACAAATAGTGTCAGGAGTGAACCTCACCTGTGACGACCGGAGCGCCGAAACCTGTTTCTGCAGCGATATGTTCTCGTCTTCCAGATCCCCGATGTCCACCAGCAGTCTCTGCTCGCGTTACTTGGCTTCTCTCAGCTCAGCACGCAAGACCGCTCGCTCGGCCTCGCGCGGACAAATAGTGTCAGGAGTGAACCTCACCTGTGACGACCGGACCGCCGAAACCTGTTTCTGCAGCGATATGTTCTCGTCTTCCAGATCCCCGATGTCCACCAGCAGTCTCTGCTCGCGTTACTTGGCTTCTCTCAGCTCAGCACGCAAGACCGCTCGCTCGGCCTCGCGCGGACAAATAGTGTCAGGAGTGAACCTCACCTGTGACGACCGGAGCGCCGAAACCTGTTTCTGCAGCGATATGTTCTCGTCTTCCAGATCCCCGATGTCCACCAGCAGTCTCTGCTCGCGTTACTTGGCTTCTCTCAGCTCAGCACGCAAGACCGCTCGCTCGGCCTCGCGCGGACAAATAGTGTCAGGAGTGAACCTCACCTGTGACGACCGGAGCGCCGAAACCTGTTTCTGCAGCGATATGTTCTCGTCTTCCAGATCCCCGATGTCCACCAGCAGTCTCTGCTCGCGTTACTTGGCTTCTCTCAGCTCAGCACGCAAGACCGCTCGCTCGGCCTCGCGCGGACAAATAGTGTCAGGAGTGAACCTCACCTGTGACGACCGGAGTGCCGAAACCTGTTTCTGCAGCGATATGTTCTCGTCTTCCAGATCCCCGATGTCCACCAGCAGTCTCTGCTCGCGTTACTTGGCTTCTCTCAGCTCAGCACGCAAGACCGCTCGCTCGGCCTCGCGCGGACAAATAGTGTCAGGAGTGAACCTCACCTGTGACGACCGGACCGCCGAAACCTGTTTCTGCAGCGATATGTTCTCGTCTTCCAGATCCCCGATGTCCACCAGCAGTCTCTGCTCACGTTACTTGGCTTCTCTCAGCTCAGCACGCAAGACCGCTCGCTCGGCCTCGCGCGAACAAGTTAAGTGTCAAGAGTGAACCTCACCTGTGACGACCGGAGCGCCGAAACCTGTTTCTGCAGCGATATGTTCTCGTCTTCCAGATCCCCGATGTCCACCAGCAGTCGTTGCTCCCGTTGCCTGGCTTCCCTCAGCTCAGCGCGGAGCGCCGCTCGCTCGGCCTCGCGCGTGGCTTTGTCCACGCCGAGCTCCGAGCTCTCGGCGAGCAAGCGGTCTCGCTCGCTCACCACGCGCTCTAGCTCGTGACGTAACTGTGAAAGAAGAAAAGGACTTCGTTAATAAAATATATACGAAATTAAACCTAAGCGTTGCCTATAAGGAACCTTAACAAGTTTAATGTTTTTGTCATATTAGCGCTTGGAGACCAACTTTGGCAAGTACTAAGAAGAAGCGCCGTAAATAATTCAGTCACCAATGTCTACAATGCAAAGGCAATTGGATCGTTACGCACGAGGATTATAGTCATGACGAAGATTGAATTCAAATGCTAGAAAGTTACTTTTTCTAAATTAGATACCTAGTCTATATATATAAAAGAAAGTCGTGTTAGTTACTCCACTTATAACTCAAGAACGGCTGAACCGATTTAGCTGAAAATTGTCAGGGAGGTAGTTTAGAGCCAGGAGAAGGACATAGGATACTTTTTATCCCGTTCGAAATTAAAAAAAAAGTCTGCTTATTTATTGCCATTAAGGCGGAACAAAGTTCGCCGGGTCAGCTAGTTGTTTCTAAAAGCTTTGGATATGCAGCGATTTCACTATAAACTCAAACCATTGCATTGGCTGCGCTATATTCGATTTATTTAAGTAAAGAAACGTGTTCATTGAGCGCATCGCTCTCAGGCTTAAAGCCGATAGACATTTCATTAGTTCACATGAACAATCTAACCATTCCATTGTAGAAATTCTATTGCAGTTTCAACGAGGAATAGTTCCACTTATCCCCTGAAGATAATGATGAGAGACATATTCATTTTACACGGACGTTCTAGACAGCAAAATTATTAATGAGACAGAAATGTACACTTGGTTTACGTCTGAAACTCTCATTAAGAGCACTGGACGTATACCGCTAACATAGTTTCATCCAATTAGCCTCATACGAAACCAGCGTAAATACACCCAAGTTGTACCTGAGCAAATAGCGCTCCAAAAGGCTAGGCCGACGCTGGCCGGCACTTTGCTGATTGCTCCTGTCTAGCTACACAAATTAGGGGCGAGGCGCGGCCGACATAAAATTTTGCTGACGCGATAATATTTGAGCTGCGAGCTCGTAATGAAAAATACTACCTCGGATTTTTCAACCATAACTCTACTTCGGCGCTTTTAATTAAATTTCAACCTTAAATCAGGTCAAGGTTCGACACCTGTGATAAACTCACACCGTTCCCCAGTGTAATGCTGAAAAATGACAAAAAAAATCGAAGTACCCATATTATTTTACGTTCGGAAGTTTTTCTCACGTAACGTTTTTTAGTCATTGGTAAGTTATTGCACACGCAAGTTGTTGTTGTTGTTGTTTCAGCCAAATGACGTCCACACGCAAGTAATATCGAATAATTTTTGTACCTTTTAAATCAATAAGAACATTATATCGCTAACAGTTTATTTTGTTTCTCTATTATAGTAATACAAAACATAGGCGAATAAATTATGATGATTACGAGTACGACCAAAAAATTTAAATGAATGCAATTTAAATACACACTTTCATCTGCTATGTTAATCCATAATAATTAGTCTAATTTTATCAGAGAAAATCTGAAATAAGTGGAATGTAAAAGAGATTCAAGGCAGAGCTCGCGCCGAAAGCATTTACATTAATTATATACTTTGTTACTTTTTCAGATATTACCTAACACAGTGTTGGTAAAAGAATTTTAACGGCAAAGAATGAAACCATTTAGGGCCCAATGTGAAACAGTTACAAAATGTAAAGAATGCGAATTACTGTGAAGGAATTAAACGCTGAAACAGATAACAAATGCATTTTTCCGTTATCGCTCGTTCCAGCACAACGAATAAAGAAACAATTGTAACATAATCGTTCGTATGTGATATAGGTTTTAAATCTGCCGAAGAATAAAGCGAACTGCTCATGTATTAACGGCGGACTGACACGCGTCTACAGCAGGATGATTTATTGACACGCGAGACAGATATTTGTAAAAATTATGTATCCCTTGACGTGTTTCAGTTGATAAAGCCAACCCATTGATTTTATTTTTTAACAAAGTGAAAAAAAAAATGCTTTTTCATACAAACAAGAGCTTGAGTAAATATGAAAAAGAGTTGGTACCTACTTCAATTTTGTATTTTCGCTACTGTAAGGAACATATCGTTAGTTTTTGTGCGATTAGAGAAAAGTAATTATTTTTAAGAACCGATTATAATTTAAAGTATCGTAACCAAGAGAAGTAATAAGATATTTTCACACAGCTACGTGAGCGTGAAGCCGGTCCCATTTGTCTCATACAAATGTCACACCCAATGGGGTGTGACATTTGTATGAGACAAATGGGTATAAAAAACTAAATGTAGCAACCGATTATCCTTTACTCCGTTTACTCGGATAGCAGTGCCTGTGATTGAGTTAATTCTGTGTCTCTAGATGTGTTTAATTGAAAATTTTGACATCGGGTTTTTAAAATTATTAATTACTAGCTGTGCCCGCGACTTCGTCCGCGTGGAATAATGACTTTGGGTAGGCTTTAGACTTTTAATAATTTAGTCTAATTATTTTACAAATAGCTTTTTCCCGCGACTTCGTCCGTGGAGAAGTCGAAAACGTTCTCATACGATTATTTTTAAATGTTTTAACGTTATTATCTAAATGTTTGAATACTTTTAAAATATAAAAATCAGGTTAAATAAACATGAAAATATTTTTTTCTTATATTTTATGAATATGCAGCTCGGCCTTTGATCCGGTGAAAGTTACTCGGTGGTATTATTTTTTTACAACGAAATCGAAAACTACACCTACCGCAGTATTATTGGTAAACTTTTTTTTATATTTTCCTACGGGTGCTAGAATTACCAAGCTTCCAGCATGCCACTGGCCGTGGGAGAAGGAGCTTTTCCTCAAGACTACTCCCACTACCTCAAGGGCCTCCGCCAAAACTCTCGCGCGAAAATGAGTTTATGTATACAGCGCAAGCAGGTGCCCGCGGCATGACTTTCATGCATTACTATGCATTGTTGGGCGAGCGCACGCAGTTGAAACATTCTTCATTGGTGCTCCGCTCCTATTGGTCTTAGCGTGATGATATATAGCCTAAAGCCTTCAGGAACTAACGGGCTATCCAACACAAAAAGAATTATTCAAATCGGTCCAGTAGTTCCTGAGATTAGCGCGTTCAACCAAACAAACAAACAAACAAACTCTTCAGCTTTATAATATTAGTATAGATGGTTACCACTGAATTTGGTCGAGTCCTTCAATGACACCCCAGCTTCCTTCTCGTTAAGTTAAAAGCCTTTATTTCCCATTTGACGAAATAAAAAACCACGATTCTATCATTTCTATGCATTTCCTTAAGTCTTCATCTTAAAACGCTGATCTGTCACATTAAGCACCGATAATACGTTACACCTCCGTCTCTAGGTCATAAAGTTCACTACTACCACTACCATATAGGTCATAAAGGTCGAGATTTCGTACTTAGACAGCACAAAAAGGAATGAATGAACGTCATTTTATATGGTGTATGGGGTATTAATATTATTTAAAATGCAGTGCTTCTACAAAGAAACCTGCGTGGTAAACTTGATCAATAAAGAACTTGCAATGTCATAGAAATGACGTATCGTCCTTGCAGGTTGAGTCAGTCAGGCATGCATGGCTAAAGCAAACTACTGATAGCGATAACAGAATCGACCTATATAATACGTCATTCATACAACCTTATTACCTGATAATTTTAGCAGGTTTCACTTTTAATTACACTAGGCTAGTTTCCTTAAAAAAAACTTTTAGTCCGTCAGTTACATTATCAAAAATACTGAACAGTCTGGACACGTATATTTTTATTTGTCAATCATAGTGCGTTGAAGTTCCGCGTGACATCACAAAGTGCTACAATTTTAAGCACGCCTCGACGTGACGGGCCTCTTCTTATGAACTTTGGCGCGCTTTATCTCTTTCAAATTAGTATGGAAAAGTGAAAAATACGTGTCGAGTATTTTTGATAAGTTAACTGACGGATTAATTCAAACTCTTGCTTTTTACCCAGAAAACATCCCTATTAATAAACTATTTATATGTAACCCTTCATCATACGGATACTCGATATTATGCATTTTAATCTTGAGTACATCATACTGGATTTCGGATGCTTCATACTATACATATACAGAGGAGGGTGTGAGTAATTGAGTTAAAAGCAGGAGACTGGACGAGAACAATTGCAGGAATTTACACTGCCACCTTAGTCATGCACTAATGTAATGTATTTTTGGGTATGTTGTCTTAGGAATACATACTAAAATGAGCTGTATTATGATTTATGAATGCTTTATTCATTGAGAATCGGATTAATAGAGCTAAAAGATATCATTCATCTTTAGATATTAGAAACGCCCCCAGCTATAAATCTATATTTCTTAACAAAGTATCTCTTCCATTTGCCATTTCTCACAATAGAAAATGGCAAAATAAATAGCAAAACTATATTTGCTACAATCAAATGTTTGGAAATTATTATGGAAAGTGACTATAAATGGGCCCACAGCGTGTTCCCTTGGCTGAGGTCCAAGCACTAAACAACTGTCAACAATGTTCCATTATCTGAGTAAACACAACATGAAATATGAGCGGCACTTCGGCAGGCCAGCCCGCACGACGGGACACCAAATAGATAAATACAGTACCTCGTCGCCCCCATTCATCTTCAGCGTAATTATTGTCGCATTATTTATCACACAACATACACTTGGCACGATATACACCGCACGCTTTTCAAGACACTAATGCACTACGTTTGTGCATTTTTTAAAATCTACACACCATTGAGTAATGCGTGAAAACGTGAATCAAGGCCGGGCAAATAAAAATGTATTTCTGGATCAGTGTTATGGATTCCCGACGGCTGCGCTTACGCCATTCGCGGCATTACATCACGCGCGATAAAGGTCTTTTTGGTTCACGCTCATATTGAACCGTGATTAAGTTGTGATTAATGATGATTACTTTAATATTTCCGAGAGTATTAAAACTGAGTGCAACTGAATATTTCTTCTTAAAAGAAAATTGAGTGCGTTAGGAGGCGTCGACTCGCGCGCACTGTTCGAGGGCCGACCGGCGACCGATGATTCACATCAATTGCTCCCGTTTCATTAAAATGAGCGTAGGCATTCGTCAGATGCGTCTGGGGAAACGAAATTGTCTAATGAGAAAATGACGCGAGCGACTCCCATGCAGGGGCTTGTGAACTGTGCCAACTTCCGCTCGCTAATCAATCGCACATTTTCGCGTGAAAAACTTGGAAAACCGGTTTTTATTATCATTCCGAATTCTAAACTTGATGGAAATTACTATTCAATTTGATGCATGTTCACTTGCTACTGCCTACATCTGTTTTTCACATTAATGAAAATTATTGAGATTTTCCAAGCCTTTTCAAAACTTTTGCTATTAAAATAGAATGAAACAGAACAAACATTTAAATATAATTACAGATTTTAACCGTCAATTAAATAACACAATAATGCCTATACTCCTTAATGTTCCTTCAGTCGGATATCCACCTACCACATTATGCTTAATGATCCATTTAAGATTGATAACCATTGAAGCAAAATAGATCGTGCCGTTTATCGATGACGTTCTTTAATTATGATTAACTTCAGATTTTTTTTATTGAGAACCATTGATACATTTTTTGTAAAATCTACTACCTTTAAGTTAGTGACTGAGTTTGCATTATTTATTTTAGAACTAATTAATAGTCCTTAAGCAGTAGTAGGCTAATTGTGTTGCGACTTTAAATGCATGCGACAAATTCCAAATCCAGCAACCGCAACGGCTACATGGCTTGGCGATTTGAATACTATGAACTACGTCAGATGTGGTTGCGGGTTCGAATTCCGATGGCCGGTATGTTATTAAGTACATAAATAAACGAACGTTTACACGCGAAGATATTTAAATGATTTTTAAGAATATATAATTTTATATAATATATTTATCTAGTCACCACAGAAGAAGCTCTGCTTTTTTCAGACCAGGTAATTGTTATGATAGTTGAAAGTTATGACTGTGGTTATGACTGCTGTTTAAGAAACGGCTGCTTACAAAGTTAATTCATTCCGATATTCTCAACTTATTCCCATAAAAACAAGAAAGTAATAATAAGTTATGAGTATCAAAGCCTCGTAGCGTAACGACCAAGGTAATAAACGCAGAAAGTAGAATTAAAACGCGGTATTTCAGCAGGATCTATGTAAATTGAAACATTTTGCAAACTGCGTTTGCGTTTGCTTTTATTTACGTAATATCATTATTAAAATGAGTTTCCTAAAGTACTTTCCATAGTGTGTATTGTAAGAACACATAACATTCGCGGGTGGGTGGTTCTAATTCTAACTAATGTATGCTGAAAAATGGTAGAACAAAGATGAAAGTGTGCTTCAGGGAGAACGTTTCATAGCGCAAGCCCACAAGTACTGGAGTAGAAATTAATGTTATAATGTCGAGAGTCTAATCCGCGACCAAACAGTAGATATTTATTTTATTTGGAATGGCAGATATCCGTTTGCTTTTGCGTGAAACTATAAATTAATTTAATGGTTACTAACGTCTCAACTTTGGTCCGCGTTACACCCACGATTATTAATCTTCTTGCAACAAATTGTGCAGAATTACAGAACAAACCGGGTCGAATTGGCGACTCGATTAATTTCCAAGAATAACATTTAGGTTATTTTAAGTTTTCAAATATAGGATACGATAGGACTGGCATGTCTATACATAGAAAAAAGTCCTTAAATTTTATTAGAATAAAAAAAAGTTTTCAAATACAAATAACTAATGTGTTTTTTCTCAATTAATACCATCCCTAATTTCTTTTCAACAAGAGTGATTGATTATACAAGTGTTTATCATGACCACATTTGTCTTAGTCTTTTTTTTTAAAATACCGACATTTTATACAGCGCCATCTAGTTTCAGAGTAAACTTGTACTTTTTAACCAACATAGAACACACCCAATATTTAGGTACACATTAGTTTTTGTTATCAGAATAGTAATCTCTGGCATAGTAGTCTAGTATGCAAACCACTATGCCAGGTCTAGTGCAGGATGTAGGGTACACTAAAGTAATCACTAAAATGTACCATACACCCCATATGTAATATACATATTTTTTATTTATAAAAATCATACCTGTTTGGTCTCACCCTCCAGCTCCAAGATCTGAAGGGTGAGCGAGCTCTCCATGGCTGCCGATTCGTTGAGGAGGGCATTTTCTTGTTCTATTCCACTTCTTGTAGTGACTTTTTGTGTTGTGTCCAATTTCATAAGTGCCTGTCAACAAAAAAACTACATTAAGAAAACAATAATCATAATTAGATGGTTCTTGTGTCATTCACATGAAATGAATACATACCGCCCCCCCCCCCTTGGTTTAAGTTTGTATTTGGTTTATAACAAACCTACAAATTAATGTTATTCTGAAGTTGGCTCAAAATCACCAAGGTTGCGAATTTCAAAATCGGTTTTGTGACAAAAAAAATTGCAAGCTATAATGATGACTATTAGTTTTTTTTTTGTATATAGTATAGTTTTTAAGTTTGTAAATTACCTGTACAAATTTAGTTTGTTATTGTTTAATAAAGCGAACGAAAATAAATTAATTTAACACAGGTACGACTGTACCCAGTGTTGCACTATCAAATGTTTATACTGTTCCTTAATTTGTGTATTTTTAAACCTTGACAGGGCAGCGCACAGAATTCTTTATTTTTTTAGTAATATTGCTTAGTAGTAAATATCTTGCAGAAAACCATCAATTCGGGAACGTTTTCCTAAGTTTCATAAAATCCGCAAAAACCAAACAAAGCGCATAATTTGAGCTTTGTTTAAAAACATGGGTATATTATGTATCTATATTGAATAAGCAATAATGAAATCAATACATTCAAAATTTTCTACAAGCAAAATACGTCAAAAAATTCAAGAAGTTGCTATTATTGCGCATACAATTTAAGAAATTTCAAAATATTTAAAACTCTTTTAATCGAATTAACGTAATATGTACAGAACAAAAGTTCTGTAATGTAATAAATATATACATAATATTGGAATACCTCCATTTGTGTGTATTTTATTGAAATATTGTAGCGTTCCCGAAAATGATCAATCGTTCCCGGAATGACAAAAATGTTCTCGAAATGATGATATTGATATAATTAGGTAGAAATAAGGAAATATTTTAATTATAAACAACGATTTAAATAACTAAGTTATTTATTTATATTGCCATACTGTTGACAGTTAAGAAAAACTACTCTTACTATTAATAAATTATTTTATAATTCAGTGTTAACATCTTCATAAATCAGTCTAGTTAAACTTCTATCGTTCGTTCGTTTCAGCCAAATGACGTCCACTGCTGGACAAAGGCCTCCTCCAAGGTTTTCCACAATGCACGGTCCTGCGCTGCCCGCATTCAGGCTCTTCCCGCGACCTTTACCAGATCGTCGGTCCACCTAGTAGGAGGCCTGCCCACGCTACGTCTTCCAGCCCGAGGTCGCCACTCGAGAACTTTTCTGCCCCAACGGCCATCGTCTCTACGAGCTATATGCCTCGCCCACTGCCACTTGATTTTAGCAATTCTGCGACCTATGTCGGTCACTTTGGTTCTCCTGCGGATCTCCTCATTTCTGATTTGATCACGCAGAGAAAGTCCAAGCATCATCGCCCTTTTGTTACACACAGATCTCAAAAAGGTTACTACGATTTCTCCATCATCATCAGCGACACATGTCTGGCAGGTAGCAATATATCTGAAGCAAACATTTGGCTTCTCAGTAGGAACTTTAACAAACTAGAATGTTCCAGGAGATACGAGATTTGGATGTATATTTTCTTTGCCATAAGACGTATTTGCTTCAACATCAATCTGTTTAACTTTTATCTGCTGAATACGAGATATTGTATCTAAATCTTCGTTTTCCGAAGAAGATGAACAGTATACAGATTTATAAATGCTTACTCAATTTTTTAATCTCAAATCTTTATCTGTGATCGTGGGCTCTTCGTTAACAGGAGATTCAATTGCAGGCATAAAAACTTCCTCAGGTGCAACTGCACTCATATTACAAATGCTTGAAAGCTTCGACAGTTTTAGCTCTTTATGAAAATGTTCGTATCGATATAATTGTATTAAACAAAACGTCTAGTCCTTTTTGCCAGTACTATTTTGTGATGTCCATTATACCTGGAATAGTAGCCAGAGACTTTGGAACGCGGTTTTTTTCCTCAATCACGTCGTCTACTGGGATTACTTTTACTTCGATAGCAGCATTTTTGAACAAATCGGCGAATTCTGAGGCTGTTCTAACATTAGCAACAAGACATGTCTGTCAGCTGTTCTTTTTAGGCATCCTCCTACACCATCCATAGGGCCTTTACCATGACCTATATTATCTACACTATAATATTATAAAGAGGAAAACTTTGTTTGTTTGGTTGTAATGAATAGGCTCAAAAACTACTGGACCGTTTTTAAAAATTCTTTCACCATTCGAAAGCTACATTATCCACGAGTAACATAGGCTACATTTTATTTTGGAAAAAATAAATGTAGTCCACGCGGGCGAAGCCGCGGGCGGAAAGCTAGTCTATAATATTATCTGTCCTTAGTCCGTTTAATTTATTTCTGCTCTTCAGTCATCTTATCCAAAAACTTTCTTTTTCTAGCATTCGCCTTTTCCCTTTGGCGCAAATAAGCTGCACTATCCTTTTTAAGCTTTTTTTGAGGTTTTTTTTATTTTTTTCCTTATTAGGAGTTTCCATTATGCTGTAATAATAAAAAAACAAAATTTTAATATAAATTTATTAAAAAATTGTAAATGATTCGCACTTAGAAATAATAATCATCATTCCGAGAACGCAACAGTCATTTCGGGAACGTGCCATCATGTCCGGGAACGTTTCCGAAATGACCGTTCACGAAATGACGATTTCAAATAAGCGCACGCTTTGATTAGACGGCAGCCATCTTAAATGCGATCTGGGTTTGTCAATAGGAAAATATTTCAGGTTACTTTGTTATTTCGTGTCGTAAAAAAGAATTTCATCAATAATTAAATGTAATAATTACGTTCACGAAATGACGGACTATTGATGTACGCTCTACGAATAATGAATTGAAAAGTACTTACCATTTAGATTTATTTTATTTGACCATAAATACTGTGACAGCCCGCTTTGTTATTGTTTTCTTCCTCGACTGACGTTAGATACCGAATGGCTGCATACACTTAAAATAATTTTTGATCGATTTATCGATACGTTCACTGAAATGACTTGTGCGGTATCGGACAAACTATATTGAACATTTTTATAGTTAAAAATAAATAATATTTTGGTATCCTTTTTGAAACTAAATTCTGTATAAAAAATACGGTGTATTAATTCATGAAATGTGTAAATTACCTTAAATTGTTATATTAAATTTTGAACTTGTTGCTGAAGATTGTACATTATGACGCGTTCCCGAAATGATTATCCATGCATGTATATTGATTTTATTTAAAATTTGCTTTATTAATTAGTTATATTGTTTGATGTACACACAAAACAGGTTAGTTGAAGTAATTTATGATTTTTTTTCTCTCAAATAAGTCAAGATTTAAGACATAAAATTGCTAGCAAAGCCAATTCTGCACCTTGGTGATTTTGAGCCAGTTACACTGCAGTAGTTAGTATCAGAATTTTCTCAAGTAAAAGAGAGCAGAAACCTTTTACATAAAACTGAAATGTATGTCTTTGTGGGACATTAAGGCTGGGTCGCACCATCAAGCCAAGCATCACCTGCAAGAAGTCTTAAACAAATGTCAAAAATCTGTCAAACTCCAAAAAAAGCACCGGTTATCTATTGGGTTTTTAAAAAAAGGGAAAAGACTACAACATTATCTAAAATACTACTGAAGCGGACTAAAGTATGTGTCTCCTTGAACACTTGACATTGGCAGAATCACTGCGGCAATAAATCCGCAGGATAGTCCAAAAAAAAGTTACCATTAAAGTGGTGCAACTCAGCCTAAGATAGCCAAGAAGTAATTATATGTTTAAGAGCTATAAAATGCTTCATTACATACATATTAGTATTTATATTTCTATTTATTAAGAATATTTGTAGAAATATCTAAAATAAAGTTTTATTATTTAAAAAAAGTGACACTGAGATGGTCAGACTAATTATGCGTTACCAACAAATGCCTGTATTTATAATTTTTGTCTTATAATAACTAATAAATCATTCTTAAACAGTTTAAACAGGCTATAATGAACAGCTCAAAGAAAATATTATACCAAAGCACAACAAAGACGCTACCTATTTAATAAAACACATTCATTGAAGGTGTTGCAAATAATATTTAGTTTTTAAATAGTTATTACCTAGATTTTATCATTGTATTTACCAACTGTACTAAATAAATAGAATAAAATTATAGAATAGAATAAATTGTAAGACCTATAAATGTGAATGCTAATGTGGTTATGCAATAAAAGTATTGAGTATTGAGTAAAAATATTTGGATTCATATCTATTCTAAAAAAGTTGTAATATTTTTGCTATACTAAAAACTTTCCTTGTGAAAACATAACACAATCTATGGAGGCAGAAAGTTACAAATTGATGGAATTGTTTTAATTTACTGGTTTAATTCAATGTAAAGGAAAAACCCGTTAGTTTATACATTACTAAGTGATTCTGTGAAAGAAATTCACTATGTAGGTTATAGTGAACAAATATTTTCCACTGACTGCAACTTTTGAAAGTAGTTCAAAGTATGAATACAAAATTGAAAAAAGACGTTAAAAATTTCAGCTTCTGCACGATTTAATGTACTCATTAATGCATGAAAAGTGAAAAGAAAGAAACAGAATGTAGGCCACTAACCTCTTGTGTGATTTTAAGTTCATGTCTTGTGTTCTCGTAGATGCTTTCCAATTCATCGTATCTCTGCTGCAGGGCGCTCTTCTCTTCCAGGAGCACCAGCCCGAGCTGCGCTGACTGTATCTTTTCGCTGCTGGCCTGGTCGAGCTCTCGGCTGAGCCTCTCGATCTCCGCCTGCAGCTCGATCACGGACATATCGCTTTGGGCCGTGGCTGCCATTGCGACAGTTAGACGGCCGGGTGTGTAATCTTCATAAACAAAGTAAATAATCTCAGAAAAACAACGATATAAAACGTGTAAAATCAATTGTTTCTACATTCTCCCAAAAGTAAAACGTCTTGACAGCTCGTGGACAGTTCGCGTAGTGATGTGATAGTTCATTCATCATTCACCATATCGACATTCACTTGCATTCACTGCACAGATATGGATTAGAGTAGATACAGCAAGTTGATCGTCAAAGCGTGCCATTCCGATATGTCCAAATGGACATACATGGTCGAGTGATGTTCATGTATAGCCTGACCAGGAACATAAAAACCCTCGCCATGTTGCGGAAAACTAATGGTACTAATTTCTTTTAATGGCAACAGTAACTGAAAACTTCATTGACATGTCACCTTGCATGTCAGTCTATTGTTGTCAAAGTGTAAACAAACTTTATTTTAAATGTTTGCAATTGATTTTGTGAATTAAATTGCTAAAATATTTTTATAGTCGTGAAAGAAAAGTGGTTCACTATGTGTTAATGTATTTGTCGAAGAGAAATACTTAGGGTTCGGACAATATTTTCATTGAATAATGTTTCCAACAAAGGTTGTCAAATTGACTGACATGTTTATCGTATAGTACAGTCCACTATGAAAATTAGCTGTAGTCTGTTTCAACTACCTATTTTAAAGTTTTTTGTCACTTTCTAAGTTTTGAATTTTATGGAATTGGGAAAGAAGTACCGAGTTTGAAGCGTTCATGAGCAGACATTGCAGTTGAATATTCAAGTTCTGAATTTGATTATTGATGAATAATAAAATAAATCCTACTAGCTCGATTGATGGTTTCATTTAATTTATTTAAACCAGGTTAAGGGTTCGGACAATATTTTCATTGAATAATGTTTCCGACAAAGGTTGTCAAATTGACTGACATGTTTATCGTATAGTACAGTCCACTATGAAAATTAGCTGTAGTCTGTTTCAACTACCTATTTTAAAGTTTTTTGTCACTTTCTAAGTTTTGAATTTTATGGAATTGGGAAAGAAGTACCGAGTTTGAAGCGTTCATGAGCAGACATTGCAGTTGAATATTCAAGTTCTGAATTTGATTATTGATGAATAATAAAATAAATCCTACTAGCTCGATTGATGGTTTCATTTAATTTATTTAAACCAGGTTACCTTTAGTAATATTTTTCGTTAATTTATGAAAATATCAAATTAGCCCGTAATCCTGAATCCTGATACATAAATTTAGCCTATTAATTTAACACATGTACGACTGTACTCAGTGTTGCACTATCAAATGCAATTGAAGCGCCTCTATGCCAGGGTTTTTATGTTCCTGGTCAGGCTATAATCCGATTACAACAATCGGTTACGATGATTTTACGAGGACAGTAGTACGAACACGGTAGAAAGAAGAAATTATTTACGGATTGAGAATTGTAATTAAAAGCACAAGTAACAAATAATTAATTAGAATAAAGTAGCAGTAGAAGAAGTATAAAGTAGCATTGTTTTTAATATGTCGGCGCCGGACTCAGATGCTGCAAATGATTATTGATGATTAATAGTACCAATCTTAATATTATGTTATCTGTATAAATCTGTAGAGCGGAAGGTTTGTGATTCCTAAACGTAACACCCGACTGATGCGCAGAAAAAGATAACTGTCATTCAGTTGTGTCATGTCAAGTGTGAGCAGGCGGCTGCGAGGTTATCTAGGAGAGCGTGTTGAGTTTGGTGGAACGTTAAATTGTAGGAAAAGTGATTGTCGACCATCCAAGATATTATCTCCTTGCCCGTTAACCCACGCCTATGGAGATTCCACCCCTAGAGTTCCTTCTGATAGAGACCCAGTGCCTTTATCAGAAGTGGGATCTGAAACCTATGATAGTAACGTGATTTCAAAGTGTTCCAGGTGACCAATGTTTCGTGTTATTTGTCACGAATGTTATCACAAAACGCCCACGATTCTATGGTTATAATTGAATATGATGAAGAGAGAATGTCAAGGAAACCACGCTGACAAAGGTGTGAGATGCAGAAAAGTATTTAAGTACGAGAAATGATGGACGCAAATTATGAAGATACTCCCTCCGTAACTTGGCTTGTGGTCACGTAAGTGGTGAACAATTTGACTAACGATGGCCCCAGAGCAGGTACGATTCATTATTGCTATCGAATATTCTAACAGCAACAATATTAACACATTTACTTTTGAGCAAAATAATGCATGGAAGTGAATGATGCAACAAATGTTATAAGTATTGTCAGTCTTTACTGATAATGCCAGGAATGTGTGTGAAAGCTATGGTATGTGCTCACTTTAATTTCAATGCCAAATAAGTTATTTTAGTAAAGCAAATTAAATTGAACGGTGTTCATTTGTTCATGTTTGCATTCTGCGAAGAATAACCTGTTGAGATTTAAAATCAATAAAGAATAGATAGAATATGGTCAGATAAATTAAATAAGTTTGGTGATCATGCCCGAGTAACCTCTTGGCATTATTTTGGAGAAAAATTAATAATTAGTTTTATCCAAGTAAATTGAAGTTAAGATCTGTGTTGTGTAAATCAGTTTTAGTATCATGATGTTTCTTTCATGATATTGAGTACTACAAGATGAGATAACATCGAATATTGTGCTTAATTATTGAGTAATTGAAATTAAGTAAAGCAGCCAGTTATGCAGTTGAGAATGTGGTATATTTTTGGTATTCTTATAATGATTGATACTTCAATTAATTATTATTGTTAAACATAATTATTGTGTACTCATGGTTACTGTAAGACACATTATATTACACCATAATGCTATATTTGAGTAACAATAATGTTAATAAGATAAGTTATTAAGTTTCTCCAACTTATCAATTAATTTCTACTGCCAGCAGTCATTTAGATTGTATTACTAACATTGAAAATAAGTGTGGGTGACCAAAATTTATCCAATTATGATATTACATAAAAGATTTAGAACGTGGTACATTAAAGGTTTTCTTGTGTACCAGCCATTATTGTTAATAATTCTCACATGGTGAAATTATTTTAATCTTGAGGTTATTTATTAGCTGTTTAATAAAAAGGTTACTGGTTGTAGCATGTTGTGTGTGCATATTTTTAGATTTGACTTGAGTTTTAGATGTGGTGACTTATCTGTCAGCGGGTTGGCCCTGTGGTGAGCAAATCAGTCAAGCACAATACCAGAGTAAAGCTGAACACTGAGCAAGGGTACTCCACATAAGTGATTTGGAGTTGGACAGAAGGTAATGCAATACAACGGGCATCAGCTGTGATATTTGGTGAGTGAAAATGCAATACAAAAGGAATCAGCTGTGATATTTGGTGAGTTGAATTATGTTTTATTGCAAGGGTTGAGCTGAGACTAGCAGTGCCACTGCGGCTTGGTTGTTTAACTGTGCTTATTCTTGTCATTGGCATGAAATTGCATACAATTAACTTGAGTGTGAACAGATTTTAATAATTCATTGGCTACAGTCTACTGCTAGACTTTAGAACTTCCCAACTGCCGCTAGCAGCCTTAAGCAAAAAGTTATTTAAAGTACTTGGGTATTTCTTGTGAATGCTTTGAGGATGGTAACTTCATTGAAGTATTTGCAATTGTGCTGTTATCTAAGATAATAACAAGAAGTTTATTTTGATAAAGTTGCATTTGTGTGTGGAGCAACTTGGTGTTCACCCAAACACAATGTTAAGCATCAATATGTTTCACTTGCATTGTTTTGTTGTCAGTGATGATATAAGTAGTTGTGTTATTCATCTTAATATTTTGATAATGTGGTTATGGGAATGGTTTGAAAATAATAATAATAATGTATATGATGTACTTGTTGATCATACACCAGTGGACATTGTCATGAAGCTGGGCGGACATTGTCATTCTGCGTGAGATCTCCTGATATCTGTGTGAGGAGAACATGTGGCATGACATGACAAGCTATGTGGAATGGCCTAATCTGTGTGGGTTTAAAGTGAAAATGTTCAAAGAACCCTAACTAATCCCATAAATCATTTAGGATGATGACATTAGATGTACTGTATGATGGTGTATAGATGTACTGTATGATGATTTCTTGTGTCAGCAGAGCCGAAAGTAGTCAGCGTGCAAAGGTGCGTGGAGTGCAGCGCGCCTAGCGGCGCCAGCTGCCGGTGCCCGCGCGTGGGCGGCGGTGGCGGCTCAAGCGCGGCGGGCCGCAGCGGCGCGACAGCCAGCTCGGTGCAGTGCGGCGTGGCGCGCGGCGCGGTCGGCATGCGGCTGCTCCTGCCGCGTGTCCACCGGGTGCCACCAGCTGTGTGTAACATGTTATGACAAGCTGTGTGGGACATGTCGTGACAAGCTGGTTGCGACATGTCGTGACAATCTGTGTGGAACATGTCATGATGAGTAACGGCGTCAGCGGCTCGAGCGCGGTGGGCCGCAGCAGCGCGGTCAGCGCGCGCGCTTCAGGCAGCAGCAGCGCGGTCAGCGCGCACTTCGGGCAGCAGCGCGCACATCGCGGGCGCTTCGGGCAGCAGCGCGCACAGCGCGGCCAGCGCCAGCAGCGGCAACGGCTCGCGCTCGGCGCGCAGCAGGTCGCGCGCCAGCGAGTGCGCGGGCAGGCGGTGCAGCCGGGCGAGCCGGCGCGTCACGAGCGGCGCCAGCGCGGCGAGCGCTGCGTGGTGCGCGGCGCGGTCGGCGCAGCAGGAGTCCAGCAGGTGCCGCGCGTGCAGCAAGAACGCGCGGGCGGAGCCGGTGCGCGCGTGGTGGAGCAGCAGGGCGCGCGTGTGGTGCGCGAATGGTGGTGGAGATGGCAGAGTGGACCTAGCAAGATGCACAGCGGATCCCAATACGAGGCGTCAAGTGTGCCTTGGGTAGAGAAGACCTTCGAGGGCGAAGGAATTGGGCACTATTCAAAGGAGATAAATCTTTCAGCATGCACACCTACGCTACGCAACTGATCAAGTTTTACATGGAGGATGCTGACTCAGACATTGAGAGTTGGTGCAGGTTGACGGAAATTATTGTGATTGACGTAAACTGGAAGGGCCTTTGTGAGTGAGTGAGTTGAGGGGGCCGGGCCAAGGGCGCCCGGGCCACCCTGTTGCCGTGGTTGAAGGGGCTGTTTACGCCCGGGCCACGCTGGTGTAATGTTGGTTTCCTGATCGCACGGCTGCATGCCTGGATCAGCAGTAATAGTGGTAGTTGGGTTTGAGGTAACTGGTTGAAGGAGCCTTGGCTTAAGCCTTGCGCATCGGGCCATGTTACCTAAACTCTGGTTTCCTGGTCGGCCAGCTGTAATGTGTTGGTTTCCTGGTCGGGCCAGCTGTAATGTTTTGGTTTCCTGGTCGGCGGGGCCTCACCCCGGGCCAGCTGTAATGTTTTGGTTTCCTGGTCGGCGGGGCCTCACCCCGGGCCAGCTGTAATGTTTTGGTTTCCTGGTCGGCGGGGCCTCACCCCGGGCCAGCTGTAATGTTTTGGTTTCCTGGTCGGCGGGGCCTCACCCCGGGCCAGCTGTAATGTTTTGGTTTCCTGGTCGGCGGGGCCTCACCCCGGGCCAGCTGTAATGTTTTGGTTTCCTGGTCGGCGGGGCCTCACCCCGGGCCAGCTGTAATGTTTTGGTTTCCTGGTCGGCGGGGCCTCACCCCGGGCCAGCTGTAATGTTTTGGTTTCCTGGTCGGCGGGGCCTCACCCCGGGCCAGCTGTAATGTTTTGGTTTCCTGGTCGGCGGGGCCTCACCCCGGGCCAGCTGTAATGTTTTGGTTTCCTGGTCGGCGGGGCCTCACCCCGGGCCAGCTGTAATGTTTTGGTTTCCTGGTCGGCGGGGCCTCACCCCGGGCCAGCTGTAATGTTTTGGTTTCCTGGTCGGCGGGGCCTCACCCCGGGCCAGCTGTAATGTTTTGGTTTCCTGGTCGGCGGGGCCTCACCCCGGGCCAGCTGTAATGTTTTGGTTTCCTGGTCGGCGGGGCCTCACCCCGGGCCAGCTGTAATGTTTTGGTTTCCTGGTCGGCGGGGCCTCACCCCGGGCCAGCTGTAATGTTTTGGTTTCCTGGTCGGCGGGGCCTCACCCCGGGCCAGCTGTAATGTTTTGGTTTCCTGGTCGGGCTTCGCGCCCGGGCCAGCTGTAATGGTTTGGTTTCCTGATCCAGGGTCATCACGCCCTGATCAGCTGTATTTATTGTGATTCTACGATCTGATATTCGCACACTCTGTAGTCAGGAATGGACGAGCTGTGATAATGAGAAATTGAATGTTTACAGATGGACAAACCCTGGACTAAGCGCACGAGGCCGTGCGATAGTCAGGCTGGCCGTGTCGGCGCCGGACTCAGATGCTGCAAATGATTATTGATGATTAATAGTACCAATCTTAATATTATGTTATCTGTATAAATCTGTAGAGCGGAAGGTTTGTGATTCCTAAACGTAACACCCGACTGATGCGCAGAAAAAGATAACTGTCATTCAGTTGTGTCATGTCAAGTGTGAGCAGGCGGCTGCGAGGTTATCTAGGAGAGCGTGTTGAGTTTGGTGGAACGTTAAATTGTAGGAAAAGTGATTGTCGACCATCCAAGATATTATCTCCTTGCCCGTTAACTCACGCCAATGGAGATTCCACCCCTAGAGTTCCTTCTGATAGAGACCCAGTGCCTTTAAATACATATCCTGCGATGTACTCATAAGAGTTAAAACCATGGTCCCTGTATGTGATGCACTCATACCGATTCCAAGGAACCGTACTTACTCATAACTATAAGACACACACTGATGCATGTATTCATGCACTTGACAAATGTATGTCTTGAAACGCTGGTAGGGTATTTAATAGGTAGCTGGTAGGGTATTTTTAAGTAGGTAATTAATTTATTTTAAAAAGGTAAATAAAGATGTTTTTGGTTTTGTATTTAACAAAAATTATCAGTTTTATCGGAATTAATTAATTTTCGAATCGAGTCACACGATATCATTCGATGACTTTGCAAATGCAGTACGATGATACGATTACTTTTACGTTGCGGCAATCGCTAAAATTCGCTAAAATGACACTAATGACGTTTAAAAAGTGGCACGCTCGGCTTCATACAATTTTTGACACATGCTGCATCTATCCATATAGATGACCCACGCTGAACTGTCCCGCCAAACTCAATGACAGGGGGGCGCTACCATCGTTCAACTATATGGTTTCCAACATGGCAAAAATCGGAACTAGCGATCCGGTATTGACGGTGGCGCCCCACTGTCAATGTCATGCATAGGACAGTTCAGTATTTTGGAACTATATCTGTGTATAAGACCCAATATACTGAACTGTCCTATCCGTGTCATTGACAGCGGGGCGCACCCGTCAATTCCGGATCGATGGTTCCGATTTTTGCCATGTTGGAAATTTTATACTTAGTCGAACGATGGTGGCGTCCCCCTGTCAATGAGTTTGATGAGACAGTCATAAATACATTTTAAGAATATAGCCTGACCAGTGGGTCTAGTCAAAACGCACTTTAAAATCGCAAACCCATCGCAAACCAGTCGCAAACAAATAAACAAATCGCAAAAGAGGTCGATAACAAAAAAGGCTTAGTCAAACGGAAAAAAATCGAATCGCAAAGCCCTACCTATCGATAATCGAAAGACTGGATTGAAATTTCCCATACAAAGGCTTAGCCAACATGCATTTAAGACTCAATCAAAATCGAATCGAATCGCAACACCCGCCATTTTCATTGCGATTACTAAAACCCCGGTGATAAGCTTGGATTCGATCGAAAACCAATAGGGTGAGTTGCAGCACCTAACTTTAAACGTAACTATTACGTTAACTGGTGTTTTTTGTATGGAGTTTGACAGATTTTAGACGTTTGTCAAAGTTAAACTAAAATGGTGCAACCCACCCTAAGGCTGTTTTGACAAATCCGTATCGCGATGTCGTTTTGACAGCTAGTTTGACAGCGAAGCATAGACGTAAACCACAGATATGGATTAGAGATTCACTGCTTGCATTCGTTCAATTAAGAAAGAGAGAGGGACACGATTTTTCATTCGTATCGATTCTACAATTCGTTTTAATATGTTTGGTGTAAGTGATATCAATTTAAATAAAATATTTATGTGCAATAAATGAATAAATAAATAAAAAACAATAAAAAAAAATATAAATCGCAACTGTTACCAGAGTAGCGGAAAAAACAGGGCGCACTACTCAGGCGAATTACAAGAAAAATATAAAGAAATATTTAACTATTACTTTATTAGTAAAAAGCCGTGTCCAAACGTATCTTTTAAACCACCGACTTTTAGTTGGCCTATAGTTGGGTCGGGTTGTTGATCACATGAAGCTACAGATAAAAATGGAGGGCAAAGTTGGGAACAAAACTTGAGTCAAATACCTACTTATATCTATCTCGCTCTCTGTGGCCCTACCTCTCTTTTTAGTGTGAACTGTAGTATTGCTATCTTCTTATTTAAATCTCCTTGTAAATTCTTCGAAATAGCCAATTCACTAACCAAATAAGAAGTTAAATAAATAAATAATTAATATTTGAAACTTAGATTACCTAGTTAAATAAAAAATCACAAAATTGTCGGCCATTTAGGCTTAATGTGTTGGCGAATCAGGGAATTACAATCCCAATTTCTGAGGTATCGGTAATGTGGCAACATCGGCCGAATCCGGCCCATCATGGCGGTTGTTTACTATGCAGTTGATTTCGTTTGAGATTTTTCAAGGGACCTTATCATTGTTTTGTCTGAAGAAATGGTGCAAAATTGTATAGTGCGTGGTTGCGGTAGTTCGTGTTGTCCTGGAAGTGATATAAAATTCCACGCGTAAGTGTTTATTTCGTGATTTCTGACAGTGGATCATTGTTAACATATTTCTTTGTATTTTCACAGTAATTACTTCCTAAAACGTTTTACCAGTATTTAAACTTATTATTAAATGTTACATATGTCAAGAAAAAGAAGATTTTACATTGAGTTTCATTGACTTTGAGCAAATTTAAAATTTTTGTTTCTATAAGACATTTTGAAGTAGTATGACCATATTGAGGATATATCTGGGACTTTCTGTGGGACCTTACTTATCTAATTTTGCATAATGTTTTCTACGGCCGTTTACTGTAATCAATCCATATCCAAATCCGTCTGTCAACTGCCAAATTAAAATCTGTTTTCTATCAAATATCCACAGTTTTCGATGCCTTTACACTTTCTTAATGTTGTAATTCATCTTAAAACAAAAACATCGAAAACCTTTTTTCATAATCATATTAAGTGCACTTTATCAAGACACACTGTTTAAACGTAAATCAGTCTTTGTCGTCCTGAGAAAAATAAATAAAAGGTTACCCTACTTAGAAAGAGAGAGCCTGCCCACAGAGAGCGAGATAGTGATACATAGGTTGTGCTTCAAGTAGGTATTCTAAGTCTGGCCTCCATTTTTATCTTTAGCTTCATGGTTGATCAGTATGGAGATGTATGAAAGCGCGCACATTTACGACGATTCGTCATACAAATTAGAATCGGGTCCAACTAATCCAACTAAGTCGGTGGTTTGCGCCTAGGCTTATTGTAAATGTTAATTTTTCTTGTAATTACTTTCATGTGTACTGTCACCCCTGAGATGGGCGTTGTTTAACAAACCATATCGTGTATTTTGTGCCAGTAGGGTGTCTACATTTTCCGAATAAATATTTTTTTACTAAAATAATATAGGCACTGACGAAAGCCAATGTCTCCTCCACATAGTTGTTAATATCGCTATTACCTCGCCGCTATAGACCGCAGTATCGTTCTTCACCATGGTTGACTAGGAGAAATCTCTTAAAAAGCATAAGCTTCGTTTTTAAGTCTAAACTCTATATTAAAAAAAAGAAAACCATGCTAGCTGTGTATGTAAAATACAATATCAACAACACATTCATCAGTTCGTTTTTATTTTTTTACTGAGAGACATGATGTTGGTGAGATAGTAGGTCATAATCACAAATAACTGGGAGGAAGTCGGCGATAACTAAAAAAATCCATAATAGTTGAAAAATCTTTTTTATTTTCAATGAAACTTTATTTAACATCAATTGACTAAATTACAAAATTTTACAAAAAATTCGCTATCAATATAGAAACATCATTATTAATTATAATACATACATACAAATCAATTAAATATTCATCATAATATTGTATTAAATAGGTGTCAAATGATATTGATGACAATATTACAAAGAAATCAATAGAGGGGGTGGGATGTATTTAAATTACCCAAATACATATTTTAAAAAAATAAATAGTTATCAGGAGTCATATTGAGGTTACTGAACTAAATGCAATTTAGTATAATAATCATGAATATAATATTTTAACACAAAGGTACTTAATATAATTGTATTGAATGTATCTGTCAACTGAATTTAATTTGGTTGAGTAATTTGTCACAAATATTTTTCTTATTCTTCAATACACTTTAATATTGTTTACACAGCAGGTGTTCCATTTGAATATCATATGGTGTTATGTGCAGTCATCTTTATTATTTTTTTATTACTGTCGTATATGAAACATTTGTGACATTCCACAACAAAACTGATTAAAATACAAACAATTTACATTATTTAGCACCTGTTTTTTTCTCCTGAGTACAGTAACATATCCACGATTACTTATAATTGACCAAATTGTTGCCCTAATCGAATCCGACTTCTTTAATACATATCTACGAGATTAGTTTAATTCTAATTAATTAGTTTTAAATGTAACCTACTCTGGAATGTTACTTTTTATTGCTAAGTCGAATGAATTCTACTTCATTTAGTATGTATGTAAATTATATAAGTTTAAATTTCAAGGGCTGATTTGAATATGTATTTAAGATATTCGTTACTTTATTACAATTTCTTGACGAATGTATTTATAATGAAAAAATTACTCCTATGTGTAAACTAAATAATAGTCACAATGTTTATATTTTGTACTACACGGTTACTAATATAAAATTTAAAGCATGCCTTGTTAGAACTTGGCACCAAGATGGCGGGCGGGATGTAGGTATAGTCTATCCAATATAGCTTGATTAGAATGACGGCTGTCAAACGAATGTGACTAGTGCTGGGTATGTTTCGTACGGTTCACATAGATGTATCGACAAGTTTTCGAAAAAATGATATAAAAAAATGCACCCAATTTTTCTTCATATCTTTATTCATAAAAATGACAATTATGATTTAAAAGACTGCCGGAAATTGGCGTCTTTTTTTTTTCGCGCGGCCATCGACCAAACTTTGTTTTTTGATTACAAAATAGTGTAATAAACCAAACTTACTATGACATGTATACCTCTAAACTCAGTCTGAACTGAGTTACGAGCATTAGAAGTTGGATGATTTTCATACTAGATTTGCTTTTTGCGCGCAAAGTTTGCTAAAAAATTGCAACAAAATAGTGAGATTGTATGTGTAAACAAACAATAATCATCCATTAAAGGCTCCAGACATCAGTATGCAGCAGAATCAGCGCAATAAAAAAATAGCGCAATATTTTGTTGCAATTTCTTACAAAACTTGCGCACAAAAAGCAAATCTAGTATGAAAATCATCAAACTTCTATTGCTCGTAACTCAGTTCAGACTGAGTTTAGAGGTATCTATACATGCCATAGTAAGTTTGGTTTATTACACTATTTTGTAATCAAAAAACAAACGGTCGATGGCCGCGCGAAAAAAAAAAGACGCCACTTTCCATACAAAATCTGGCATTGCCATTTAAAGACAGTAAAATTTAAAATTCATGTCAAGGGTGTACAACCTAAGTCGTAGTCATTATCATCAGTGTTCTTCAGTGGTTTTTTCCTCTCGCTAGAGGGCGGTGGGCATCTCTTCTAGAGCAACGGTGCTATGAATACCCAAAAAATTACCGGTGATTGATTTCCGATGTTTGATTATTTAAGAATGAAATGTTTTTTGGTTTTTAATAGTGAACATTTAGAAAAACGTATAACTTGACTTAAATATGTTAAAAAATTAGTTAGAAAATTTTTTTGTTAAATATGTTAAAAAAATTAGTTTTAATTTAATATGACATTTGTCGATATGTCCCAACACTAACATTTTTGTAACTCGAGATAACCTTGTAGAGACGTCGTTAATACTCTAGCTTGATTTTTATAATTTCGAATTACTACTTATTGGTGTAATTTAACGCTGCATTTACACGAAATTAACTTTTATATTGGAAGCACTGTCGTCGAAAATATTGTTTGTAGGTCAGACGTGAATTATTTCTTGTCCGCCAATATTTAGCTCTCATTGATCGCTACTACAAAGTTATGTCGTTACTTTTGATGGCAGCTGTCATTCTAATCAAGCTATATTGGATAGACTATAGTAAATGAGTGAAAGGACAATGACCAAAAGTGGTCCAAATGTCCACCACTAATGAGACCTATATTTGCTTACAGTCCATTAAATAGAGATTAACTTTCAGTATGGGACAAAAAAAAATAAGCTGTCAGTAAAAAGTTATGAATGTTTGAAAAATTGTAGTAATTTAAGCGCTAATCTCAGGAACTACTGGTCCGATTTGAAAAATTATTTTTGTTATGGATAGTCCATTTATCAAAGATGGTTTTAGGATAAATAACATCACCCTACAACCAATAGGGGCGGAGCAGTAAAGACAAATGTTGTAAAAATGGGAAATATTATTCAAACTATTTTAACGCGTACAAAGTCGTAGGCACAGCTAGTATAATATTTAATTATATTCATCTATAACCCCGCGCCACATGCGACATGACATAACATGCGTAGGTAGATTAGTCCAAAATGTGCAATGGATAGAATAATATCAAGAACATTTTTCGGATGAAAGGTAAAAAACAGACTTTTCATTCAGTCATAACTTTTTACTGACAGCATATTTTTGATTGCGGTTTGGTTATAATGAATCAGTATTTAGTAGACTATTTTACTATATAGGTCTCGTTAGTGGTGGACATTTGGACCACACTCCATACATTTTTGGTCATTGTCCTTTGTTGATTTATATTATGTATAAAATAATTTATACACTGGCAAAGTTTGCAAGCGCTCATCAAATCAAATTATTATCAAGCTGTCACGACCTAAGAAATTAGTGTACAAAATATAAGATATATACGGAACATAAATAAAACATTATTACTATTTTAGGGTTGTGTAGAATAGCCAGCATATGGCCACTAGACTAAGGGTGGATTCGACCAAACAAGAGTAAATATTAATCTCAGAATAAATCGTCAGTTAATAGACATTTTGACCAGTTATACCACAAGTTATTCTCGGAAAAAAGTTTGGTCGAATCGGGCCTAAGTTGGAAATTGCACCTTTTTACCCCTACTTAAGGTGGCACAATATTAACCTTCATGTGCCGTACGTAAATTTAAAAATTGTGTGAATTGGAAACCGGTTGTAGACAGCAAGCAACTTAATTATTAAGTATTACATATTATTAACGACAGCGAATTCATACTGACGGAGAAACCAGCAATGTCGTTGTCTTCAAACAACGACTTCCAAATGGAATTTAGTCACCTACTAGTTAAATGAATTATTAATATGGCTGCAACAAATCAAGATATAACTTTCTTTAAAATGATTCAACATGCTTTGAACAAAATAAACTTAATAATATTTTGAAGGTAATAAAATATAATGAGATTATTAATTGAGCAAATATAACTAAACGTGATCAATCAAAAACTAATGAACCGTTGCTACTGTAATTAGAATCTTATTGCTCGAGTTTTGGTTTCGGAAAAGTAATCGTTCTTAGATTTATATTTTTATCAATTACTTTGAAACTAATGGTTCCTATGTTCCTAAACATAGAACTTTTATTTTTATTTCCATTGTGTCCGTATATCTAATTTAATGATGATATTAACAAAATGCATTATAAATATTCTAATGATACTAATAAATTACTTGTACTAAATAAATCATAACCGTATAGATATATGGACGTGAGACTTGATATTTAAATCAACGATTAATTCCTGAAAGAAATTAGGCAATCGTACAATGTTTGATTCTCGATTGAACTGTTTTGTCCCCTCACTATTATTTTTGTATGTTTATGCTGACCCTGATTTGATAAATAAATCAATCGAGTAGGTCGAAAAAAAAATGGAGGTTTCACTAAAAGACTAACCGCAGACTACACAGTTTTTGTCGGCCGATAGTTGGGTCGGGCTTTTAAATGGTGGTTAAAGTGGGCACATTGGTATCGGCCGATTCTTCATACAAATTAGAATCGGGCTCAACTATCAGCCGACTTTAAGTCTGTAGTCTGCGGGTAGTCTATATCATATCCATATTACACAAGAACTTAACCTATACATAAAGTTACATAGTAAATAGTTGCATACGATATTCTATTAATATCTCAGAGGAAGACCTGACCTTACTTCAACGACATGACCGGACTTTAAACTCTAAATTCCCAAAGAAATATAATGCAATATGCGATCTAGTTTTTTTCAGTGACCGAGTAAAATAAATTAGATTATCTTTTGTACTGGCACTCAACACCTACGGCTGTTGGGTACTCGAGCAATCCGAGGTATTTCAATTTTCAAGTTTAAACTAACAAAATTGCACAATCTGCATACCTACAACTCTGTCGAGTTAACTGCGCACCTGGTAGTCGTGACGTCACATCGACGCTCTGGTACCGACGGGGCGAACGCGTGAAGGTGTGCGAATTAATGGGAGGGAGTCGCATTCCAGCGATGTGCGCAGTTAAAGCCTGGTCCGTGAGCACGTAGAATCCCGTCCAATGACCCCAAGCTACCCATCCTTATCGCTCGCGCGTAATTATATTGCTGTCGCGACTGTGCGACGCGCGCCCGCAGTGAGTGTGCGAGCGCGACAGCAACATAATTACGTGCGAGCGACAAGGATGGGTAGCTTGGGGTCATTGGACGAGATTCTACGTGCTCACGGACCAGGCTTTAGCTCGATCGGGTTGTAAATAAGTTTTTAATAACTGTTATATTTTTCTTTCTACCCTTCGTAGCGGGGACCTAACGATGCCGATTGTACTAAACAGATCCACAGCAACCGTTTACTTTCATTTACAACTTAAGTACGCTACAATTATATTACTTATTGTTAGTACATTACTACGTCTAATTCTAAATATGGACAAATTCCATGACAAAATAATCCCATTCATAAATAAATATGAATCACTAAACCAATTTAAATAAATAAAGTCGATAAAGAAGACTAGAGATATGAAAAGTAAATTGAAAAGAATAATATAATTGTTAAAAACTTATCAATTATTTTTAACATAATAATATCGAGATAATTAATTAATTAAATGTTATAAATAAATTCAGCACCAAAATAGTTTTCCGTGATATTATTGGATAATGTTAAATGCTGACCGTTCGACACTGTGGCGTCCTATTTTTTTTATTCATAAAAGCAGGAATTAGGCCCAGTTACCGCGCGTATATCGTTCATGCAATGTGTTAACCTTTTTCTGAAGGAAGTATTGAGAAATTCTATTTACTTAGCTTGGATAGAACAGAAAAAGCGCGGTAACCGACTTCACGTCCTACTTTGAACTCCACGTTAAATTAGGTGAGCGCAAAGTAAACGCGCACTGATGATTCGAGACTTGCTACTCAATGTTACAATGTGAGTTCATTTTATAGTTTCAGTTAACATGTCGTAGAAGCCAGTTTGGCCGGTGGCGTTCAAAGTGTTAATATTACCATGTCCGACTCTTTCTAGTTTAGCGTAATACATAATTTATTGTTGCATTACGACTGCAAATATGACCCGATGGTAAGATGCAGATAATTATGCACACTCACATCGACCACAAATCTAAATTAAATATTTAATCCGAGCATGCACCAAAATACCCTATTAATTTAACTAACGTTATATTAAAACACCAAGTAATTTTACTAAAATCATTTACAAATTTCATTTATCGTAAACCCCATAATTTTCATCTACATATTAGCACAACACAGTACGTAGGCGTCAACGCGGTCTCATCCTACTAATACGCACATACCGAGAATAAATATGCCTATACACGTCACAAAGTGCACTGTGAATATATCGTGATCAGATAATGAATGAAAGAAAACTCTAAAGAACGGCCGAATTATTATTATAGAAAATTTTACGCGGCGCGGAGACTTTTGAGATTAACTTATATTATAATTAAGTTACAAACACGATGTTGTTAGAATATGTTAATAAACTCGACTGTTACTTAATGTTACCGATTAAATTAAAGTATGCTCTTCACATTGGCTCTCCGCGAGCCGCCACAGCCGATCGTTATCGATACATCGTTTGACGATATTGGTTTCATAATGCTATTGCTATACTCTTAGTAAAGCAACCATTCATAAAATGTGTTCTTTCGCAATTGATTTACCTATCTGTAACTGTCCTTTTGAAAATTTGAAATTATTACCTTTAATTTCCAAGGTAGGATTGTCAGTTTTTTAAGTGTTTACTGTCTGTAAAAGTTTATTATTATAAAACATAGAGGGACACCTCAAACTTGATACAAATGTATCTTTTTTTGGTCACTACATCAACTTGTAAAACCTCGTCCTTATGAATTGGCTACGTGTTTACGCTATGGTACACCCGGAGGACACGTCGTCTCGAGCGGCCGGGGCGGGCCGCGGCGGCGGGTTAACAACTGGCGCTGGTTCTTGGACCGCAGGAGATTCCTTCCTCAGTGTCTGCTTTGATACCTAACAAAAAACAGATAAGTTAGATAAGATCTCTGTAGGACAGTCGAGTTAAAAATAAAGAAGCTAAGAAAAATTTCTTCTACCGCTTCAACACTCAAAACGAAGAAAAAAATCTAGCCAATTATGGCACTTCGCTTTGGGCATTGACGTCACATTGTAAGTTAGTTTCAAGTTTGCACTGCACTAAGGCAGTGTCGCGAAGGCATACATTCGAGTGACTCGTGCGCCTTCTACGGCGGCGGCAGCGGCGGGAGGCGCGGCTCATTGAGCGAGCCGATATTGGGCGTGACTTGCGCGCGTCCAAGACAGTTAGCACCTTATTGCAGTGTTGCAAAGGCACACATTCGCGTGGCTTACCTCATGCGCCTTCTGCGGCGTCAGCAGTGGCTGATGCGCGGGCATTGCGCAAGCCTCGTTAAGCTAGCCAGTGGTGGGCGTGGCTAGCGCGTGTCTATGGTAATTTCCACCTTATTGCAGTAGTGCTAAGACCTGTATTCACGTAGCTCACCTCGTGCGCTTTCTGCAGTGGCGGCAGTGGCTGATGCGCGGACATTGCGCAAGCCTCGTTAAGCTAGCCGGTGGTGGGCGTGGCTAGCGTATGTCTATGGTAATTTCCACCTTACTGCAGTAGAGTTAAAGCCAATATTCACGTGGCTCACCTCATGCGCCTTCTGCGGCGGCGGCAGTGGCTTATGCGCGGACATTGCGCAAGCCTCGTTAAGCTAGCCGGTGGTGGGCGTGGCTAGCGTATGTCTATGGTAATTTCCACCTTACTGCAGTAGAGTTAAAGCCTATATTCACGTGGCTTACCTCATGCGCCTTCTGCGGCGGCGGCAGTGGCTGATGCGCGGGCGGCGCACGCGGCTCGTTAAGCGAGCCGATATCGGGCGTGGCTTGCACGCGTCGAGGACAATTTGCACCCTATTGCAGTGGCGTGAGGGTACACATTGGAGTAGCTCATCTCGTGCGCTTTCTGCAGCGTTAATGACAGTTTGCACCTTTTTGCAATGTTGCGAGGGCACACCTTCGCGTGGCTTACCTCATGCGCCTTCTGCGGCGGCGGCAGTGGTTGATGCGCAGGCGGCGCACGCGGCTCATTGAGCGAGCCGGTGCTAGGAGTCCGCACACGAGGCGCTAACATCGACATTCGGCGCTCGCGCGTGTTGATGATCGACGTCAGGAACGGGATCTGGTTGCTGATGGCCAGCATGAAAGGCTTGTAGCCCAGGCTGAGGAAGAATGGAAATTAAAATTAAATCATCAGGTATAAACGTGCATAAACTAAATTAAAATTTAAACAATGTGAGTGTTGATGTCGACTACAACTTTGGCGCGCCTCGCAGCAAATCTATACTCTCCCTCGTTTGAAGATCTCTTCGGTTGATTGTCGAGCTAAGGGCCCTCGCCCACGGCGACTTTTTGTAGCGATGCAGTCGCGCTGCTGTTAGTAGCGCGTTGTCATCACTTCTGTAGTGCGTTGCAAATGCGACTAACGCGCGTTAGTAACCGATGCTGTCGTCGTGGGCGAGGGCCCTAAGTAGCTGAATCTCTTTTATTGGAGGTCAAGCTGTAGATCCTGGCTACACAAGAGTTGCAGCGGTGGGAATAGTCCCGTTAGCTGAATCTTAAAGTTAGTATCGGGCACGCCCCAAGTCACGAGCAGTGTATCACCAGAGTAAAAATGAGTAGATCATCTTCATAGAAACGCACGGGCGCGGTTTGTATGTGAGCGCGCCCACACGTATGCGGTGCGCACGCACACACTGACAAAATTTAGCAGGGATTAGCGGGGAGCCAGTCGTGGTTGCGCCGAATTTCGTCAGTGTGTGCGTGCGCGCCGCATACGTATTATATTGGCGCTCATATACAAACCACGCTCGGTGCGTTTCTATGAAGATGACTTACTTATTTGTATTTTCAAAATTCAAATTCAAAATTTCTTTATTTTGTTATAAGACACATTTACAGGGGTTGGGTGTCTCCTTCTAAGTTTAGAAAACCTGTATTAGGAGACGCCCGCTCTTTCGATCAGTTTTACATAATAAGAAAAAGGAAATAAAACAAAAAAAAATTACATGATTTTTTACTTAACACCAAATTAATTAGTACCAAAAGTTGTGTGGGTTTGTGTGAATGTGTGCATGCGTTAGTTGTTTCTTATGTATGCTTGTTCCCTAATTGTGATCTATCTGTGTAAGTACCTACAAACTGAACGGCTACTTCAGTGGCGAGAAGGTAGCGACCGCTTTACCGCAAAAGTATCCGTTCAGTCTGATCATAATTTATTGTGGTATCACTCACCACTCGGCGTCGGTCCAGGCCACGAGGTCGCGCAGCGCGTCGCGCAGGCGGCGCACGGCGGGCAGGCCGACGTCGTGCGCGCGCGCCGCGTTGCAGCAGCGCAGCACGGCCAGCGCGTCGCGCAGCACCACCGCCACCAGCGCCGCCCACTCCACGCAGCTCGCCTCCGTCATCAGCTGCAGGAAGTATCTGCAAAGACAACAAACATTTTTTAACATACACACACACATTAAGGGATTCCCCACACTATTATCTTTTATTCTTCGTAACGTCCTAGTCTCGCCAGCGCCTCCACAGTGTCAGAACAGCGCACCAACGCACTTTAAACTAAATAACGGGACATCAATGCTGTCTGACTACTGAACGCCGGATCTCATCAGCGCTGACGTGGCGTTATTTAGTTTACATGGTGCGTTGCGACGTAGCGCAGTCGCTGGCGAGACGACAACATTACAACGAACTCGAAAGCCGCCTCCCTAGATTATTTCGTATGCTCACTTAGTCCAAAGAAAAACTCTTTTACCTTCATATTGAAGAAGACAATCTTAAAGACGCTAAAACAAAATTCAAAACTGAGGAGTGTCTTTTCAAAAGGGGATACCTACATTCTATCTTATTTTTCACAAAATGGGAAAAACTTATATGGGAAATATTTACAGACCTACCGAAAAGCATTATTTCTGTTATGAAACTATTTCATTACAGTGTTCTAACTACACTTTTTGCCAAAAAATATGACTTGTTAATTTAAAGTTACAGAGTTCAGAAAAATCATAATATCCTCTTTTGACACGGATCTTTTATAATATCCCCCTTTGTTCTGTACTTACTGTAAATATCCCCTTTAGTTGAGCCTACTATTTTGTAAATATCCTCTTTTGTATTGTACATCTCAAGATTTTAAATGATAATAAAACACAGATTATTCTTTTTTTTTTTAAATAATAATGACCAAAATTAAAGACGCTACTAAACAGAATTATATTTTTTTAATTATAAGACATTCAAATCCTGAGCCCCGATTACGGTAATTTTTAACGTCAACAATCCAGACACGCTTCTCGATTCTGCGATACGATTGGTCAAAACAGCTGACGTACGCTGTTGAACGACCAATCGTATCGCAGAATCGAGAAGCGTGTCTGGATTGTAGACTTTAAATATTACCGTAATCGGGGCTCTGATTTGTCCAATATCAGGTGTCAGACAATCACACAACATAGATTCCGTTTTACGTTAATTTTGCGTTCCGTTCTACAGAGTGAAATGTCTAAAAATAAATCCTAAAGCATAAAGTTAAAGGAAATAAAACACTATGTAAAAGTAAATATCCCGTTTTGAAACGGCTAATTGGTATAGTGTAAATATTTGTATTGTAAATATCCTCTCTTGTTATGAAATGAAAAATAACTATTATTTTTTTAATTTTGTGAGTGTAAATATCCTGTTCTGAAATGAACACTCATATTTGAAGCTGCTTTACTTGGGAGAATATCCCATTTTGATTAAGATTCAAGTGACGAAAGTGAGTATTCAGCACTAAGAACAAGACTGCATACTCAGTTTAATAAATAATAAAAATGTAAATATCCCCTTTTGAATAGACACTCCTCAACTGTATTCATACCTGAGCTGCACATGAGCAGTGTGCGAGCCTCGCTCGGCCTGGTGGTGGTGCAGCTTCTCCATGAGCGCCGCGTAGCGCCGTCCCACGCCACGCCTCCTTCCGCCACGCCGCACTCGCCCACGCAACTGTGGGTAGTTGGGCAACAGAACTGTATTCGTACCTGAGCTGCACATGGGCAGTGTGCGAGCCTCGCTCAGCCTGGTGGTGGTGCAGCTTCTTCATGAGCGCCGCGTCGCCGTCCCACGCCACGCCTCCTTCTGCCACGCCGCACTCGCCCACGCAACTGAGGGTAGTTGGGCTACAGAACTGTGTTCGTACCTGAGTTGCACATGAGCAGTGTGCGAGCCTCGCTCGGCCTGGTGGTGGTGCAGCTTCTCCATGAGCGCCGCATCGCCGTTCCACGCCACGCCTCCTTCGGCCACGCTGCACTCCCCGACAGAACTGTGGGTAGTTGGGCAACAGAACTGTATTCGTACCTGAGCAGTGTGCGAGCCTCGCTCGGCCTGGTGGTGGTGCAGCTTCTCCATGAGCGCCGCGTCGCCGTCCCACGCCACGCCTCCTTCCGCCACGCTGCACTCGCCCACGCAACTGAGGGTAGTTGGGCAACAGAACTGTATTCGTACCTGAGCTGCACATGAGCAGTGTGCGAGCCTCGCTCGGCCTGGTGGTGGTGCAGCTTCTCCATGAGCGCCGCATCGCCGTTCCACGCCACGCCTCCTTCGGCCACGCTGCACTCCCCGACAGAACTGTGGGTAGTTGGGCAACAGAACTGTATTCGTACCTGAGCTGCACATGGGCAGTGTGCGAGCCTCGCTCGGCCTGGTGGTGGTGCAGCTTCTCCATGTGCGCCGCGTCGCCGTCCCACGCCACGCCTCCTTCCGCCACGCTGCACTCGTCCACGCAACTGAGGGTAGTTTCGCAACAGAATTGTATTCGTACCTGAGCTGCACATGAGCAGTGTGCGAGCCTCGCTCGGCCTGGTGGTGGTGCAGCTTCTCCATGAGCGCCGCGTAGCGCCGTCCCACGCCACACCGCCTTCGGCCACACTGCACTCGCCCACGCAACTGAGGGTAGTTGGGCAACAGAACTGTATTCGTACCTGAGCTGCACATGGGCAGTGTGCGAGCCTCGCTCGGCCTGGTGGTGGTGCAGCTTCTTCATGAGCGCCGCGTCGCCGTCCCACGCCACGCCTCCTTCTGCCACGCTGCACTCGCCCACGCAACTGCGGGTAGTTGGGCAATAGAACTGTGTTCGTACCTGAGCTGCACATGGGCAGTGTGCGAGCCTCGCTCGGCCTGGTGGTGGTACAGCTTCTTCATGAGCGCCGCGTCGTCGTCCCACGCCACGCCTCCTTCCGCCACGCTGCACTCGCCGACAGAACTGTGGGTAGTTGGGCTACATAACTGTGTCCGCCGTACCTGAGCTGCACATGGGCAGTGTGCGAGCCTCGCTCGGCCTGGTGGTGGTGCAGCTTCTCCATGAGCGCCGCGTCGCCGTCCCACGCCACGCCTCCTTCCGCCACGCTGCACTCGCCCACGCAACTGAGGGTAGTTGGGCAACAGAACTGTGTTCGTACCTGAGCTGCACATGAGCAGTGTGCGAGCCTCGCTCAGCCTGGTGGTGGTGCAGCTTCTCCATGAGCGCCGCGTAGCGCCGCTCTGAGCCGCCCGCGTCGCCGTCCCATGCCACGCCTCCTTCCGCCACGCTGCACTCCCCGACAGAACTGTAGGTAGTTGGAAAAAGATATTATAATACTCAGGGTAGGGTATGGCTAATGGGCAATATGCCTAGTGCAAAAAACTTTCAGCCCTAAGTATGCTTTCAAATTAGAGACGTAAGGAAGCGCAGCAATGGCGCTACTGTGGTGCGCTTGCCGCGCCTCCACTAATTTTCATATTTTTTTTAGAAGCACAGTCGCAGCGCCTCTACCGTAGCTCTTCCTCACTATTTGCATTTAATTTGCAGATGCCCTAACTTCAAGCTGCGGACAGTTCGTAGCTCTTATTGGGCTCGAGTGGGGCCCCGGTGTATGGCACTTTTGATGACAAAACAAATCGTTACTATGACAAAAATCTACGAGATTCCGATGAAAGTGAACATACCTGACAGGGCCAGGCGAAAGTGGAGGAGCGGCGCGTAACTGAAGGCTAACGTAGCCACTGTCACCACATACGCTGTCTGACTCAGCTGAGGCACTGTACGAACCTGTAAACAAAGTTTTGTATTATGTATAAATGGTCGAATGGCTAGGAAAGTTCCCCTAGGGCTATGGTGGACTATGGTATGGTGTAACGTGATGGGAACGAGAGAGATGAAATGGATATACAAAAATCATTGTAGGCTAGATTGCAAATTGAAAAGCATTTTGCTACATGTTTGCTACAAAGCCGAACGGTGAAGGAGTCGGACTGGCCGAGACCAGAGAACGTCGAATCCCACCGCTGCTCGACTATTGTCGTTAACCCACTTGTAACACTACCATATTTAGCTCACCACGAGGGGTTTAAAATGTTTGCAAGCAAATTGAGTTTTGCATAATTATGTTGCAATGACATGAACAAAACATATTTTTACCAGTTGATTGGTTAAACTTCTACTCATTGGGTACTCACTCGTAACAGTGCTTCCTTTCCTCTGCATATACGGATCAGCATCATGAGGCACCACAGGGTAGGGCCACGCAAAGTCTTCGTGCAGCCTCTTTATACACAGCACGGCGTTTTCCACTCTCGCCGCCCTTTCTCTCTCTCCCGCTAACCACGCCACTAAGTGTAAATCTAAGGACGCGGCCAGACGGCCTAAGGCGTGTAGTCGGGCAGAAGAGAGAAGCACTCTAGCGTGTCTCTGGATCATCATGTCTATGAAAAACTCTTCTGCGGTACCGCTGTAACTTTCTCTGTGGAAATAATTTGAAAATTAATCTTGTGGATTGATGTACTCTTTAATAGTCACTCAAACGAAATTGTCAATATATTTTGTATTAATCAAATTATATATTATGTATACGATAAAGTGTAAGTGTTTCCAAACTGTTCCTTTTCATATGTTAACTTTTCCCAGTCCCAAACGTCACAAGACATTACAACATGCTTCCAATATCCGCACTCAAGTTAGTGTAGGAAAACTTAAGAAATATAATTTGTGTTAGGAGGAAAAACCAAACTGATGTTATGTCGTCCAAATGTATGAAAAACCAAATTCCTGATAGATAGTTCCAGACCAATGTAATGATAGATGTAATAATTTAAGGTGTTACTACTGAATGTATTGAATAATGGCCTGTTCCGATCCGTGTCATCAAGTATTGTGAAGAGTAGAGACTGGTTGCTGAAAAATATGTGTATATTTTTTAAAAGCGAGCTTAATCATAAAAAATTGTGATTCAACTGTTTTGTTTCCACTTCTGTTTTTATTAGCATTGACTTTTTTTAACTGAATTGATACTTTTTCCAATCGAGTACTAATGAGTGACGTCACAGCTTGGATTATAGTATGTAAAGAAATTCAGCTGTTTCAAAATCAAAATTGACACTGAGATCGAGCCTAAAAGTGAAAGATGATGGAAACCAAAGATCACTTTATACAATACTAAAATGATAAGGCTTTAAGTCAATGGCATAAGATCTAATTTAGTTAAGTTTCAATAAAATAATACGGTATCTTAGCGCCTTTACACATTATGCCGCAGTGGCGGTAGGCGCCGCGTCACTAGAATCTGTTGGATATGTATAGGGCCTTACTTACGCTGTGATAAAAGAATAGTCTAAAATCAAGAGTAACAACATAGCATATCTCTTATTCGCTACTTCAATAGTCTGCTAAGCTTTACTTCAAATCAGAAAACGTCTAAAAATAGGTTGTGAAATAAACCTTTTCTTCACAACTGCGCAACTCGCATACTTCATATGCAGCCTCCAGTTGCCGGCCATCATCTTGAAAATCAAACATCAAAAAACCTTTTCAAAATCGGAACAGCCTGCAAGGACAGTTAGTAACAAAGCGTGTACCGGTCGGAGCGTGCGGGCACGGACTTTTTCCGCTTGACGGCGGCGGTGGCGCGCGCCGGCGGCGGCACAGGCGCAGGCGGCGCCGTTGGCTGCGCCGGCGCCGGCGGCGATGGCTCGCGCGGCGCCACCGTCGTGCTGAAGCTGCGCCCGCGACCGCCCGATAGCTACATACATTAGATAGTTATATCTTCTCTAAAATCTAAAGCCTGGTCCGTGAGCACGTAGAATCCCGTCCAATGACCCCAAGCTACCCATCCTTATCGCTCGCGCGTAATTATATTGCTGTCGCGACTGTGCGACGCGCGCCCGCAGTGAGTGTGCGAGCGCGACAGCAATATAATTACGTGCGAGCGACAAGGATGGGCAGCTTGGGGTCATTGGACGGGATTCTACGTGCTCACGGACCAGGCTTTATACGAAATTAAGAATCACTAGAAAAAAAGAAAAGTTAAAATTATGCAGCACTGGACGAGTCCATCTTACTAAAGACACCAAATTTTCGTACTTTAATTATATGTAATAGCTTTTGCCCGCGGCTTCACCCGCGTGAAATTAAGTGCCACAGATTCGCATAAATTATAGCCTATATGGTAATCTGGGTTACAAATAATAAAGTAAAAAAGTAAAGTTTCAACCAAATCCGTTCAGTAGTTTTTGCGTGAAAGAGTAACAAACATCCACACAAACTTTCACTTTTATAATATTAGCAGGATTATTGTGTCATTTACTATCATAGTTTCTAAGACCTTTGTTACTAACACTTTTATGAGCTTATGACTGAATTAAATACCTTTTATTTATTTATTTTTATTTTAAAATGGTAAAACTTAGAACTTTGTAGTAAAATAAACAAATGGCTTTAAAGGACTATGTAAGGTTCCCCTGCAGCCCTGGCAGTGTTTCTGCCTATCACGGAAGTGTATCATTTGGAGCTTACTTCAGTCTTAGTAAAGGATCTAAAATATCTAGCCACATATTAATTTTCACATAAGGACGGACGTCCAATCGCCTAACCATAACTAACCTGCATGCTGCCAAGAATGACAGAGAGATCCTCAGCATTCGGAGTGACAGTCTGTGACTGCGCAATCTGACCATATTTTGCCTGGACATTGACGGAATTCCGTGGCGAATCCACATCATTCGGATCTGTAAAAGCAAATTCAAAATTGTATTGGTTCAATAAATAAAACAATGTAAAATTAAACGGGTTAAACTTCAATAAAATAATTATCTAAAATTGGAACAAACTTCAAATAATAACAGCATATTCAGTCATAGCTACTAAATTACCGAGTAAAAACATAATTACTAATTGCCTACGTGTTAAACTAATTTATTACGTGAAAAGACCGCGGCCTAAGTACCGGCAATTGAATTAATTATAGCGCCTAATTATTGTATATCCCGTCTGCGGACACGTAATGATGGATAGACTGTTGTTACCCTTCATAGAAATCGATCGCATTCCTATGAAATCATTACATGTTAATATGACTTCGAAGAATATACTGACTGTCTTGTGAAAAAATTAAGTTAGGAACACACCACAGATTGAGAATCGGATCTATAAGTTTGACTTAGATTTAAGGGTGCATTTTTATTTGTGAACTATGTTCTCATTAAATTCACATCAAATATTTGATAAATCCACTCCGCATAAATGGAAATGCACCCTGATGAATAAAAAATTGCATGTATTGAATCAATCAATTTATCTACAATCCTGATTATGAATTTAAAAACAATGTTTGTAAGTTGCCAGCACTAGGGCAAGACGTGCACGAGGCGCATGCGTGATTGCGCCGTGGAATGTTGGAAATTTGGCATACTTTGGCGCCATTGCATAGTTTTAGTTACGTTGCGTCGGAAAGTGTTCTTTATAATAATGCCTAGATATTTCAAGAGATAAGTACCTAGAGTATGAAACTGCAGATAGCCAAAAACATTTGTGATGATGATACAATAAAAAATAGTTCATCATCATCATAATTTCAGCCACAGGACCTCCACTGCTGAACATAAGCCTCCCCCAATGACTTGATGACGCACCACGTAATAAAAATAGTTACAATGTTTGAATTCACACTCGTATCTTAATACCTCATAAGGAACAGTTTCATGAACTACTTTTAATTTTCCACACAAATACATAAGAAAGCTAAGCTCTAATTAAACAAAAGAAGGTTGACCATACCTATAGCCCTTAGAAAACGCACTAGGTCTCTGGCGAGATCCCACCGCTCTTGCTGCAGGGCCGTGTCGAGAAGCTGCGTGGCCAACTGCCGGCTGACGGTCGAACTTTCCAGATTCTACGAGAACAAACGGCGGATCAACGTCATAGAAACGGGTCTGACGCAGAATGTGCACTTCGGAAAATGCGGATTTCTCTATACAAATGTAAGGGCTGAAGAGTTTGTAAAATATTAGTATGGAAAAGTGTGCATTTTGCGAAGTGCACATTCTGCGCCAGACCCATAGAAACGTTTAAAAAATGTTTTGAGAATATATAGAGGTCTCGCTATCAACTACAATTTTCCTCTTTACTAATAAAAAGTTAAACGCATGTTGAACAGCAAATGGCGCGTAAAACTTTTATTAGTAAGGGATATTATGTCAACATTTATCTACGAGTAATCATTTAAAAACTTACTTGCCGTGCTAGTTTTAACTAAAATATTTAGTCATTTAATAACAAACATTGTTTAACAAAATATTTTCATAGTTATTACAAGTGTTAAAATCGTAAAGAACACAACTAATTAGTATATTTATTTACACTAGTACTACTATTAAATACTAACGCAACGAAACAAGTGTACCTGCGTTAGCTGTAAAACAATATAAGCATCTATAAATCAGATAAAAATCAAACAAATTATATTAAATGTACGCTATTTACCTGTAAAATGATGAGGTACGAGGCAGCCGTATCCAGCATCTTCCTCTGAAGGCACTCCTGGAATAACTCTTTGGGCTTACCGGCCGCTGAGAACAAGTAGGCCCAGAGAGCTATTTCTGTTTTGCGAGCGCACTGCACCACTGTCTGAAAGAATACAAACAATTTAACTTTCTTACAAGATCCTTTTAAGAACATGCTCTTCAGGTCTTCTATGCCTAACATACTTTGGAATTTATCTAAAGTACACTACAAACAATTGAGACTGGCATAAGGAACGGCCAGCAAAAATGAATCTTCACTCTACAGGTTCTACACCTAAGTAACCTAAGTTTGTACTTAATTTCAAGTTAACAGCACTTCGCTACAAGGAATTGAAACTGGCATAAGGAACAGCTAGCGAGCTATTGTATTATTTTCTTATTACACATCTGTTCTGGAGTGGAGGCCGCGTAATAGAAAACGTAGCATGGGACGTCTACCTACAAAGGTGGACTAACGACATCATAAAGGTAGCAGGAAGGCGCTGGACGCAGGCCGCTACCAACCGATCAACATGAACATCATTGGGGGAGACCTATGTTCAGCAGTGGAGTCCTATGGTTGAAATGATGTTTTTTTTATCCACAACGAGGAAGCTCTTGGCCTGTATCTCACCTGATAGTAAGTGACGATCAGACCGAAGGTGGAAGCGAGCTTCACCCGGAATGTTCAACCACGAAGGAACTGGCTATCTTACCTCTAACTGCCGGTACACAACAATGCTGTAACATTGTTTTTATGACGACAGACTTACGTAAGATGGTGGTAGCTAGCCAGGCGGACTTAGAACAAGCCCTACCACCAACCAAACCGAACAGAAAAATCTGCCCCCACTGGGAATCGAACCCGGAACCTCTGCGTCTGAAGCAGGTGGTCTTACCACTAGACCACAGAGGCGGTTAAAAAATGATGATGACGGCACACCTGTAGATACACGGGGAACTCATGCACAAACTCGATGACGCTCGGAAGCTGCGCGTCTGGTATGGGTTCCTTGCTCGTGGCTTCCTCTTCCAACACTTCATGCAGTAGTAACTCCAAAGAGTGAGGGAAGTATGGCAGCGCGGCGCAAGAGCGAGCGATCTCCCACGCGTGGTAACCCAGGTTCCGTCGTAGGAGTTGACGGAGGATTTGGTGAAGGTATACTTGACTCTGAAATAAAATATCTTTGGTAAAAATCTGTCGCAGCTGAAGCCATGTTCTAGCTAGAGTAAAGGCTAAGAAAACTTAACGACACAAAAACGGGCAGTAAGGCCCAGAACAGACGGTGAAACTGCAACTGCAACGAAACTGCAACTGCTAGTTACTTTTGAGTTGCATCTAAGTTTCTGACATAGCGTCCGTTGAGAGACCACACATGACGCGACCAGTTTGAAACTTTCAGTCAACTTTCAGACGCTATGGCAGAAACTTAGATGCAACTTAAAAGTAACTAGCAGTTGCAGTTTCGTTTCACCGTCTGTTCTGGGCCTAAGGCTTACTTTGAAATGCTATTTACATAGTCTCGGGTCTATTTGTCACCTTCACTCATGCTGGCATCTTGCTTTGCGTAAAAGAGATAGCAAAATTCGAAACTTCGGATAACGTTTTTCGGAGTAAGCCCCATGTTTATAAGACTACTTCAGAGAGGTGCTCAATTTCGGAAAAAAATATGTTATTTTATTGCCCCAGGGCGCATTTCGAATTAGATAATGCTTTTAAAGATACAAAGTGTGAATACTTACTGTTCTATTAACTACACAGAACGGTAACGAGAACACAGAGTTCGAGTCAGATGCGTATAACGTGGTGTCATTCTCAACGCCCAGCAGGATCGCGTCGTCGAAGAGAATTGCTGCGAAAAAAGACGTAAATCAGTGTTATTACGACACACAAAGTAATTAAGGGCTTCAAATTAGAGGCCTGAGTAGTACTTCAAAATAGTGGCTCTACTGTGTCGTTTCTAGAAGCGCAAGGGCACGCGCATGTCTTTGTCACGGTGGTAGCGTTGCAAGCGCTTCCAGAAATTGTATCTCTAATTGAAGGCACCTCTAGCTATCAAAGTGTGGGATTGCAGAAAATCAATGTAAAACCTCGGACTACTTACTCAATGGGTAGATATCTAGATGGAAGGGCAGCATGATCCGTTTGGCCATGAATGTGTGTCGCGACGAGTCGGGGTGCCGCGAGGCGTCTCGAGGCAGCAGCGGAAGCCACACGCGAGCCCCTAGGGCTCCACACCACAGCCATAGGGCTCGGGACAGCTGCGTTTGGGAGGTGGAGGCCCCACCGCTAGCCCAGACGCTTTCGACGCATGACGCTAGCACCGTTGCAGGAAGGCAGCTGTATGCCTGGGGACAAAACATCTTATTGATTGGTCGTGCGCAAACACTGCGACTGCGTGACTGCACCAGACAGTCTGCCAATAGAGAGAGATGGAGGGAGACCGTGCGGAGAGTTGTATCCGCCTCTACAACCGATGTGAACAACGCCTCAACGTGACCACGACCGCTCTGCCAAGAGCGTAACGAATAAGAAGAAGAAACGGCACGGTAGGGTGTTTTTGTGACGCCGAACGTCAGCGAGACTTCAGATGTGCTTCAGCCTTGTATGCTCTGTTACGTCATATGTCACTCCTTCCGCGCCGATTCCATACCTCAGGCGCTGACTCAATTATCCGCTAGACCTGTAGCAACTGTATTTTTTCCATGTCGGGTGTAAAGGTTGTCATGATGATGATATCTTGCTTAACAAGACTTAGCTATCAATATGTTGACCATATTGCAGCATTGCAAACACAGTTGTGTTACTGCTTTTGCTATTAGCTAATCGGAATTTTAATTTCATTTATGCGTACATCTTTTATCGATATGCAAAAATACGTATAATGAGTTCATGTACTTCGTTATTGCAGTTTAGAATAATTGTTGTAATTCACGTATGAATATTTCGTTGCAAAATGTATAACGCTGCGAGAGCAATGCACTCATAAAAAATATTTATTTGTTTATTTTTGTTATTATTTAAATTCCTAATGAACAATTAATTTTTCAAGTTCATGACTATTAATTTGCACTCAATGTGTTATACAACTAAATGTCGGTGATAACGATCTCATTGACCGACATTAGTTCGCGTGCTGCGCGCACGCAAAGTAATCGCACGCGCGCCTTGTACGATGTGGGAACAACTGGAGCAAGACGTCACATTACTAATTCAAAAACATTGCGTCAAGGCGGACACGCTTCACGTGCTTTCTTCGAATGCATTAAACGAGAACAATACTTTTTGCGCCGAAATCATATTTAATGATGACATTGTTTCCTTGCAACAGACAGTAGGACTTACGAAGGAAATGGACGTGTGAACATTTCAATTCGAATTGCGCAAGTTCCGATTCGGCGATAGGCATCCTAAGCTAGATGCTAATTTATATGTATGATAACTTGTAATTATCGCATTTAAATTGAAAATTGATTGCCGACAATGCTGAAGCCGGCGTCCGACGCGAGTGCTCAATGCATATTTGCTTGCGTTTTCACTGGCGAAGGCTGTTCTATGAAAATGAGGAAGCCTGATGCAACCCTTGGTGATTGTTGGTAGCAGCGGTCGCGAGCGCGAAACAGTCCACATCCGGCGCACGTCAGGACCCGAAGGTCTAAAGCAATTGCCTATAAATTACCTCAGATTGTTCTTATCGGACCAGTACGTTTTTGACAGCAGGCGGTCAGTGCGTCTCCGCGAAAATGAATTGCTTCTTAGCGGTCCGTGTTGTTTTTTTAATACAATAAATAATAATAATAAATTTAATTACTACAGTTATGACCATAATAATGGTCTTTATGATGTTTAGTGAAGTGTGATTATAATTTTGCAGATAACGTGTCTTTTGGCTGTGACGGCATCAACAAAGGCCGATGGGGGAGTCGGATTGGAGGGGCTTGTTTATGCCCCTGGACACGCTTCTGCCGATTATTATGTATGATTTATTTTCTATTGAAATGGATTTGATTCGTAACATTATAAGTAATTCTTAATAACAAATAATTTTATTAAAAGAAAACAAATATCGACAGTTAGGTAACAGTAAATTCGTATTATTACAGGCGTATCCAAGGTATGCATTTGAATACGCAGTGAAAGATCCTCACACAGGAGACAACAAAGCGCAGTGGGAGAAGAGAGACGGAGACGTAGTCAAGGGTAATTATTTTGGTCATATTTAGGAATTAATGTAAGCTTTAAGTTGAACAATCCAACAAAAATAACATATCATTTTTTGTACATAGGTGCCTACTCATTGGTGGAGCCTGACGGTAGCCTTCGAGTAGTGGAATACTGGGCAGACGACAAGTCTGGCTTCAACGCGGTCGTGAAGCGCGTTGGTCCCAACCTGCACCCAGTGGTAGCGCCCGCCCCGATCTACAAAGCACCCATCCCAGTTCTGGAGAGCCACGGACCTATTGCACCGATCTCCGTTGGACCCATAGCGAAATACCACGGCCTGGCCAGCGCTCCACTTATCACAGGACCAGTCGGGCCAGTCTTGGGAGGACACGCCATTTCCTCTGCGGCTGTGTACAAGCCAGCTTCAGTCCCGATCATCAAAGCTCCAGTAGCCCCTATTCTATCCGCGCCTATCTTGCCAGCTCCGATTGCCCACGCTCCGATCGGCCCGGCCCCAATCGCTCACGGACCTATTCTAGCGCCGGCACCAATTTACAAATCAGCACCAGTGCTCGCTCCTCTGCCGGGACCTATCCTATCTGCGCCTTACGGTTTATCGTCTCTGGGCGGCTGGGGAGGTCTCTACAAGGGCGGTTTGGGAGCTGGCTACCTGGATGACCTAGGTCACGGTCTGCTGAACAAGGGAGGTCCCATTCTACCGCCACTAGATCTTGGCTACGGCCCCGACCTGGGATACAAACACTAAGAAACCAGCCTGCATGCCTGACGTACTTGTTAATCTATTTGCCGCTACCCGTTCCTTTACTTTTCCTCCCCCGAAAAACGATTTGTAAGCGAACAAAACGAATACTCGTTATCCTTGTAAGATATTTATATTTTTGTACATAATGTAAGTTAGTTTAGCACAATTTAATAAAGCATATACCACTGTGTGGTTATTAAGCAATATATCTTTTATTTACCCAAAGGATGCAATAAATGAATGATTGCAATAAACACGTAACGTTATAGTTAGTTACAAGTAACATCCTTCCCGGACTAAAATTAAGTTATTAATTTAACCAAAACTTAATTAACTAACTCTAAAAATAATTATTCGCATTATTTAGTATCAGTTTCAAATAAACCAATTAATTCAATAATTTTAATACCTACATTACTTGATTGAACGAATATACAACTATTAACTATTTTATTAAATTACATTGTAATTTCACAGTAGGTTACCTAAATGATATTATTAGCTTGTTAGCCTGTAAACATAGTAAAACACAGAGGTCACATAACAAACATTCGTTCGGGCCATTAAAGAGAGAACAGGTCGGACCCGTCTTGGGCTCACTTGGACTGAACATATAAAGGCCTTCAGAACTATCCACTAATCATTCTACATTTCAACAGCACATAGAGGAACCACCAGCGACATGACCCGACTACTGATGGTAATGTTTCAAGACAGCTTCATTCATTTTGCTAATACAATGCAATGCGAACTATCAATATTAATTGCGAGGAGCTGGTAATAGATATAATCTTTACTATGATATAAGACGCCAAGCAACTTTTCAACTTAATTGAATATTATACCAAATTACAGTTTATGTTTTCAACTCATTAATTTTTTTACGTACATACTTAACATTCCTTAGCAAATAGCACTTAAAATATCTGGAACATGAGAAGGAATGTAGCTAAACCTTAAAACTAGACGTCAACGCTCACCAATTATTGCGTTGCACAAGTAAATGCGTGTTATTAGATACCTACTAACGACAAAGTATTATTTTCAGACCGCGTGCGCACTAGCGCTGGCCGCGACGCTGGTGGCTAGTCACGCGATACACGCTGGACCCATCATTGGTCATATTGTAAGTATAACGTGTTTAAATACATTGATTTAGATCGCAATTGAATTTTCTAGACTGGATCACAGACTATTTATGATAATAGCTCAGCCATTCAGCCAAGTAATGTTGCCACAACAAGTGTTTTATTCAGAGTAAAAAAAATTGTATAGGATGATTAGATAGTGCTTACAAATCGTCAAATATTTAAAGAAAAATAATAAAACACTAATGAAAGAAAAACACTCGAAAAGTATTGCCCTTACATGTGGAGTATTGTGGAGCCTTTACATATCTCCTAAACTTTTTGCTCTACCAGCGCTTCGAGACCAAAATTTTGGCAAGTGCTGATATGAAGCGCTGCAACAAACTCAGTCATTAGAAATAGATCCTCACATAGGCACTTTTTGTTATTTCCAGGACCACCCCCGATACGCATTTAACTACGCCGTCAACTCTCCCCACACGCACGACAACAAGGCGCAATGGGAGACCAGGAACGGCGACGTCGTCAAAGGATCCTACTCGCTGGTAGAACCCGACGGCAGCCTACGAGTGGTCGACTACTCGGCCGACGCTAAACACGGCTTCAACGCGGTCGTCAAGAAGATTGGACCCACAGTGCACGATTCCCCGCCTATTGTCAAGATCCACAAAACAGTAGCCGCACCAGTTTTAGCCCCAGTGGCAGCACCAGTTTTGGCCCCAGTAGCCCCAATTGCAACTCCTGGTAACTACGGCTTCGGTGCTGCTCCTTTAGCCATCGGTCTCACGAAAACCAAGCTCGGACCGTGGAGTCTGCCGTGGGATCCTCTCACCCACTCCTACGGAGGATGGGTCTCTGTCAGCTCACATGGACTGCCTGGTCGATACGCAACGATTTTCAGCAAGAAATATGTCGACGGAAAACTGTACAAATGGGCCACTGGACCTATCCCTCTACCCTACGGCAGCTCACTGCTGTTCAAAAAGAAACATTAATTCAAATTAAATAGGGATCTTCTTTATGATAAGGGGACAAAGGGAGTATCTTAAAGATACTTTTTTGAAGTATGTTATCGTACTGAAATGAAGTATGTGACTAGTCCTTATAGTGCTATTGTAAATAATTAGAATTTATTGTTATAATTGTTCTTCATTTGTAAATAAATGTTTAGTATGTTTTAAATGAAATATAATTTTACAACTAACTTGAGCAATTTTTAAACCCGATCCAAATAACAAGCATAAATAGTAGTAACCTTAAAAAAATGAAACTGCTGTACAAGAACTCTCTATGAAAAGATTTTTTATGTAAAAAGTACTTAAATAGGTACCTACTTGAATGAATTAAGTAAGTAACATTTTATTGAAATAATATTTCTCAGGCTTATGCTTAAAAAGGTATTCTTAGGTATTTGTTAGACAACCTAACAGATTGATAGTATCCTTCTACAGTTGTAAAAATAAATCTATTTATATGAAATATCTTTATTAAATAAAATAAATAATGTTATATGCTACGCTCTAATTGTTTGCCCAATAAAATACACATTTTATTATCATATTACAAGCTAAGCTTAAACACACGAATAAATTGTACAACGTATGCCCGTGAATAAATAGTGACGTCACATCGGTATACGTCCATAATAGTTCTACGGGGAAAACACATTTTTGCTAGGAAGCAAAAATCATAAAAGTATAATATTATTAATAACCCTGATTGATATTCAATGTCTAAATACTGATAAACGATAGCAGGTGGAACCTTTCTTGCGCCTGCTGATAACAAGCGCGAAAAAGGTACCCCTGAATGGTCAAGTGCCCACCCCAGGCAGGCGATTCGAAGATTATAGTTGATAGTACTCAACTACTCACTCAGCTATGAAGCTATGAATGCTATGACCCTCATGACCTGTCAGAAAAGGCGCTACCTGGTAAATCAAATTTGTAATTAATTTTTTTTTTGGGTTTGTAGTTAAAAGAACAACGTTCAAACTATGATACTAAAATTGGTTTTCTGTCTGTCTAAAGGTTAAGGTAATAATGAATACGTTGGGCAGTGGACGTCCTACGTCCTCGAGTTGAGTTCTTGTTCTTGTCCGAACACCTGAATGGACAGAGTGACGAACTACCAAACTACAGATTGATAAACGGAGAGTCTTTAACTTTCATAGATCGTTTTCCTTTTAGCTAGGAGCCATGTAAATAAGAGGTACTCGTAATGTTTAAGAAGTAGATGTTTACAGATTAAGAGAGAGGACGATATTGTTAGGGTAGATTCCGATGCTCATTTAATTAATAAGTCAAGTTAAAGTCAAGAGTCAAGATAAAAATTAGTACCTAGTAAACAACTAAACATATTATGAATTCATGTCATAGAAATGATAAGATCAACTTGGTATTATTATTATTGTTTTCCAATATTCAAATGTTATCCCACACATCTGACTTCGCGTTTGTTATGATAAAGGAGATGACTTATTCTTATTACACAGGTTCATATTTCATCAGCTATCGATTTCAAAATCATAATCTAACAATAATACCCAATGTCATCTTATGTCCAGAAGGTTTTTTCTAGATCAATTTCTTTGAAATCAGTTTTTCAATGCAGTTTGTTTTCATATCGCATACATGCTGCAAAAATTCCCATGTGACCCATGTCCGAGATACTTTCCGGATAACATAATTTTCGGAGCGCCGGATACAATAAACCATTCAGACTATACTGCCTATTATACATAGATAACGGGCAATAGTTGCCCAGGTAAAAAGTTATTATGTGACTGAAATAAATAATTATTCCATGCTTTCAACAGCTATTGATTGCAGAAAACGTATTGATACAGACAATGGATATCATAATTGTCCAATTGCAAAGTCCACCCAATGACTGCACTTTTCATACAATTAATGTCATACACACACATTATTAGAGACAATTACTCGGTAACATAGCTGCATAATATACATGATTATTCACCTAACGGGTTATGTTTGAAGGAAGGAATAAGTTTGCAAGTAAAAAATGTTTGGTGAGTCAAACCATCCGTGGAAACGAGAGGGCTGCCCGAAACCGGAGCGCGGCCGGGTCGAATAATTAGTGTAGTATAAATATGCAGGTGTTAATTGACAAAAGCACAGTGCACTTCGTTGGTTCACAGGAACACATTGTTTGCAAAATGAACACATACTTTGCGGTAAAATGTTTTTTTAAATAAAAATATTCATTTGTTTACAGATTGATCTCACGAGATCCATTACGTGTATATTTCGATCTTAAAAACGACTTTTGTATTTCCAGGTATCTTGCCTTTTGGCATTCACTGCAAGAGTGGCAGCTGCGCCGCATGGGCATGGGGTGGCATACTTGCCCATTACAACTGTAGATAAAATTGTAAGAAATCTGTCATTTAACTTCTAAAATTATTTCAAAATGTAACTTGACTATGGATAAAAACCACAATCATTTTGTAATTTCCAGAATGACCCTAGCTACGCCTTCGACTACGCAGTGAACGATCCGTCAACCGGCGACAACAAGGCCCAATGGGAGGCACGCCACGGAGACGTCGTGAAGGGCGCCTACTCTCTGGTGGAGCCCGACGGCAACATTCGCCTTGTGGAGTACACTGCGGACCCAGTAAGAGGCTTCAACGCGGTCGTCAAGAAGACCGGACCGAGCATTCACTCCGTTGCCCTACCCGTCGCTAAACCAATCGCCGTTGCTCCCTTGGTCGAGCATGTCGCCCCGGTTGTAGCTCACGACGTCGCCCCAGTACTGACGCACGACATCGGCCCCATCGTCAACCACGGCATCGGTCCCATCATACACGAGGTCGCTCCATTAGCTCCGGTCGTTCACGATATCGGCCCGATCGCCCCGCTCGTCCACGAGGCCCCTCTCATCACCCCGCTCATCGCCCCGCTTGACATCCACTACCCCCTTCTACACTACGCCCCGTCCTACGGACCCCTAGTCTCGGTTTCCGGAACCACGTACGGTGCCAAAGGCAACATCGTCCGCAGATGGACCGCTGGACCCATGTCTTTAGACGGCAAGAAGATAACCATTAGAACCAAACATTAACGTTGTAAATAACTTCTCCGTGTATAAGTAACATAATTTAGTTACTCGCGGCGCTAGTGTGTTCTTGCATTGTCAGCGACGTGCAAAAATACACATAGGTCGAATAGAAGTTAAGCCTAATTTTACGACTCCGAAGCAACGAGGTGTACCTGACTCCGACGAATATGTATTCTGTCGCTGTAAATAAAGTTATTTATTTCCAAATGTTCTGTTTCATTTTCGTGTTATTTCGACGTTTATGAATAAAGATGCGGCCGGCTTTTGTGCGCGGTGAAGCGCGGCGGTGCAATTAGAATGTTACGTTTGTCGCGGTGCGCGCGCGTCGCTCACGCATATCAAATAGCCTGGTTTACTGGGTGATATAAATTGAACAATTAAATCTTGACAGATATAGACGATATAGTCTCATTTATGAAGTCACAATATTGTGATTATGACGTATAACAAGTTAAAATAGCATTAAAAATACGTAATAGCAATAAATCATCTTCGAAATCATCAAACAATTCATTTCAAAATGCATGGTTATATCATTATGATAAATATTGTGAAGTTGATTGGCACTTTCAATAAAGATGGGAAAATCGATCCATGTCGACCGCTGGACTATTGTGAACCCATTCCTAATACAAGAATATTATGCTTAGCTGGAATCTCCAGAATACTAGTGATTAGATATACCACAAATTACTAGTAATCTTTATAAAAATAATTTATAACTTTAAGACTGGCAAAATGCGTAAGAAAATTGCAATAAATAACCTAGTACGAGTATAATAAAAAAAGTAAAAAAAAACTTACCGGATTGTTGTCTTCATCTACGTCATACTCTTCTCTCTGCACCATCATGAGTTTGCCGCTGGCGTTTATTACCTGTAAAAGATTAACAACTCAAATTAACCCGTTTCTTATTAAACGCACCGTATACGTGAACGCTACTCTTGGGCTAAGAAATCACGGAGCGATATTCATTCACCTCGGTGACTCCTAAACTCATCATCTTCATTTCAGTCACAGAAAGTCCACTGCTGAACATAGGACTCCCACAATTCTCAATTCTAAACTCACAGGGTCGATTTTTGTGCGGGTGCGGTATAGCCCGCCGAGATTTAGCGACCTAATGACGTCAGTCTCTATTCCTATATTGTTCGTTCGTTCGTTTCAGCCAATTGACGTCCACTGCCGGACAAAGGCCTCCCCCAAGGCTTTCCACAATGAACGGTCTTGCGCTGCATCCAGGCTCTTCCCGCGACTTTTACTAGATTGTCGGTCCACCTAGTAAGGAGACCTGCCCACGCTACGTCTTCCAGCCTGTGGTCGCCACTCATTCCTATATACAATAATACATAATCTATGCAAGAGTTGCGTTGTGACAGCTCAGCGACAGCGCCATGACGTCACCGCTCGCACGTCACGGTGACGCACTCACCAGCGAGTCGGGCGTGGGCACGGGCGGCGCGGGCTGCGAGGCGCGGTGCTGCAGGCGCGAGTGCGGCGAGTCCTGCAGCCGGCACAGCGACGCCGACACCACGCACGCGGGGTGCGACAGCGCCGTGACGTCACCGCTCGCACGTCACGGTGACGCACTCACCAGCGAGTCGGGCGTGGGCACGGGCGGCGCGGGCTGCGAGGCGCGGTGCTGCAGGCGCGAGTGCGGCGAGTCCTGCAGCCGGCACAGCGACGCCGACACCACGCACGCGGGGTGCGACAGCGCCGAGATGTCCACCGCTTGCACGCAGCGCATGTCGATGCCGCCGGCTGGAATCACACGTCTCGTACTCAGTTACAGTCGGCGCGCGAATTCATGTCCATCTTGAGGAATGCGGTAGTGCTGTTACCTAACTAATTATGCTAATGTCGATATCGATAATTATTACCAATTAAGTAGGTCAACCTTATCTACTTATTCCATATTTTTTGTAACTTATAAGTATAAGTAAATAAGTAAGTAAGGCCCCGATGGACATGAACTCGCGCGCCTACTGTAGAAGTTCTATGTTGCAACGGGACTATTCCCACCGCTGCAACTCCTGTGTAACCAGGATTTACGGTTTGACCGCCAATAAAAACCCAATCAGTGAAGGTCAAGTTTGTCCTGGGGGAAAGTTAAACTGTCATTGGAGCCGCAACGAAATTGATCAGAAGAACATAGGAGCAGTTCGAAGTTAAGGTTCGACTTCCCTCCATTGCAAAACGGATGACAGGTGACAAACATAGGTTTAGTAACCTTTATGAAAAGATATGCACCATGGACAATAAATAAAATTAAGGGGACCTAACTTATGAGCTATTAGCTACCTGCCAATAATATTTTTCACAAAATCGCTTAAAAGCACGGAATCTAACTTGCAAGCTGTAGACAAGTTGTCTGCGCATGCACATCCCTAGCGCCGGGTGATGTGTAGGCGCAAGATGCGCGTGCGCCATTAGCTGCCCAGTCTGCAGCAGTTTCGCGCCAAGTCGAAGCTAACGAGATTGTCACATGCTGCGTCACTCGACGCTAAAATGATTGAGCGATGTAAAATAAATTTGACAAAAAACTTACTAGCCCGTTTTCCCAACAAAAACTAGTAACTACTAAGAGATAAGTTCCCTAAGGCCCGGTTTCCACCAAGGCGGAGCGGAGAAGTGTTTTGAATAACCAATCAGATTTCATTATTCAGGAAATCAGGGAATCGAAACCAGGCCGAAAAGTGACCTATTATAATGCAGATGTTTCTTTTTGCGCAAGCACATAAACTTGTTATCTGTTAGTAGCAATCATTTTGTAGTTACGGAAGAGTGGCTCCTTCTGACACAGGTGCAAATGCACTTAAAAGAATCAGTCAATCTTTGCTTTTAGTTATAAGAAACTTTGGTACTGAAATAAAGTTATTTATTATTATTTTCAACTGCACACTCACCATTATCCAAACACGTGAGCTCATAAATAGTGACGAGTGCATCAGCCCCGAACACGACGAGCTGGTCGTGCAGTATATCCAGCACGAAAACCTGCGATTGCACGCGCACGATGCGCGCGAATTTGTTGTCTAACTTCGCGTCTCGCGGGTAGAAGCGGATTTCGTCATGCCCGTCTAATATGCTGTAACAACCTGGAACGATACGAAAGTGTTGACAATAGGAAATCTTAGACGATCTTTGGAATTTTGCGGCCTAAAAATTATAGTTGAGGGCTCTATTTATCGGTCTTTGAAGGAAGAAGAGCACGTAGATCAGAGCGATGGCACTGTAGGCTGAAAAGTTATTATTCTGTCAATTAGTGATGTATCTCTTAGATTTTCGGGCCTATCTACATCAGAAATAAATTGAATGAGAATTATTAGTAGGTGCTAAGGAACTACTAAAGCTGGGCCGGAAAATTTAGTCTGGGCAGGCCCTCCGTGGGAAGAAACTGGTTGGAAACAGCACAGGACCGGTACCTAGTTATGGAAATTCTTGGAAGACCTTTCTCCAGCAGTGGACTTCATTTGGCTAAAATAAATGAAGGAACTACCACTCACCCACGACGCAGTAGGCGCGGTACCAGAGCATGCCGCCGGTGACGACGAAGTCCTTCTCCTGGGCTTCATTCCCGAACAGTTTCCAGCGCCGCGCCGCACAGCTATAGTGCGCTAAGCCGGTACGCCCCGCCACGCATACGTTGCTGCCAGCTTCATCTATTGCACTGTACTGCAATGACATACGGAACTCGTGAATAGAATAGTATTCACTATTGATACATATACCTTTACGCTAATCGTTTCACTAGGGTGAACATTCCTCGAACATCTGCGGAACGCAAACGCCACAACAATGCAGATCATAGGGTTAATACTGGAACGTGTAAAAGTGCTTTTTAAAAGCCTACTTACAAAAATAAATGAGTTTTATGACAACGCTGATCGCCGAGTTAGCGTTGCACAGACGCTATGTGATAAGTACTCGTTTTGGCGAAGTGATGCAATAGCAATCTCGATAGCACAGGACTCTGTCATAATAACTGCGTATGCGCGTGCGTTACGAAGACGTTCGACGAACATCTACGCTAGATTAATGCTAGTGAAATAGCACTTGTAGCTAGTATATCTATTTTATACGTTGCCTGTTTCATAAATAATTTCTTATTACGCGAAAGAGTTGCAGATTTTTATTGGAGAAGAGACTATTAAAGCTTGGCAGAGGGACCTAAATGCTTAATAAAATGGGGAGCTCTATGGTTAGCAAATAAATGGTCTGTGTCAAAAGTTTTACCTATCTTATAAGAACTTACCCTTAGCGGCCAATTTGTAGCAATATACGTGGCAGGCAGTGGTAGCACAATCCACTGTTTCCTGCATTCATTATCGTCCACAAACTCCCTGTACTTTGTGCTATTGTCAAATTCCATGTTGTCCTGGATTCCGTTCTCGGCTTGGTACGTGTCTGATGAGGAGTCTATGATGGACAATTTCGTCTTCCTTGTCAGATTGTCTTCTAAATTAACGTACAATTTGTCGTCAGCTTGCAGGTATAGATGCCTTTGATTGCTCTACGAAAGATATTTCATAGTAAGACTAAGGTAATAAATTAAAGGTGGTTAATAGCGACTAAAACAGACTAAGCCAATAAATTAATGGTGCTTAATAACACATAAAGTAGGTAGAACTTACCATACAGGGATTTACACTAAGTGGACTTTTGACGAAGTCTAATTGCAAAATGTTTGAACTTGAGTCTCCTTCCACCTTCACCATCCAGAGCTGATAGCCTTCTGTAGCCCATTCCTGTAATGGCAGAAAGCAGGATAAGATTTTTCACGAGCCGAATATGATTTGAGGAACCAATCGTTTCGTCATCTTAATCGGATCGGATATCTACAGAATATGTTTGAAGTATTCAGTTACATTAGATTTTCACTGCAGTGAGAATGCGAAAAAGAGCTTTATGGTTCTCCGCTAAATCTCGCGGGCGCCTACACGCGTTTCTGTATCGAAAAATTGTATGAGCAGCGTAGTGTGGAGCGGACGCGTGCGATGGGTTTTCACACTCTGCTACAAAAGTGGCGTTGTCAGTAGCATTCATAAAATCTTCCTGCGTGCAGTTGTTTTGGCGGTCATAATGGACGATCAGGGATGCCCGCGGGTTACTCCATTCACCCGCACAAGTTTTAACGTAAGCCCTAACTCACCAGGCTGGACACAACTCGCTGTATCTCACCAGGCTGGACACAACTCGCTGTATCTCACCAGGCTGGACACAACTCGCTCTAACTCACCAGGCTAGACACGACGAGCGGGTTGTGGCGGCCTCGGTCCTGACTGAGGCCGTGGTCCCAGGCCAGAGAACACATAAGTAGCGCTCCGAATGTGCTCCAAACTGACACGCCGCCGCGCTCCCAGCTTACTGCTACCGCGCGCCCGTCAGCCGTCCATCTACAAACGATTAGGAACTCTTTGTGAAAGCTTTTAAGTTCTAAATGCTTATAATATTTTAAACTATTATGTTGCATTTTTTACTATAAAATTATCACTTTACGGGATTTATTGCAACAATATCTATTTTAACGGTAAATAATATTTACCCTCCCGACGTTTCGGCTCGGTTGCACGAGTCATGGTCGCGGGCAGAATGAAGAGATGCGGCGTCGTCTGCTCCGGCGCGATGAGTTTTCTTCACCCACCCGCATTTGCACAATATTTTCGTCAGTGGTACAGTCAGTCCGACAACCGAGCCGAAACGTCGGGAGGGTAAATATTTTATTTACCGTCTAAATGCTTAGCCAAGCAGATTGCGATCATAAGTCTATGACCTGTTGCGCGGGCGCCAGAGCTCTGTGTCGCGGTAATTCACAACTTAGCAATAGTACACAGCGCTTTAGCGCTTTGCCGCGCGTTAGCTGAACGGTTGGCAAAGCTTTAAAGTTTGTCTGTCAGCAGATAAACAACTTTTTCAGATACTGGATAGAAATATCTGACAGATAGATATGTGACTAATATCAGTCACTAGTAATCAGCAACCATTATTTGTTAAACTTTACTATAGTCTGGTCTGTGAGCACGTAGAATTTTGTCCAATGACCCCAAGCTACCCATCCTTATCGCTCACTGCGGATGCCAGTCGCACAGTCGCGACAGCAATATAATTACGCGCGAGCGATAAGGATGGGTAGCTAGGGGTCATTGGACAAAATTCTACGTGCTCACAGACCGGGCTTTAGTGAAACTGGCTCTCACTGAACACGTAATAACACTGATCTGAAAACACAAATTTATATTTTCCAGATAGGATTCGGATAACGGGAATGGACGATGATAAAGAAAGAAGAAGACTTTTAATTACCTACTTATACTCACCTCGACTATCTCAGACTTACCTTACACACTTCACGGGCCCCGGATCCCCGGGGAAATCTTTTGAACTTAGCAGCATTGTGTGTGATAGTTCCAAGCCGCCGGTCGCTTCATCTATCGTGAACACGTCCACTTGGGAACTGTAAAAAACATTAAAATATGCAATTTACATAGATGACATCATGACTCAATGAGGGCTATCGTATTAGCTTCACCAGTTGGCGCCACTGTATAGACTCTATACTAGGGATGTTATGGATATGTAGTTTCGGTTATGGATACGGTTACGGTTAAAGGAATAATATTATACCGGTTTCGGTTACGGTTACGGATATCTGTACTTTAGAATGCAATTTGAAATAGTTTTCCAATACGGTTCATTCATGGCAGCACACTTTACATCGAATAAAAAGTTATAAAAAAATAAAAATTGATATTAGATGGCATTATAAAGGTAAATCAGGCTGTTATGCCTTTACATATAATGCTATACAAAAAACAATTTAAACTGCCTACATCCGAAACTATCCGAAACTTTTGAATCGGTTACGGTTTCGGATATTTTTTTTATTTCGGATATCCGAAAGTTTCGGTTACGGTTACGGATATCCATAACATCCCTGCTCTATCTATAGAGTGAGGTCTTTGTCATTTGTTAGTGGCGAGAACTGGAGAGCACTGAAGCAGTAGGAGGACTATCGCATTTGCACTCAACAGGATGGCACCACTGTAGAGTTGGTTCATTCAATCGCCAGTGGTGCCAACTGTTAAGTATAAAAACGATAGCCCTCATTAAGCTTAGTCAATTGTTTGTTACTAACTTACTTTTTTCTACCAATAGCAATTAGCCTGAATTTGTGGTTAACTCGAGCACACGTCGCGTCATCAATTCCTTGCGCCCATATGCCTTGGACTGCCTGAAAATGTGTTAAACTCAAATTAGACTTTACTACATAATATTTAAAGTCTAATTTTTACATATAAGGTACGCAAGGGAATTCCAAACCATTTAATAGCCAATGATACAGTGATAAACATTAACTTAAAAATGAGGGCAACAATAACAGATAAACGACTAGCCTTGCAATCATCATAAACTTGCAATATAAATAAAATTGTGTAGGACAATAATGCAGTGTCTTGCATGTGTACAAATATTACACTTCATTTCCAAAATGGCAACCAAATAAGACTAAATAGATTATTACAAATTGATTTTTCGAAATAGTAAAGTACACTCGCAAGGAACTGGCATCACTCTGAGGGAATAGCACAATACAGGTTATTAAAAAAATAGAACTCTTCGTTACTCCAAGGAGGCACACCACAAAACACTTCCACACCTCTCAGTCTTACCCTCAAATCGAAATCCGATAACATCTGGATGTAACAATCACAATGAATTTGATGATTTTGGGCAAAAAAAGATATAAATTGTGCAAATAACAGGTTGGCCAACACGTAAATAATGAATTCAGGCCTGTATTTCTAAATGTCAAAACTCGTATAGATTCAATACTTTTCGTATGAAACAAAAGAGCTTTTTTTTCATACAAAAATAGGAATTCACAGTCCAGCATTTGCCGACCTGTATTATAAAAATAATTTCGAATGCAAATTTTTACTTCACATGCTACTTACATTGGGGTCAAACTTGAGATTCGGCGCGGTGAGATACGCCGCGCGCCCGTCGTTGAGCGTTATGCCAAAACCACACACCAGTGGAGAGTATTCAATGTCGTTTACGTGTGTGTTGTCTTCGAGGATTGGTTCCGCTAAAAGTAATAAACATTTAGAGAATGAGAGTCAGGAGTTCTGGAAAATATTGGACGTTGGTAGATTAGCTGTGTGGTTCTGGCAGAGTAAAATAGGACCACCACCACTCTTTCCGTGGATGTCGTAAGTGCCGATTAAGGGAGAAATATGCGTCAGGTTTCCCCAAACTGTCTGGCAAGTATAAGGAGTGTAGGCCAAATTCTCCATTTGCTTCTCAGCGAGGAATTTGAGAGGAATTTAGAGAGGGTCCCTGCAGTGGACACCAAGTGGCATTCCTACACATACAATCTGGTTCGATTGAGACTGTCATGCTGAAAGGCTTAGAAGATTGCCTACCACAATCAGCCAATAAATATTCCAGGCCTTACCTTTAGACACCTGCTGGTTGATAGAGAAGGGTATGCGTCCCAGGTCAAGACAGTAGTCCCGATTCTGCACGCCGTCCCAGCGGTACCGCAGTAGATGCGCACGCGTCGTGCATACCAACAGTTCCGTGCCGGATATACAGCACATGCGCGTGATTTGACCGTCCCACACTAGAACTTCTTTGAACTGGAAACGATGAGTGGAGATTTTGAACTTTTGTGTTCCAATACATTTGAAACTTTGCAAGTACTTAGTAATTTACTATTTAATAAATATCGCGAGAATAATGCCCATTTTCACCATCAATCCCTAATTTTAAGTGACCCCTATTTATGGTAACACAACAGAAATTTTGTTCTCATAGGGGTCACTTAAAAATTAGGGATTGATGGTGAAAACGGGCATTAGTGTCTAGTCAAGCTACACACGTGAGCGCGGGCGCGGGCACCACTATGGACGCTCGAATAAGATTTTACATGTTTTTTAGTACGACGCGCCGCACCTGCTACACGGTCGCGTGTGCACTTACATATAATAAAGAAAGAAACACATCATATTTTATGCTTACCAATTTAATTTTAAGCGATGGTATAACTTCTTTAACAAAGAGCTCGGCGGAATCCCGACGCAAACTAGCCGTGGGCGGGTCATATTGCTGATATGCAGTTTGCTCCGTTAACCCCTCCACATTATACAGAATTAGATGTCCTTCTGAAGTCTGAATTTGAAAAAAAATTGTGATAAATTAAAATAACACTGGCATTCTTATTTACTAGGCCCAATAAATGATTTATAATGTATTTACTTCAAATGAGTAAATAGAAGAAAGTTTATGCATTATTTTTTTTGTGTATCACAAAATCTGAAAGGGTTGTGAATTTAATGGACTTAATAAACATTGATTGGATTATTGAATATTTTCTATAAGTTTTTTTAATTTTTTATAAACTTTTGAAAGAACTTTTATAAATATTAGATTTCATAAATCACACAGCAACAAAAGCATTTTGCATCTTGTGGTTTATCAATCATACTATATTGAATAATCTTATGATGATAGAAATTAATTACTAAAACCAAATGTTTCAAGGAATAAATGGTAACTAAACACACTAATTGATTTGATGATTATTAACCTAATCATTTCAGAACAATTAAAGTCAATTATGCTTCAATTTGTATTATTTTTCCAAACCATTTAATTTGTGTTGTGCACATAAAGAGACTACATTACATTTAAAACTCTTATGCTCAATAAGAATAATTCAAATTATGTTAAAAAATAGAATAACAAAGATAATAATAAACTTACAGAAATACATATCATTGAAGAATCTGGTTTCCATTCTACTCCGACATTCACACCAAGCCTCTGGAGAGATTCAGCACTCCGTTTGTGGTACACTATAGGAACAGTGGGCTGAAAAGTCAAAGCAGTATGCTTTTATCATAATATACAAGTTGTAAATCATAACAATGATGATCAAAATATGATACTATCAAATTATTGATCTTCACAGTCTTTGAGTTAACTTTTTGTGTTGATGGTATGTATCCCAGTAAATCGTGTCAATTGGAAGTTCAATAATCCCTCAAGAGTCCAGGGATAGCAAAAACTGATTACAAAATATCAGTCTAAGAAGAGTATTCTTGAGGTCATTTACCTCTTTAACTTTTGTTGGACACTATTTTGTATGTGTAGATCAGCATGTCTAATAAATGAACGAAGAAGTATCATCATCAGTTCTAATTTTGTATAGGAATAGGTAGTTATAATAAACGTCAGGATCTTTGTAGGATGAATGAATAACATGAGACAGAACTAAGCTTACCTTGCAAAACCACACCATGAGACAGTCATCACTAAGTGATGCAAATAATATTTTGTCTCTATTAGAAACGATCTGTTTGATAATTTGATTATCTGCACCTAGATTCTTCAGAACTTTGGGCCATCCGATAGGAAAATACATCTTGAATTAAAAACATTGGCTGCTTTATTGTACTAAATGTAAATTATGTATTCAATTATATATCATTTTTAGTTTGTAGTAGCAATATACGAGATTTCGTAGCACGAGTATTCTAATTAATTCTATTTAATCAAAAATACTTTAAAAAATCGAAACAGTTCGTCAACAAATCGACGTCGTGACACTGATAAAAAAAAATGACATTTGTTAATCTCTGTTCAACAAAAATTATAGATAACCCACGCTGAACTGTCCCACGAAACTCAATGACAGGGGGGCGCTACCATCGTTCAACTATATGGTTTCCAACATGGCAAAAATCTGAACCAGCGATCCGGTATTGACGGTGGCGCCCCACTGTCAATGTCATCGACAGGACAGTCCAGTATTTTGGAACTATAATTCTCCATCGAGCTACTCTAACGAACTAGCTCAGTACTTCAGTAGCTCATTAACCTTTTCAGCGCCACGGTCTTTGACAAGGAGAGGAGATCGCTCGCGCATTCGCGTCGCGCTTCGCCTAATCTGTGGCTTCGCCGCTGTTTGGTAGGATTTTTTCCTAGGTTGGCAACTTTTAATTTAATTTATTGTCTATGTCTACCCAATGGTAGATTTTTTCCCGTGCGAGTTGATGCTGCTAACAACAAGCTGTGTTTTTGCTGAATGTGTTGAAATTAATACTTTCAAGAAACATTTTCGATGGACATTGATCTAAACAAATAATGCGTGTTCTTTTTCCGGTGGGTGAGGAGATGATAACTAAACAAAATGTCGGAAAAAAATAACTTGAATGCAAGCCATTTCTGTACAACAGAGGACGCATTTGAGAAATTTCAAGCTGAATCTATGTATGAAGAGGATGAATTCATTACTCTGTCGGATATTGTACCGTCACAAAATCAAGCGCCAGATCTCATGAGCGAAATTTGTGACATTCCCTACGAAGATGAGGTTGTTTTGGAATCAATCTGTGAAGAGCAAGTGCACGAAGTAAACAGTACCAATGAATCTGGATTCGACGAAAATAAAATGTCTGGGCCTTGCGACCAGCCGTACTCTACTAGCGAAGTTATTGCTGCAGGTCAGGTAGGAATTGCAGAGCCAGGTCATAACGATTTTTCAGATGCAGGTCATGTTGATGTTTTAGATGCAGGTCTTGTTGACACTTCAGAGGTTAGTCACTATGAGGAGGTAACAGCTGAGCTCTCTGCCGAAACTGGCAAAAACGAACCTGGTTATAGAGAAGTGACAGAAGAAACTGTTAAACCTAGATCAAGAAGGGGTAGGAAAAAAAAATGTTTAGATTCTTCTGAACTGGTCAATGAAAATAATGACACCTCAGCAGATGTAAGTTTGAGTGTTCAGAAACAAAATGAAGTTCTCTCGCCACCTGCTACTCGGAGACGGGGTAGGCCTCCTAAAAATGTAAGTAAAAAAGAAGTTGATGTTCCTGTCTCACCTGAGGATTTGCCTGCTTATAACTCTGATCAAAATAATTCTGTTAGAAAAAGAGGCAGGCCCAAAAAAGTCAACCCAGAACTACAGATATCAGATACAGAATCAAATGCTGGTAAAAATAATGAAAATGTTACAAGTACATCTGAAAAACTTATACCTAATGCATTGACTCAGAAACGAGTGAAACGCAAAAGATTACCGTCTATAGAAAAATCTGAGAATGATTTGAATGAAAGTGCATTGCAAGCTGAAGATTGCAATTTGAATTTGGATCAAAATATTACTAACCCTAACCAACCTAATAAGAAGAGTCCTGGCAAACGAGGTAGACCTAAAAAAAGTGAAGCCAATAATGTGGAACAACAAATAAAACCTACTTTAATGAATTTCGAAGGAGATAAAGGTGACGATGATACTGACGACATCTGTTTGAGTAAATTAAAAACATCAAAAGAAGGTGAGGTATCAGTTGTTAATGATGTAAATATCTGTGAAGAGTCTAAACAATCTGCAGTTAGTGAAGTAAATGAAATACAAATGGAATTAGAAATGACTGAAGGTAATGGAATAATTTTTGATGAAAGTCAGAAAACAAACTCTAATATAACTGACTTTGAACTTAAAATAGATACAATCACAAGTGAGAATACAGAGAACAAAGAAACATCTGAAATTTTACCACAAGATAATGCTGACACCAACAATTCTTTATTAGTAGAAGATACTTCTAAAAGACCAACACGTAGGAGGGCCAGAAAACCATTGCACTATGATGAAGAGTCTGATGAAGATCCTTTTGCTAATGTTGAATTATCGGATGATGAACCTATAGGGTGTAGCAAAAGAAAAAATTATTCTGATGATGAATATATTCCTGGCAAGAACAGTAATGGCAAAAGAACTGAATCTTCAGATTCAGATAGTGAGATTGAACTCGATAACATTAAAGATGAGCTTATAGAAAACAAAAGAAAAAGACCATGTAAAAAATCTGAAGGGTCACCTACTAAAGGTGCAAAAAAAGGAAGCATAAAATCTGTTCAAGAAATAACATCAAATGCCGTCCCAGACAATGTGGTACCAAAACCTGAGAGTGGAATGGATGATGACATTGAAGTTTGCTTAAAGCCATCAATCATCAAAACTAATGATGATAAGAAAAATAAAGACATAGAAAGCTTTTTGGCCAAGAAAATTCAAGGCACAGACATACAAATAAAAAAGAAATCGACAGTACAGCCTTTTGAAATTCCTGTAATAGATCCAAATGAAAGAAAAAAGACTACAGAAAACTTCACTCAAACGAAAAAAGTTGCTACTACATCGGCTAGTGTTCAGACTGCAGTAGTGTATGATATACCCATGAAAGAAAATGTAACACTGACAACTAAACAGTCAGAAAAAGCTTGTGAATTCTTGAACAGTATTGTCAAAACTACTGCTGAATTAGGTGAATTGATGACTCAGAAATCAGAAGACTTTATAAAAAAGAAAATAAACACAAGTCATGTTACTGACACATTCAAAATGGACTATTGTGTTAGAAAATCATTTCTTTTGTTTAAGTTAGCAAAGCATAATTTAATGCAAATGGAAGACGATTTAGCAAAACAATATGATGATTTCCTAAACGCACATAACTTACAGAAGCATAGGGAACAACCTAAAGTTCTGACTGCAGCTCCTAAAGAAGGTAGTGATAGTGATTGTGAAATTATCGAGACACCAGTGGTTCAGAAGCCACAAAAGAAAAAGGCAGCTCCTGCATTCAACCCAAAAACAGTGTTTCTTAATAAAGAATTATCCATCAAAATTGCGAAAAAAACCCCTGCTAAAGATACAAAACCTGACACTAAACAAATTAATATCAAAGGCCGGCATACAGTATGGATAAATGATTCGATTATGGTAAAAAAAGTTAAACCTACGCAGTCTTTTTTAGCCCAGGACAGCCGAAATAAAAAACCACCTGATTATGTTACAATTGAGATGGTAAATAGCTTTTTCAAGCAATATTATCGTGAGCAAGCTATAGCGGCATGTGCTCCTTATGTATCGCCTCAATGGCTGACACAAAGCCAAGAAAGTATATGTTGTTATTTTTCTACCAATGCTGATGATATTTCAGTAACTACTGGAATACCCAATGCTAGTGGACATTGCATCACTGAGAGTAATTCTTCTGAATCAAACAGTGTCATTTGTGACAGCACCACGGAAAGTCATGAAAAGTTTAGTCCCAAGAGTTTGTTCACTCTTTGCACTCAAGTTTTACAAAGCCATCTTCATAATGCCAAGTCCAGTGTCAATAAAACAAGTGTCTTGGAATCTCCAACTTCCAAAATATCTGAATTTAATCCTCATACTTTATATGGATTGTGTATCAATATTATTAATATTGCTAATGTCGCACGAGAAGAAAATTCTAAAGATCTAATTGACGAACAAAGTATTTATGAAGCTGAAAGCGCATCAATGTCATTAGACAAAGCTATTGATTACGAATATGCCGATTGCGAATCATCATCTTCTTTGTTAGATAAAGGTGAATTTGAAGAGGCCGATTGGGAGTACCCCTTTACCCCAAATGTAACCGTATTAGATCAAGATGAGAGTTACAAACTTACTGAATCAGTACCAAAATTAAAGACATTATGTCACCAACAAATATTAAAACAGATGTTTCCTGATAGTTTTACTGTTAAAGAGAAAATACCTGCTTGCACAAAAATTTCTGATTCATTCAATCTAAACAATGAGGATAAACTTCAAACAATTATATTAGATGAGCAATATTTGAAGTATGAATATAAAAATGGTGTCAAGTCACTATTTTCCATATGCTTTGATTTGCTCCGGTCACATATGAGTTCGGATGATAAACTATCTAAACACATTGCACAAGCTACTGCTAAAAAAGCGATGTTTATGCCAAGATCTTTAAAATGTCTCACATTTAAGTGTATTGTTGATTTAATATACAACAATAAAGCTAGCCAAGTTATGAATGGTATAATATTACCTAACAAGGTGAAAACATTATCTGATCTCTGTTTTGACCTAGTCACAAAAGTTTTTTCTGGTAATACTAATGAGGAGCTCAATCATAAAGGTCTGACCATAAATTCAATTAACACACTCACAGAAGAAGCTTTTCATAACATTGATGAGTCAGAATTGGCAGAGGATTATTATGAGGATGATAACAGTAACTTTTATGATGATGAAACAGAAAGTGAATTTACAAACAATTTGGAAAATGAATCCAATGTTGATAATAAATGGCTATCGCAAGTCCAAATGAAAGTGTTGAGATCTTGTTATACTCCTGTTCTGCCACCAGAGACAGATAGTAATGCACAAGAAGAACAACTCACAAATGATTTAGTTGAAGCTCAACCCCTCGTAACTCGGATTAAAACGGAGCCATTGGATGAATTTCAAGATCACATAGATACTTCAGTTGTTGTCAAATCTGAACCTTTGGGGCATAGTCCAGATGAAATGACTATAATACCAGAAAACGTGGTTACCAAAACTGAATATTTAGATGCTCCTAATACTTCACCTCGTACATCGCGTGTTCCGCAAAGACAAAATAGCAATAGTTATGATGTTGATACATTTGAAGCTTTCGTGTCTTCGAATAAAATGATGCATAGCCTTAATGAAACATACTCAAATGACGAAGGTGAAATATACAGTCAGAGTGCTTCAAGAATTCGTAGACAATTT